CCCTAAAAAACAAATGCCAAATGTCTYCTTTGATATAAGGAGAGTAACTAAGAACAGACTAGGGAAGAAGAGCACGAGAAGAAGACCAACATTAAACAAGGATGAGAGGTGGGAGGGAAAGGGAGAGAGAAGGGAAATTGCATGGAAATAATTTTCGATCATTCCTTTCACCCAATACTGTTCTCCACAGGTTCAACAAGCCTGAACCCCTCCCTTGCAGACAGAAAACCTGTCAAAGGCTTGGGAGTGACTAGAAGGGAGTCCAAATTCTCAACAGGCTTTTTATTATCTGTGCTTTTCTTATCTCTCTGTTCTTATCTCTCTTCTTTCCAGTTCTTCTGCACTAAAAAAAGAGCACCTTTCACTCTGACTGCAGGGATTAGAGCAAGACAATGTGTTTCTGTGGAAAACACATTTCACAAACAGGGTGTGGAGTCTTCAGGACAGCAAGTGTCACTTCAAACATTTCCTGCCCAGCCAGGCAGTCTGGCCTGAGCACCTCCTGCAGGACCCTCAGGCACCCTGAGTCCCCTCTCTGCAGTTACCAAGCTGAGTTGTGATGATCTACCTTCTGTCCCCTCCTCTCACTGACAAACTCCATGGGAGGAGGGACAGGAATGTTCTTTGTATTTCAAATGCCTACCAGAATTCTTAGATTGGGAAAGGACTTTCTGAGTCCTTGTTGAATTAAAAAATAAAATAATTAAAAAATAAAAGAATGAATGAGTGAAGGAAATTAAAAAAAAACTCATGATCTCTTCAAAGATTGCATTATATTACATTGTATGCAAATGTTTATTCAGAAATGTTGTTTGACAGTTAAGTGCTCTTTAGATTCCATTACAGTTATTAATACTGCACAAAAATTTTCTACATTTTGGATTCCAGCCTTAGTAATAATAATAAGTCCAAGAATAAATGTCACTACTCTGACCTAATCAGTAGGTCAGACATTTTGGGTGATCATCATATATTTTACTAATTGTTTTCAAAATGATTTTTACCAGATTACCAACAGTGTTTGAAAGCTCTTACTTCCTTAAGTATAAACTTTGAAAAAATACTGTTAATTAAAATTCTCTCCCTTCTTTTCTGCTTAAACTTGCATTTCTAGATTTCTGAAGAATTTGAATATATATATATATTTTTTTTGGCTTTCATTGCTGGGGATTGAACCCAAGTCCTGGCACTTGCTAGGCAAGTTCTCTATCACTGAGCTACATGTCTAGCACTTTTTATTTTACTTTGAGACATGGTCTTGATTAATTGCCAAGGCTGGCCTTCAGTTTCTGAACCTCCTGTCTCAGACTCATTAGGAGCTGGAATTACAGCTACTTACACTGTGCTTAGCATGTATTTTCATGGTTAATGACTGAATTGTAATTTAAGTCTTATCTGTTAACATCTAAGCATATCTTACAGAACAATGATGTAGTTAAGGAGGACAGCTTGGGAGGAGAGTGTAAGATTGAGAAGCAAGATTGTGAACACAGGGAAAAAAATAGGACCTGATAAAGCATTCCAGTAAATGACAAATGACAAATGGAAAACAAAAGGAGACTAATTTAAAAGACACAAGAGAAATTCTAGAATTCTTGAGGATATCTGTGTAACCTCGGTTAGTCTATATTTTATTGCAAGATTGTTAACCTASTAGGTATCTATATCTAACTCAAGCCTAAGGATGAAGTCATTTCCTGAATAATAACACCAAAAGAGAAGGAATATTTTTGTCACATAACTTGAGAGGAAATGAAGTAATACGGCCATGTGATTAGACTCATGATTTGTTTCCAGCTGACCTTGACTCCTGAGGAAAGTCAGATGACTGAGACTTGGCAGAGGGTGAGAGGAAGAAGGTGTGAAAACTCCTACAGACACCTGTACAGCCAGGTTGAGGACCAGGTGCTGGCAGGTATGCTAAACCATTTGGTCCTCAAGTCTGACATATGAATATTATCTACATCCCCACAGTGTAGGTGAAAAGACAGAATTAACAGAGGCAAAGTATTTTGCTCAAAATAATCACACAGTCCCAAACAGCAGAGCTTGGTTCCCCCTCAGTTTGACTATGGCATTTATAATCTTTCCATACTCCACTCAATCTCTTCATGAGGAAGAATTTCCCTGCATATAATTTTTTCAAAGAAGCTGCAAAAAAGGAATTCTTTAAGGCTGATTGTTTTCGGTCTTGGGGAAAGGGAAATCTTGGGAAAACAGAGAATATTTACTTATACAGTCTAATGAAATCTCACAGGTCGCTACTTTCTGTCAAACCTGAACACTTGTCATTCTTTATCTGGTACCTACCATAATTTTATATCACAGCTCTCTATATTTCATGCCAATCTTGCTAGTTAAGTCAGATTGCTCTTTATTACTATTTGAAAACTTTTTCCTAAAGTTACCTGATGCAAAATGTACTGTTCCCGAAGCTGACTTGCAGAATTCCATGCAATATTTCCATGTACCAAGTCTTTAGCTTTCTCAATCCATTTCAAAATTAATTCAAGCATTTCATTGTATTCTTCTAAATGTGATGCGGCCTGAAAAATCATTAACATCCAGATAACAAATGTAAACTCACCTTTTGAGCTAGACATCAACCTTTGATCTGTCTCTTTGGATACAACAGCCCTGGAGGTTAACTTTTTTTTTTTTTTTTTCTGTGAGACTGAAAGGGATCATGAAATATCACTTTTAAGGGAATCATGAAAAATCACTTTCCTGTAAAAAAAATCTGTCAAAGATTTCCCAGAGTCCTCGGGATACAATCTAAGTCCTTCATATGTTGGGATGTTTTTTCTTTTCCTTATTCTCCATCCTCATCTCACCTGTTCTAGATCATTTCTATCCCTTTTCCACATCTCACTGTATAAGGAGGTGACAGATRGGAATGACAGCATGCTAAACCCCAATATTACAATTCATTCGGTACCAACTCCTGTTTTTAACCTGACCCTGATTATAGAAATAATGCTTAATTGATTTGCAGAAGTACAATCTACCATCAAGAAATTAAATGGATATGCTATCTGACTCTATTAAGAAAAAGTGAACACACACAATAAGTGAATATATTATATATATTACATATATTTTATTATAAATATATTATATATATTTTAAGATCAATGAATTTTGTCCCAAACTAACTTTATAAAACTTGCTAATGGATAATGTATTCATTTTGTTAAGTATTTCTCCAATTTGCAAAATATTTGCCCCCAAAATTCATTTATATGACTACCTGTGACAGTGAATGTAAAATATGGTTTGATATGAACTAAACATGGGTTCACCTATAAAACCTTGGAACACAGGCATGGTATGAAATAAACTTCATCTTGCGTCCTTGCCAATATTACCTTTTCATTTATTTTCAAAGAGAAAGGCAGATGACCAAAGTTTCTGTCTTAGAGCATTTCAATTACTGGCTTGGAAAACATACCTGGTTGAGCTTGGAGAACCGAYTTTCAGCCTGCCTGAGGGTCTGCTGGTGGAGGTCAGTCAGCTTTCCTATCTTGTTGACCAATGGCTTGCCCAGTTGGCTGTTCTGTTCCGAGAACTTCTGTACTGCTGCATCTAATTCAACTAACTTCAAATTACAGCCATCCAGTTCCTCTCCCAGCACCTCAATGAAATCAAAATGAAAGATTATTAGATAGAGAAAATAAGATTCTTAAGAATTTTTAAGATCAGAAGAATATTTTAAATATTKTTTAAAGCCAAATATTATAAGTAATAATTCGACTGCAATCTACTCTTTTCTGTTTCTTGGGTGGGGAAGGTGGATCAGGATATGTTGTAATCCTGGTGTTTATTTCCTGAGTGAGAGGGATAACATTTTCCTTCTGCCCCACCCAAATGGATTGGAGTGACTTAACTCATCAACAAGGTGCAGACACAGAATCGACTACCGAAAATAGTTAATTCGCTTTGGAATTTGCAAACCTGTATTCCTAAATTGTCATTTAATCTTTGGTAACCTTCTCTCTCATAAACACACGTGTGTTTACTTATTAATAAGCCCAATTACAGAGATAAATTATGTAAGTAGATTTGTGTTATTACATGTATAAAATATCTTTACTACTTACTTTTACTATTAGGTTTTAGTGAAGTTTATTGAATTTTTTTCCATATTGACAAATAAAACTGGCTCCAAAAATCTATTTAATTTATTCAGTAGAACCCTTTATATTTCCGCTTCTCCTTCCTCCTTACCTTTTGGTCAGCTTTAGCTTGAGCTAAATTTTCAGTTTTTGCTTTCARCTTCGTTAGAATAGTTGTGAGATCCTTGGCTATCTTCTGAATTTGCCGGCCATATTCCTGGCTCATGGCCTTACTCTGTTCAACTTCTTTCACTTTGTTTTGGATCTAAGTAACCAATGAGAACAGCAAAACTAACCATAGTTAAAATGTAATAATAGATAMTAAAATTCTCAAATGATGTTGACTAGGGACATTTCAGGTGGAYAGTGCTACTCTGACCTAGACACACTTGGTCAAAGCAGTTAGTTGCAAGCTCCCCTGGATTTCAAGTAGACCACACTTCCCACTATCTTCTTGCATTTACTACACTCCTGCTGTTGCAGCAAGAAGATAATCAATGCRTGTACTGTGATTCATTGACTAAATATTTGCAAAACACTCATTATGGATGGCTGTGTGGACTGCTGAATCATATCTAATCCACTTACTAACTTTGGTACTTTGGGCCCACAACCTTCTCTAAGTATTTTTCTTTATAAAATAGAAAAACCTTTCTGAATAGGGGGAGGCACAGAGATTTGTTTCAAAATAACAAATTTGTTTCAGAAGGTTCTGGTAATGATCTCTTTTCTTAACTTCCCAATTATATCCACATAGTGTAGTATAAAGGTATGTTCAAAGGAAAGGAAGGTGAAGAGACAAATTAACATTACAAATTTCTAATGGATCTCATTGGATTTGATAAAAAAAAAATTCTATATTTGCTTAGAATAAAACACTGAAAAGAAGATGGTAAAAAGGAGAAYGTCTCCCACATAAAAGGCCTTAATAAAACCTGTTTTTTAGAGAAGAAACATATCACCTAAAGAGTACATGTTAGCATACTTAGTTTTTATTTGAGTGATGAAGTATCAGGRAGGTATATTAATAACTATTATAGATAAATGGAGCCAGAGGAAAGGAAAAATTTGAATATTTTAAAAAGATACGAACTAGCCAAGTCATCTTTCCCAATAGACCTTCCAATGTCTAAGAAATCCAATAGGCCAAATAAATATTCAAATAGAAAATAGTATGTATTAGTGTAGATCAAAATCATGATGCAGTAGCATTGGATTTTGGTGAGATTTTTAAAATACTCTGCCTCTTAAGATTGAATTTTGTGCTGTGTATTTTCACTTCTTGCAGCAGTTTAGATTTACTGTATATTTTCTTTCTGTTTCACAGAGAATGGTTTCAACTAAACCTTAGTGACTTTAGTATTCAATCATTAAGACACTCTTAAAAATCCATTTTATTTTCACACAAACGTTACATGAGGCACTTTCCATGACATGAAAGAGTGTGCTCTTTGTGAGACCAAAGATAGAAACCTCCCTTTGGTCTCAGTACCAGAAAAGACTATGTCTTTCTTTGTAAAAAAATTATTTTAAAATTTGTACACATGGATGTGTCTTGCCATTCTTTCCTCAATTGTTTGGAAGTTAGGACCAAACTGAAGCCCCTCCTCTTACAGCACACATCCACCAGCATGCGCTCCATTTTCTTTTCCTTTTTTCTTTTTTTTTTTAACCTTGATTGTTTCTTCCTTCAAATGTCTTTACCTACATCTTGCTGAACTAAATCTACAACTAAAGAGTTCCTGGCACACTGGAGGTATTCAATAAATACTTTTAAACACATGTAGTACACCTTATTTTTTTGTTTTTTAAGCATTGTTTCAAAACTGAGGGGAGGCAGATAAATTTTCTTTAATAGTGTAACATTGTTATTCATATTTATGATCATCTAATGTGGTTCTTGCCTGTGAGTAAGACTTCTAATTTGGTATTATTGTTGTATAGTAATCTATTATTTAATTCTGTTTCTAAGAAAATCATTAACTCTCATACAAAAGGACTGACCCATAGAAGAATAGAAAGCCCCTCTTCCTTGATGGCAAATGTACCTGCTCATAGATCTTTAGGTCCAGTGCGACTTCAGCTAACTGCAGAGAGATTTCAGAAGGCAGGATTGTGTAAAGACCCAAGTACTTCTCCTTCTGTTCTTCAGCCATTTTCTCAATATTCTGCCTGTGATTTGTGGCTTCTGTCAAGAGGGTCTGAATAAAAGATTGAAATAAGAAATTTCTGGGAGTCTGGTAAAGATGTTATCATTATGGGTATAGAGACAAGGCTCTCTATTGCTCACCAATAGAATATGATTAAGCTTAGAACTAGAGAAAGAAAATCAAGCTTTCCTTAAAGAAAAGAAAAAAAAAAAAAACTGGGCTGGGCTTGTAGCTCAGTGGTTGAGCACTTGCCTAGCATGTGTGAGTCACTGGGTTTGATCCTCAGCACCACATAAAATTAATAAATAAAATAAAGATATTGTGTCCATCTACAATTTAAAAAATATATTAAAAAATAAGAAAAAAACTTTCTTTTAATCTCTGAATTTGAATTTTGTTTCCTTTTACAAGACAAGCAAAAAAAAAATCCAGTGAAGTCATACTAATGGCCTTTCATATAATTCCTGTCGTAAGTTTTAAATTCTCTATTTTATTATATGTAAGCGAGGGTGTCTAATTAAAATGAGGCCAACTGTCTTTTAGAATGAAGAGTATACAGAATGAGCAGATTTCTCTACCTGCAGTTCTTCCAGCTGAGCATCAACTTCTATTGTTGGATTCCCTAAATATTCTTTCGTTTCTTGAACCCAGGATTTCACAGAATTTATTTGAGTTTCCACTGCATCTCTATCCTGCAGCTCCTGCTTTACCAGTTTTCCGTTATTCTTCACTTTCTCCTGCATGCTTCAGAAACATCGGGGAAGGAAGAAGAAGTGGATTATGAAGGGAACCACCTCATATATGATATCATTTTATCAAAGAGAGAGAGAGAGAGAGAGAGAGAGAAACCTTGTCTCTTTTCTGCAAGTACACTTCCCCGAAACTGTCAGATAATGCTCAGTAGAACTTAAGTTCACATAGGACAGAAGAAAGTGTATTATCTGAAGTGAGTAATCTATTCCTGGGAAACTTGAGTTGACTTTCTCCCCTGCACTGAACGGCAACCAACTTCCCTAGCTAGAGCAGTTGGAGATTCTTGGACTATGTACCCCCTTGGAAATCTGCTCAAATGGAACAGAATTGTCAGCATTTAAAAGTAGTGCATAGTGGATATTTGTGGCTGTTAGAAATAGCCTTTATGGAAAGAATCATGCTTTGAACATTTCACAGGTATTGACATTAATAATGCCACATTTGAATTCTTTGAGTTAATATAAATTTAGTAAAAAAAAATTTTCAATAAGTGGTGTCAGATCACCCTGACTTCATCCATGACTTAAAGAGGTATATATATGAGATAATATTAGTTAAWATGGGAATTAAATTATTTAATGACATGTTTTCTCCTGGCCCAAGATTGAATCAGGCTGGTTACATATCMTCAAGATTAACTTTCTCCTAAACTCACTGCAGCAAATGGCTATTAGATATTTGGACTTTGGTGTCATCATAGCTCCTAACTCCCTGTCACCCTATAYAGTCAAGGAGCTGTCAAACTTCATCAAATCCAAGTTCTAAATAGCTCTCAGCTGTTTAGCTGTCAAGCTTTATTTCTCCTAAATCACCCCATCCTCTCTACACCACCCAAAGAGCTCCTTGACTGTGTGTGTGTCCTTCCAAGCTTTCTTACTTATCATCCCCATCTCATGACTAGCTCAGGACCACTTAGTCTTGAGTGTTAGAAGAAAGTCTGMTCAGCACTCTCTCTGAAAGTAGCTGCCTGGGCTTTCTACTCCCTTAGCAGACTTTTCATAGTTTCCTGAAATGGCTCCTTTCATTCATCTCCATTATCTGGCTGCAAACTGCATGAAAGTAGGCAATGAGCCTGTTTGGTTCACCACTGGATTTTTAAGTATAATCAGAAATGCATTTGCCAGATAAAATATTGAAATACGGAGATAATGGGAACAGATCCCCACATCTTGACTGTGGCATTGACTCCCATCCATACCCAAGTACCCCAGATGACCCTTTGGGTCAAGGCCAARTATAGTAACAGAGAATGAGAGCAGGTTTGTAATTACCTGAGGCACCGATCTTGCATTGCTGTGATCTCTTGCAGGATGGGTGGCTCTTCTCCAGGGCTGGGGATGGCTACGTCCTGGAGCATGCTCAGTGCCCGCTGCTGTAGTGTGCCCAAGGCCAGCTGCTGCTGTTCCAACTCCAGTGCACATGTATCATGGTGTTCGAGAAGGGCCAAGAGTTCTGCTTTTGAAACTTTCTCTGCTGAACTTCCAGGCATTTTATCTTGCAGCTGATCAATCATTTCAGTGGCTTTCTTAACCTAATGACAAATGTACATATTATAAAGTTCAAAAATAAACTGAAAAAAAATAGGGTAATTTCAATAAATGCCACATTTGACACTARTACATCAGAACACATTAAAGATAATAACATGAACTTTAAATTTCAGAAAATTAAAACCAGAACAATCTTCTTAACGTGAGAGAAAAGCCACCTCTTTAATTCTGCGAGTAAATTTTTAATCTCAAAATCAGATCAGGAACAGAGACTATATAAAATATAGAAAGAAGTTTATTTTAAACAATCCAAACACATGAAAAAAATTTCCAATATTTAAATTAATGTGAATGGGTACTTTGAGTTATTTAAAGAAAAAAAAAGGCTAAAACACTGACCCCTGCGTAAAAGATGGAAGACATTAAATATAGGATTTGGTGTATGAGTTGACTTCTTGATGATTTTTATGACAGAGATAAGGTATTTTAAAAGTATTTTTTCAAGGCCTCCTTTCAAACCGTAATTGCTTCTTGACTTTCTAATTGAAATAATTTGACCCTGACTTGGGATTACATTGCATATTGAACAATGTGTTTTGTTTCACAATTTAGTTTTCACATCACTGAAAAAGACACATACAAAAACGACTTTTTACTTCCATAATGTCTATTTCAAAAAGGAGCAAAATACTGTTTTCCAAAATACACTCCAAGTGGTAAGGAAAATACTAACTTGAACCCATCAATAATGAAAATTACCTTATCATTCAAGCCCCTCCACTCCTCCACTGCATCTTCCAGAATCTTCTCCTGRTCCTGGGCCACAGCACGAAGGCGGGTCCACCGCTGCCAGACAGTGGTCATTGACCTGCTCAGGGTGGCCTTGCTTGCCTCATTTCCAATTTTCTCCAGTTGGGATGCTTTCTCCTCTAGGGCCACAATTTTCTCCCGGAAAGAGTTAACTTCTGACTTTAAAGCCTGGGGAAGCAGGTGAGAGAAAAAGACATCAATGGGGGAGAGCATAATTTTTTAAGTTCTATGGATTTGGGTGAAATTTAAAAAATTACATGCAGATAGATATGTTTCGCTTAACTTTATTTTCCTCTAATAGCCCTTACTTTTTATTTATATTTTCGACTGAGATAGACTTGGATATTTTAAGAGATAAGTATTATTTATTTATTGAGTAAAAAATTCTTTTTGCTACTTGAAATGACATTTCTCCCATTTTTCAAAAGCAACAGAAACATAAGCAAATTGAATGGGATATTTTAGTATGCTACAGTCTTCCTTACATCGCTGCTCTAGATGTGAAAGGCTCAGTTATGATTTTCTAAAGTTTGTTTGAATTATCCTAAGTTATCCATAGGAAGTTATTTAGTGACATTTRTTAAGCACCACATCTTATCAGAAGCAAATTGCTCTGAATTCTTCATAAATCCTAACTATGCACTTGGAAYGAAAATCCAAAAATATTGGCAACATTTTATTAGCTTAAAAATTCTATGGAATAAGGTTGTCTCTTTATTATATTTAAGGAACTCAATTAAAAAAAAAGATTTAACAATCTGGAATCATCAGGGGTCAAAAAACTCATTATAAGGGACTGAGGACAYGGCTCATTCAATAGAGTATTTGCCTCACATGCACAAGGACCTGGGTTCAATCCTCAGCACCAATAAAACAAACAACAAGCAAACAAACAAACAAAAACTCATTGTAAATATTATTGAAAGATGTATTAAAAAAAATCCACCAAGATGCTGACCTTGTGTTCCGACAGTTTTTCTTCTGCTGCATGACTGGAAGAAGTCTTCAACAAAGAAAACCCAGACAATTTCTTTTCTGCATCATTCATCAATTCAATAACCTCTTCCTTTGTTTTCTGATAATCTTGCCATTGAACTGTACATCTTGAAAGATTTCAACAGAAATCAATAAGCAATGTGAAATCACACATTCCTATGCAGAGCTCTGGTGTCAATATGGCTAAGGATACTTAAGAGAGAAGAATAAATGTACACACTAATGTGTGTCAATAGTGTATTACTATTTTCTGTGTGAAAATTCACTTCGTCAAAATATACGGTATAAAACCACTCTAAATACCTCTGCAAGAGGTCTAACTGGGCATGTGAGCCCTGGATGGTCCTCTGGCTCCTCTCCTCCAGGGAAGCCATCTTCTGTGCCAGATCTTCTTTGCCAGTGGGCTGGATCAGTGGGTCCAGCTTGGCCACCAGGCCTTGGAGCTCCTCCAGATTACTGTGGAATTGATCCTCTGTGCTGAAAAACTCCAGGTGGCTCTTGAGATTCTCCTCTGCGCTCTCCACATCTAAGCCATTGCCTACCAGCTGTAACATTTCTTGGGCATCCTCAAGCCAGTCATTAGCTGCTTGGAATACTTGATAATACCTTTGACACTGACTGTATATTTCAGTCAAGGTAGCCTGAAAAACAGTAAGCACAAATAGAATCAACTCCCAGTTACAACATGTTTGCAGGAAATAGTTTCATTTTCCCATTTATTTTCTAGTCCTCAGTCTGTAAACATGTGAATAAATGACTTGATTAATCGGTGGAATTTTTTTTATAGTGCAATCCATTATTATTTTTTATTTTGCCTTCTGCTATTCTTGTTATAATTTTATCAYTGCAGTTAAAATAAAAAAAGTGAATGGAAGAGAAATGTTTGTTGGTATCTCAGCTAGTTCTAATATTTCCCTTGCTTTCTAAAGAAAATATACACTGCTTAGTATCAGGTGGCAGACTGAATGTTCAGCAAGGTGCAGTTAGGTCTCAGTTGGTTAAAGGTGCAATGCCACCAAACTTCCAAACTGGCATTCACCAGACCAAATAGCTATGTCTGGAATTGAGTCTTGAATAGAAACTAAAATAGAAAAGTATAAGTCTGGAAGCATGGTCCTTTCAAAGCCAGACAGAAAGGAAACACTGACCAGTCATTAATAAATGGACCCAAAAGCCATGCTGTGTAAGCAAATACAGAGAAGAGGTAGAGAAAGTGCGAGGATGATTAGTATCAAGTCAGGAAAGCACAGGTAGGCAGAGCAGAGATTTAGCAGTGGGGACTGGAAATGCTCCTGAGAGCATGAACTTCAGTGGCCTCGGCCAAGGCAATAAGTAAGACAGGATGGCAGAAGTAGAGACATCTTAATAGTTTTAAGATTTTGGTTCAAAAATCACCAATAAAAGAAGCAAGCTTATATGACAGAAGTTTTTCAAGAATGAAAACTTCAGTTCTAAGCCTTCACTCTAGGTCTGTCTCTAACTATAGGGAAATTTTAAAAAAATGTTTAACAATGGTTTTGAATTATATGAAAGGTAAAAGTATAAATAAACCTAAATGGACTTAGGCTAAAGAAGTTAGAATTTTACCTGATGAAGTTTATGTTGATTATAGCCCAATATTAAGATAGAAGTTTGACTATTTAAAGTGTCAACCCTAATTATGTGGAAAATAAAGGTAACTGATAGCTAAAATTCCTCAGGGGCTACCTCCCATAAGGAACTATGCAGGAAGATTCAACTAACAAGGGGAAATTATTATTCCTCTTCCACAGAAAGAAAAATGAAACTTAAAGGAGTAGTTAATTTGCCCCAATCAAATAGCTGCAATTAATACCCAAGGCTGCATTACTCCAAGGCTATGGCTACTAAAATCTGCACTTGCTCAAGTCTCATAAAATGGCATAACATTTGCACATATTATATTTGCAATTCTATATTATCCTGAAGAAAGTTGTCTTTTACCTAAGTGTTTGGTTGAAATCTAGAATCTGAGGGGTTGAAGACAGATATGGGAGGGAAAAAATGGCAGGGGATTAAAGAAAGTAATGCTCTGGGGACTATTATGTCTCTTCTTAGTCCCAAATGCACAGAACCTGCCAGGCCCAGAGCAAGCTGGGTTAGGAGGCCAACCCGGGAAGGTCCACACAGGCTATTCCTYGCCACTGAGTCTAGCCATTAATGGATACTCTAGCCTTGCTTCATCTGTGGTACAGGGAAGGGAAGCACTCTTCCCTGAGGAAGGGATACAGAGGTCAACTAATAGGACACCACACAGAAAAACCAGCCTCAGCATCATGGCCAGGGCCACACCATCATCCACCTGCCCCTCCCTATTTAGAGATTCTCCAACCAGCACCATTTTAGAAATGCCAGGTTTCACATTGTTTAAAATCCCAATGGCATTCCTCATAGAAATAGAAAAAGCAATCATGAAATTCATCTGGAAAAAATAAGAGAAGCAGAATAGTTAAAGCAATTCTTATTAGGAAGAGTGAAGCAGGTGGCATCATTATACCAGAATTTAAACTATACTACAGAGCAATAGTAACAAGAACAGCATGGTACTGGCACCAAAACAGACTGGTAGACCAATGGTACAGAATAGAGGACACGGTGACTAACCCACAAAATTATACTTATCTTATATTAGACAAAGGTGCCAAAAACATGCACTGGAGAAAAGATAGCCTATTCAACAAATGGTGCTGGGAAAACTGGAAATTCATATGCAACGAAATGAAATTAAACTCCTATCTCTCATCATGCACAAAACTCAACTCAAAATGGATCAAGGACCTAGGAATTAAATCAGAGACCCTGAGTCTAATAGAAGAAAAAATAGGCCCTAATATCCACCATGAGGGATTAGGCCCCAACTTCCTTAATAAGACTCCTATGGCACAAGAATTAAAACCAAGAATCAATAAATGGGATTCAAACTAAAAAGATTCTTCTCAGCAAAACAAACAATCACTTAGGTGAATAGAGAGCCTACAGCTTGGGAGAAAATTTTTAACACTCACACACCAGATAGAGCACTAATCTCTAGAGTATATAAAGAACTCAAAAAGCTAAGCACCAAAAAAACAAATAACCCAATSAATAAATGGGCCCAAGGACCTGAACAAGTACAAGGACCTCAACAGACACTTCAGAAGAGGATATACAATCAATCAACAAATATATGAAAAATGTTCATCATCTCTAGAAATTAGAGAAATGCAAATCAAAACTACTCTAAGATATCATCTCACTCCAGTCAGAATGGCAGCTATTATGAAGATAAACAATAATAACTGTTGGTGAGGATGTGGGGAAAAAGGTACATTCATACATCGCTGGTGGGACTGCAAACTGGTGCAGCCAATATGGAAAACAGTATGGAGATTCCTTGGAAAATTGGGAATGGATCCACCATTTGACCCAGCTATCCCTTTCCTCTGTCTATACTCAAAGTACTTAAAAACAGCATACCAGGGACACAGCCACATCAATGTTTACAGCAGCACAATTCACAATAGCTGTGGAACCAATCTAGATGCCCTTCAATAGATGAATGGATAAAAAATGTGGCATATATATACAATGGAATATTACTCAGCAATAAAAGAGAATAAAATCATGGCATTTGCAGGTAAATGGATGGTGTTGGAGAAGATAATGCTAAGTGAAGTTAGCCAATCCCCCAAAAAACAAATGCCAAATGTTTTCTCTGATATAAGGAGACTGATTAATAGTGGGGTAGGGAGGGGGTCATGGGAGGAATAGATGAACTCTAGATAGGGCAGTGGGGTGGGAAAGGGAGGGAGGGGGCTGGGGGTTAGCAAGGATGGTGGAATGTGATGGACATCATTATCCAAAGTACATGTATGGAGACACGAATTGATGTGAACACACTTTATATATAACCAGAGATATGAAAAATTGTGATGTTTATGTGTAACAAGAATTGCAATGCATTCCACTTTCATTTATTTTTTAAAAAATTCAAATAAAAAATTTTTAAAAAGGGCATTGTTCACTATTCGCTCTTAATTAATTTTGTCTATGTCCTAATATGGTTTACCCTGGTCTCTATGGGGGATTAGTTCCAGAACATCTGCAGATATCAAAATCTGCAATTGCTCAAGTCTCATAAAACGGCATAACATTTGCACATAACCTGTGCACATTCTCCCATATACATTAAATCACCTCTGGATGGCTTATAATACATGATACCATGTGAATACCATGTGAATTGTGATCATGAATTGTGATCATGTTTCCTTATAGTTGTTTAGAGAACGACTATAAGGAAAAAGTCTAACATGTTCAGAATTTTTAAAAAATATTTGCTGTCTGAGGTTGGTTGAATCTGCTGTGAACTCTATTATTAGAACCATTTATTCTTACTCCTAAAGGTGAGAGATCACTGAGGTGTTACACTCATATAATCAAAGGGAAGTGGACGTGGAAACCCTATGACATGAAAAGCATGGACATAAGCAATAAAAACATCCTTTCAAGTCACTTTTAAAGATGATTCTCTGTAGTATCGAGAAAGCAATATCGAAGGGAGCAATGTTGACTAACAAACCAACTGAAAAAGACGCTTCTCACACCAGTTTACAAAGGAGCAGCATGCGGCGTCCTCCTACCTGCCGGGTGCGCAGGGCTTCCTGTACGTCTCCGTCCAGCTCCGCGAGCTCCGCCAGGGTGTGCTCCAGGTCAGCTGTGATCAGTTCCTTGGCCTTGGTGAACTTCTCCTTCTCCTTGCTACTCAGGGCCCTCATGATTCTCAGGCTGGACTGCACCTCTTCCTGGTGGATCTGGATCTTTCGGATTTCCTCCTGGATGTCCTGGAGGCTGAGGTCCAGGCACACGGGCCCAGTGAGCTCGGCCTTCACCCTGCGCAGCCAGTCCAGGGAGCGGCTCATCTCTGTCTGAAAGTCGATGCTCTGCACCATTCGGCTCTCACACTCTGCCACCGTTTCACCAATGCCAGTGGTCAGGAGTTTCAGCTCCTCTTGCCACGACTGGATCTGCTGCTTGGCTCTCTCATAGGCCAAGGGATCCAGCTGTGGAACCAGGTCCTCCAGATGCAAGGCCACTCGCTTCAGCAGGATCCCTGAGTCCTGCAGGCTTCCTGCCAACGAGTGGTACGTTTTGAGCTTCTCCTCTGCAGGCAACGTCTCCTCATTCACTTTGGTCTGCTCTGTTTTCACAGCCTGCAGCTGTCTCTCCAGCTGTTGGCACATCTTTTCGTGTTCTTGGTAAGCGCTCGTGGCGTCTTCCAATAAGCTGACCCTCTGTTCTGTTTGTCGCTTCAGCCTGTGATACACGGCCACCAGGTCCAGCATCTTGTCTGGCTGCCAGGGCTGACCTGTGCTACGGAAACTCTCTTTCTTCTGGTTCAGTTCATCCAGCGCCTCCCCAAGGCCTGCCACCTCGCCCAGCAGGACTTTGCAGCCCTCCTGAAGAGACAGACACTCTTCAGAGGCCAGGTTGGTGGGAACTTTCCTCATCTTCAAGAACTGATCTTCCAGCTCACTCAGAGACTGGGCGGTCAACTCTATCAGGGAAGCGTATTCTTTCCGAGCCAGAATTGCTTCTTGGACTTTATAGAACTTGTCTTTAGCCAAGGCAACGATGACGTTAAATTGTTGGGGCAGAGCATGAAGCTTTTCGCTCAGGTAGGAATGATCGACTTCATTCAGCGATGGTAACATGGCCTGCCCGGTTCTCTGGAGTATAAGTAGAAGATTTTCATATTCGGGAGATTGTTCAAGAATATGTTGGTATTTGTCCAGTTGTGAATGAAGCTCTGTGCTCTCGTTCATGAGATTGATTTCAGGAAATGTAACAATATCTGCTTGTTTTAGCCAGTGACAAGCTTTATCAAAATCCTCCTTAAAATGCTTCCTTGAAACTAAATTCTTCTCCAGTTCTTGTAACCGATGACCACATTTTTGCAAAACATTGTCATAGACACTCTGCAATTCCTGGAGCTTACCCAGTACCTCGCCCTTTTCCTGCTCTGTGACTCCTTTCATTAATTCGCGACCCTGGGCCCAAAGTCCAGTGACTTCGTTCTGGTAGGTTTTGAGGCTGGCTTGTGCGCTCTTGCATGTTTTCACTTGTTTGCTCACGTCATCCGGTAACAGGCAGATGTGTTCACGGAACATGATCTTCCGCTCGTGTTGCTGAATTTGGCTGGTGGCCTGGAACACTGCCATGAGAAACTGGGTTTTCTCAGACAAGGCCTTGTTCAAGTACTTTCTTCGCTGGCCTACTAGGTCGCTCAGACAATTCACGTGTTTCTGTGCATCCGAAAGTGCCTTCTGGATCACCTTCCGCTCGTTGAGGCCAAGATCAGCCATCACCCGGTCGGCGTCCTTGGTGAGCGATTTCAGGAGCATCTGTTTGGCCTCCAGCTCGCTGCAGATGGCCAGGTGATCCATGAGGAGGTTCTGAGCCATGTCGGGAGGGGGGCTCTGCTTCAGGGCCTCAGCAATGTTGGGCTGCTGCTCTTCTGCCCACTCCATTAGCTCCTGGAATCGAGACTGCACCACGTTCAGCTCCTCCAAGTTGGTGACAGACACTTGGATTTTCCTCTTAACAAGGTCCTCGAGCTGAAACCAGCGCTGTTCAAAGTGACTCGTCTGTTCTTTGACCAGTTCTTTGTCATCTAAGTTCAGATGCTCTATCATCTTCTTTTTTTGCTCTTTGAGGTCCTCGATGGTGTGTTTTCTCTCCTGCAATGCCAATGCCAGCTTGTTCAGAGCTTCCAGGTGGACAGCCGTACTCTCGGCGTCAGATCTGTAAATATATGGAAAGATCTAAGAGTGAAGTTCTTCACACCAGTCATCTTTCACCATTCTCTCTAAGTGGATGTTCTTAGGACCATCGTGAGTACTCAGTTTAGGGTTATCCACAGAGGGGCTAGAAGAGAAGTCTCATTCATCTTTTTCTATGTCAACACTTGAGACCAATCAAGTTTCTTAAGTGCTTGTCCACTCTCCTTTTCCAATCACATCTGCCAGATGWATTTCCTACCCTCCCTGCTCTTGGTACTGGGGATTGAACCCCAGGGGTGCTTTACCACTAAGCTACAGGCCCAATTCTTGTTATTTTAAAATTTCGGACAGGATCCCACAAAGTTTCTGAGGTTGTYCTCAAACTTMSAATCCTCCTGCCTCACCCTTCAGAGTTGATTACAGGTAGGCACCATATGTTTGTAGCTTTCTCTGTCTCTTATCAACTATGCAGAATTTGCATAGTAACCAAATGATATGTGTAATATTAAACATTAAGACACACATTTTTGAAAATGGCATTGAAAAATAACAAGTGATTCATGATTTATTTACTTTCTTATGAGCATAAGATTCAGTGATCCAAAGAACAAAAGCCTGCTAGATGGTACCCTCTGTTAGATTTGACCAGCAGCTCTTAGAGCTACTTAGTTGTGTACTTAGATATTTTTGTACAGTTAGGTACTTAAATATTAAAAGTCTCTAAAATAAGTATAAAATATGAAGAAGTCTCTTCCTCTTGATTACAAAGCATACCAAAGAAGGTGTAATGTTATAATCTTATTTATAAAATGATCAGCTCTGAAACAGGAGATGCTGGGGTTGGGAGGCAGTATGGAAAGTTCTATGTTGGACACAACAGATCTGAGGCACCTGCAGGCCCACTGAAACTCAGAAATGTGTGTATGCTTTTACTTTTGGTTTTTGCAACTATTGATTGTATATAACCCCAGAGACCAATAAAATGCTGACTATCAGGGAAAAGTAAAYAAATCAGAAAATAGTATAATAAAAAAATAAGCAAGCACAATAAGAAAACCCCACTGATTTAAGTAGATATAGAATAAGGTTGGCAGTTTTCATTCTCATGAGCCAACAAATSTTGACAGAAGTAGTGCAAATTTTTATAGTTTGAGTGTTCAAAATTGTTTAAGCCAGGTACAATGACCTATATCTGTAATCCCAATGGCTCGGGAGGCTGAGGCAGGAGGATCCCAAGTTCATCAAAGTCAGCTTCAGCAATTTTGTGAGGCCATAAGCAACTTAGCAAGACCTTGTCTCAAAATGAAAAATTCTGTAGCCTAGGGTAAAGAGTCTCTGGRTTCAATCCCCAGTATTCTCTCCTCAAAATTGTGGAAATGGTTTTCAAATAACAACACAAAGTGTCTGGCAGGAAAGAATCTTATATTTCACACAAAAAAAAACTAAGAGAAGTTCAGTTACTTCAGAATCTCAAAGGATACAAATTAAGTGAATTTTGATTGTTAACTGATTTCTAGAATGTAACCAAATTTGACTGACTCATGTAGATGTATTACTTTACAGACTTGAATAGAAACYTCTGGAGTATACAGGTTCAAGAAGTGTTAACTTCATAAATTCTTGGATAGTAGCCCCACAACTGGTAATTAGACAAAACTAGAAGTATTCTTGGAATATTTCATAAGGTCACAGAATAATATTCTTTGAAGTCACTGAGAAAAGCAATGTTTTTTCTAAACAACAAAACATTTCAGTTTTGCTCATAAGGAATTAATATTAACCTAGTAAGCTGTGACTCTATATCCATATGACAATGTTAGGTTCACAATGATGTTTTGCCAATACTGATAATGATAGACAATGATGTTAAAAACATAAATAAGACATTTTAAATGTTTATAGAAATTAAGAAAATTSTGATTTAGCATTATGGTGGCCCAAGGGAGGGTGCCTGTCACCTGGCCAAGCTATCCCATTCCGTGGTAAACTTTTCTAAGAAGGCTTCAACAACATTCATACGGTCGTGGTAATCTCTTGTCCGCTGAAGGTCCTGTTCCCTCTGCGTGCAAAGCTTGTCAGACTGAAGGCACAGATCCAGCCACTGATCATTCAGGTGGCTGACTTCTTTGTGTTCTGGAGACTCCTGGTTCTTTGTTAAGTTATTCACCTTGTCCAAGATGGCACCCACTGATGCCTCTTTGCACTGCAGTTGCTTCATGAAATCCTAAAGGAAACCAGAAAAAGTAGGTTGGGTATAACAGACCCTCCCAAATATCAGAGTTAAATGTGGACATGACACCTCTAAGCATTTTAAGTTCTTTAATATGAAGAAAACTGGAGATAAAATCTGAAACGTACCTTAGCTCTTTATGAACACAAATTCCCAATTGTATAGGAAGCAGACACTGTGCTACTTTCTTTTATTGTGTTGTTTTGGGAAGTGTAAAGGAAAACTGATAAATATGAAACAATCTTATCATTTCTAAAGAGAAAAGTAACTTACTTTGAACTTAGACCTTAGTTTTCTTAATAAATTTTTGAAAGTTCGTGCTTTGGGGGAAAAAAAGAAATCTAATTGATGTTATCCCTGATCTTTTGTCTGCATTTGCAAACAATGTTCCAGTAGAATATATGYATGATTCATAGTTATAGAGAAAAAATAAGTCTTAAAGAGTTTGTAGAGATGCTGACCCTTCCAATCAATTACTATGTTTATAACAATGTTCTATTATAATTTAAATCATACATAATAGTATGATATTTATATTACATTTTAATTAACTGATAGGTTTATTATCCTAAAACTTTAGCAATATTGTGATGAAAATATAAAAAAAATACAATTTCCTGTTTGTTTAGTAGCGAGCTCTTCTGGCTCCCCAGGCTGAATGACAGATGTTTAACTCAGGAGGAAGGTGTAGAATGAACATCTCCTGATGAAATGGCCATTCACTGCAAGAGTATATGTGAATGTTTGCTTTCTTTCTTTCTTTTTTTTTTTTTTTGTTTCTTGTCTTTCCTTTTTGAGTTTGGCAGGTCTCACCATGTTGCCCAGACTGGCTTCAAACTCTTGGGCTCAAGTGATCCTCTCATCTCAGCCTCCAGATTTGCTGGGACCACAGGTGCTACCACCTTGTCTGGCTTATGAATGTAAAATTTCTGATCAGTCTGTCCCTGGCACCAAAGGAAGGCTATTTGACTCTGTCTTATTCCTTAAGCAGCTGTAATGATATTTAAGGATTGACAGATACCAAGGCATACTGACGTGAATGTTTAAACATTTTGTCTTTCTACCATCTTGGCCTCCTTAATCTCCCCTGGAGACAAATCAATTCCCACCTTTACTTGGGAAACCATGTTCTGTGCAATATTGAGCTCCAGCTCAGAGTGCCTTCTCTTCATATTCTGCAGTTGCTGATCAGCATCCTGAAGATAAATCCAGAGCTCAGCTTTCAGGTGCTTGATTTCTTCCCAGCCCTGAGTTAAGTTCTGTGCCTGGACCAGTCTTTGCTCAATCTCGAGAAAACACATGGTTACAAGTCAGCAGCCATAAATAGTCACATGTGCTCAAAGAACCAGAGTAGCAAGTCCTCAACAGGTGTATGTGCAGAGCCTGCCACACAGACTTGTGTGTGCATGTGTGTTCACATGTGGATAAACCCCAAAGCCTTCTTTAGTTGCTTTAAGAAAAGCAGATTTTCTTTTAGATTTAGAGTTTCTAAAGAATGTAAATGTCCAAGAGTTTTGCCACATGATTTTAGTCAGTGTTGTGAAGCTCCAAGAAATTTCCAGGAATTTATTAGCTCTAAAGCTGTGTTCATGGTTTTCACATTGGGCCTTTCAGTAGACACACCGGTTTGATTCATGAATTCAGTGTTGGGGTTTATTAGAAAACATTTATATTATTATCTATTGTACATTTTTTCCACCTTGCAAAACACTGAGTTGCTAATATTTTGGATATTTCTTTAGATTCACTTTGCTGGTTTTTGAAATTGTATAATTTGTTTCAATCAGTCATTTCTATTAAAAATGTGAGTTATGGGCTGGGGATGTGGCTCAGCGGTAGCGCGCTCGCCTGGCATGCGTGCGGCCCGGGTTCGATCCTCAGCACCACATACCAACAAAGATGTTGTGTCCGCCGAGAATTAAAAAATAAATATTAAAAATTCTCTCTCTCACTCTCTCTCCTCTCTCACTCTCTCTTTTAAAAAAAAATGTGAGTTATATATCTTTCATAAGGCTTTAAAGACAGGTTAATTTTACTACAAAGAGACACTTATTGTTTTAAGATTTTTAAATTTGAATTATCTTGTAGTTCTCTGAATATTTAATAAGTACAAAAAGCAAGTCTTATTTTCCTCTTTCCCCTGAAAGTGTTGCATTGAAGTGTTGAAGGCTTGCAGGGGCAGTGGCCATGAGCATGTGACTCTGTGCTGCCCTCTCTCTGTTGTGGTTGRAACTGCTAACTCATCACAGTACTTTCCCCTTTGGCCAGACAGTTTTAGAATCCTTCTCACACTACTGATAGCCATTACCAATAAGTCAGAAGGGTTGGAACAGATGGTATGCTCTTTGGCATCCCTGATCCATTAAAGTCAAGTCAAAAGGCCCTTCATATTAAATATTTCCTAAAGAAATATATGGAAAAGGACAAAAAGCATGGGAAAATAGGAAAAAGAGAAGGAATGGAACAGAGAAGAAGGGGCTAAGGATAGAAGCTGAATGGGACCAACTGATGATTGAGTTGTGTGTCATCAGGTAAGTGTGCTTACATTCTATGATTTGATCGAAGTTCAAATATCCATTTATTATAATGTGTAGGAGCACCAATAAAAGAATAACCCAATAGATATATTCTTTAAACCATGTTTACCATTCAAGCAAGAGAATGCAATAAAATAGACAAGTAAATGCAGTTTTAATTTCTTTACCATTTGCTCTGTTTGTTGAATGTCTTTTGCTGTGGTTTTCACTGAAGAGTTGGACAAGTCACACATGGAGCAAAGGAGATCCAAGTAGGTCCTCGCCTGCTCTTGCAAAGCTCTGAAGTGTTTGACCTGCAAAAAGGCAACTGTCAGAGTGGAACAGACTTGTACACTCTTAGGGAACAAATATTTGGATCACTGCTAGTGTTTAATTGACATTTCCAAAATAATCTTGCTATACTCACTGTCTTCACTATAGCCATGATATGTGTTAGGGACACACAGGAGAGAATTCAAACACATTGATGGTTCTATTTGTCTACCATCTGCTTCTCGTTGTAATTAGAGATGTTTGCATGGTATAGGAAAGGGGGAAAACCAGACACCATTTTAATCTATCCAGGTTCTCTGCAGGAGCAGAGGTCAGGTAGGAGGGTAGGGCCCAAGTAACAGAGGCCCTTYCAGGGGAGTTGACCATACATCCCAGTTTTCTGGATTTATGCCTCTAGTCCAGAGACATGGTTCTTAACCTCAGAACTATTGACATTTGAGGTCAATTGCCTCGTCAACGCTACGTCCTGTACATTGCAAGATGTTCAACAGAATTCTTGGCCTTTGCCAAATATAGGTCAGTAGTACCCCCCACTATTCCCAATGATTGCCACCGAAAATGTGTCCAGTCATTGGTAAATGTTCCCTGGGAACAAAGTAACCACTTCCCCGAAAGTCATAAACCACTGTTCTAGTTCCAACTGGATTAAGAAAAGAGGACTTTTTATTATTTAAAAAGTTCCTTTTTGGAAAACAAATTATATGACCTGTCTATTCTTAGGACATGAGGTGACAGTGGTGGCTGAGGTGGTGGGAGGTGTCTCTTGGTCACTCCATAAATAGGGATAAGGAAGGAAAGCAATACTGACAGCAGGTTGTATGGTAAAAGGTCTGCCTATAAAAACACGAGACAATTTTGTCAAATATGTCAATAATGGGGCATAWTTTTTTTTTATTCTATCTCTGTCTTTTCCTTTGCACACCAAGGATTCCCTGAACAGACCATTCTCATGGAGATAAAACAAAGATCCATTTCCTACTAAGTCAGAAGTAGCACCTTTTTAAGTTCAATGTATAAATGAACTGTATTTCACTTCCAAATGCTATCCTCAGTCACTAACCAGTGTGCAAAAGCACATCATGGACCTATGACCCAGGGACAGTTAGATATTCCCAGCAACATTTGCAAATGAGAAGAGTCTAAGATATCAGAATTTTATTTTTGTCAATATATTTAATTTAAAGGAATACTGGTTTATTTGGGGATTTATATAGTTGGCCTAATTCCAAAAGCACTGGACATAGAWTATGAATTATCAGTGCAGAAACAGTTACAAAGGAATTTTGCTAAAATTAACTTCAAAGGCACATCTGATAGTACTCTTCCCCATCCCTGCAATTCACTTTTTATGCCTTATAAAATCACGTGGCACTCCCAATGAAATCAAGTCATTGTGTTATTCCTTGTGGTTACGTGGATCATGTTATCACTTTGTGGAGTGTTTCGCACAGAAGAGGTACTGGGGATACAAAAATACAACTTGGGACCACGGCCATTGTGATGCCACTAGTCAAAGGCAGAAGGCCAGGCTGCCTCTGCTTGAAGTCTTGAGCAGTGGCAATCTCCAGTCACCTCCGTACACTAGCYAACCACTAAGAGCCTGCTCAGTTTTTCATGAACACAGTAGCTGTCAAGGGAAATACTAATTTTAACAGAACAAAGACTGCACCACAGAAAACAAAACAAAACAATCCCTTCTTTGCCTTCAGTGCATCTGAGATGCAGATGTGTCTCTACCACCTCTTTCCTTTCCTGGCTGCTTTCAAGGGAGGGGCAGAGCATTTAGAGAAAYGGTGAGCAGGGATGGTGTGCCACRGGGCCTCATTATCTGGAAGGATCAGAATCTGCCTAGGGTTGTAACTTATGCTGGAAAATATAGTAAATCATATCCTGTTCTAGCCAAAGATCACTAGGATTAATATTTATTTCTACCCCTTTTATTTCTGTTTGGTTAACAAAGGAGAAAGATTAAGCTTTGTTCTGGATTGTTCTGAATAAAAATACATTGGTAACAAAGAGCCACAACACAAGGAAGGACTCAAGAAAACTCTCTGACTAGTGAAAAATAAGAATATTGTCCTTAATTCACTCTCCTTGACTCAAAGAAAGACATGTTTCATTTACTCAGATACCACTTTTTATAAAGTATAACATGTGAATTTATGTGAATATTTCATGACTTAAATAACATAAATCATTTAAGCCAGAAAGAATACTTTGGGTATGAAATTGGTAGACAGTCCTCTGTGGGGACTAAATGAATAAATGTATTACATTAATCTCAAAGTTAGTGGTAAGAAAATTAAATGATTTAATACCATTAATTCATAACTGGAAGCAATAAGGTTTATAACAAAATCCTTCTACAATATACTCCCATAAGGTTAATGCTGCATAGAAAAGCTGCTTAGTAAAAACCTTTTAAAAATGTTTCTGCCGTATTCTGATGAATTCTTAGCAGTACAATTTTAAGCTTGCAGTATGTTCTTTTCACATGATGATAATTAACATTCCATTCATTCTTTATTCAGTAATCATTTACTAAGCACCTTGTTTATGTGGGAAAAAAATCCCGTGGGAGAAGCTTGCATTGATTTTTCCATTTACATTCATTTTTGATATGACATTTGATTTTCAWGAAAACTTTCAGAAATATGTGCAAAGCTGGTCCTTTGTGTGGGAGGGTGTCATATCCACAGATCCAACCAACTCCAAATCAAAAACTATTGGAAAAACCCAACTATGTACTGAACATGTACAGTTGTGCTTGGAACATGTTCAGGCTCGTCGTTGATCCCAAACAATAGCATGTAACAACTGTTTACAAAGCATTTACATTGCTTTAGGTTTTATAAGKAATCTAGAGATGAAGTGGATAGGAGGCTGTTAGTAAGTGATATGCAAAGACTACACCATTTGACATAAGGGATTTGAACAACTGAGATTTTTATATCCTGAAATCAACCTTCTGCAGATACTGAGAAATGACTGTACTTGTAATCATTGCTCTACATAGAAGGAAACTGAGTCAGAGAAAGTGACTTAGATGTAGTCACCACACAGATTGTTTTGGAGTTCTTATTTGGTTGCAGAACCCATATCCCTTCTGCTCTGCCAGGTCCACACATCAGCATTATATCCATCTTCCTGGCTGGAACGCAAACTCAACTAGAGTCCACATCACACCTTATCTAGACTTCTATAATCTTCGGCGCCAGCACAGTTTGTCACATAAAAGCACTTAATCTATTTTGATTGAATGTCTGAATGACTCATAAGAATAACAAACTTCCAGGAGTCTACTACCTGCTTAACGGCTTCGGTCCTGCTAAGAGGTGGCTGYGGGCTGGGTTTTAAGTCTGGCTGGACTGCAGAAAGCCAGGCCTGGCATTGCTGCAGAGTGTCTTGCCGGCTGACATGCTTCTGAAGTTCATGTTCCAAACTCTGGTACACCTGAAATAGAACAAGTCATGTGGGGGTATGAGAGCTGCTTTCTGTAGCCTAACACCATTGGCATTAAATGATGTTCATGAATCAGGTTTCATTTTCTCCCTGGGGCTCCTGACACCATACACATCTCCTGAAGTGAGTTGCGTATGTTCCAAAACGTTTCAAAATACAATGGACACCCCTCACTTTGTCGTTTCTCAAACCATAAATCACAATGTAATGTGTTAATTAGGGGAAGACAACATGAGCAGTGTTCATGCAAGTATCCAAATGTGTTAGAATGCACACAGTCACTGAAGTAAACCGTCATAAACACAAGTCAGAGGTTTCTTCAGCTTTGCCCCCTGTGTACAGCTATTATTCTTTCTATTTAAGCTAAGAACTAAAAGCAAAAATAAAACACCATCCTAAGAAAAAATAACCAATATTTCTCATCATGTGAGGCTTCTGGCATAGGGGTAGGATCAAACTGGAACAAATTATAACACAGGAGAGGAGGCAGTTTGATGCCCTCAATTCATCTTAGAAGCTATGTTCCAGAACCACGATAATCCAGAATCATTCATGCATTCCTACTACATCTCATTAATTAATTCACAAAAATTTAACCAGTTTTCACTTTATTCAAAAAAGACATTGGGAAATAATTATGCATCTCCTTGAGATCAAGATGAAATAAATCTATGATGTTTTCTGAGCAAACTATTCTATTAAAAGAGAAAAGGAAAATAGAATATGAATTTAGACTGGCACTTCTTTCATTTTTGATACAATGGAACTAATAACTGATTGCCATTTTTCCTCTGTCATTAAATTCATCATTTTCATCTGACACTGAATCTTACCCTTATTTATACTTATTCTAAACAGAAATTAAAAGGACAGGTGTTATGTGCTCTATCATTTTGCAAACTTCAATTATGGAGTACAGATCTGACTATGTTCTTAGAGTTTTATCAGCTTTTTTGCATTTAAAAAATATGTCTGTCTTTCCAACATTTACTAGTGTTTTTTGAAAACTTAAATTGTAACCCTAATGCAAAAAAATATCAAAAAAAAAAAAAGAAGAAGAAGAAGAAAGAAAGAAAAAGAAAAAGAAAACCACTGCTATAAAGTCAGGGCTCAATGTCCYTGCAGAATGAGTGAGTAAATGAACTTACCAGAAAGTTTCCACATATCATCCTCTGACTTTTTTCTTCTCTCTCCTTTTCCCACTGTATCATTTGCAATTATCCTCTTTTGCTCTTAACTTTTTGAAAATGATTACTTCAMGTCTCAGAAGTCAATATCACTAGGACCATTTTTTTTTTATCATGATAAACACAGATCATCTTCCCTATCATTCTGTCTCACTAGTTCTTACTGGCTAGCCCAGTAGCAAAAGCATATGGAAGGCCTTAGAAAACTTATAAAAGCATCTTTGTCATATCATTTTAAATTGTTTAAATAATAGAAAGCAATTTATTTATTATACTAAATTTTTATTAAAAGAACAATTCTTACCCATCTTAGACTTATTTCTATAACATTGAAGATTGTGCTTTAGTGAAAATACACCCATTAAAAGTATAACTCAAAACTGATACTCCCTTTGTCAATTTCTAAACTAATACATAAGAAAGAGTATTAGAGCAGAACCCAAGCTGCACAGAATCACAAAAAATGATCGCAAAAATTATGAAATACATTTATTCTAGTGTYACGGAATAAATTGCAAGTTAGAAGAAAGTTTTGATGTATGCAAGTAAACAAAATCAAGAAAACGTTTAARAAGTTTTTCATAATTATTGTAATAAAGAGATTGTATAAAACTGAATGTCTGAAACTCGCCATTTAGTAATACTGATCAAATGTATGATGTAAATTTTCACACAGATATTATGAAACCTGTTCTCTAATTTCCTGTCTGGGGCAACACCAAAACTTTCCCAAGGACTGGGGCTTCTATTCTATTTGTGAAAACCGCTAGGCTGCACATCCTTTCTCCATTATTTGTCACTGTCATAGAACGTTCTGTGGTGCTCACCCTCTGGGCTGTGCTGCAGATTGCTGAGTAGCTATCCCTTGTGCCCTGCAGGTGAGCACGCACATTCTGTTTCAGCTTTGCTTGAAGATGGTCTGCACATTGGCTGATCAAAGTATCGCCTTTAATTTTAAGGTTGTCTAAACGTTCTTCGAAACCAGCAATTTCTTCCATCATTGCCTGCAAAAACCAAAAAAACCCATAAAACTCGAAAAGAATTTTAGTAGTAATTCGAAACAACCTGTTCATCAAAAGAAAAGGTAACTACTTTCATCATGTAATAAACTTTTTGAAAGAGTTTTGCAATTTATCTTGGTTACATATTAACAAATTATAGAAAAAACACATGTATTTCTGCAGGGATACTTTCATAGGGAATGAAGAAGTAATTTAAAGACTAGAATGTGTTCATGGGTGGTCCCAGAGAGATCTGTTCCACAGTATTGTTAACAGATAATGGGATTGTCATCCATTTGTCAAATCTACCAATTATACTTCTTGTTATTTTTATCTAAAACAAACTAATTATTATTTAATCTAAATTTTTTGGTACTGGGGATTAAACCAAGAACCTTGTATATGCTAGGCATGTGCCCCACCACTGAGCTGCATCCTCAGCCCTTATTTAATGCAATTTATTTAATAATGTAATATCTTTAATATTTAATAATAAATTTATATAGTATCTAATTTACATCTAATAATATTTATATTAATAGAATAGTCCTTATACTTACAATTTATTGAGCACCTCTTATAGCCCCAGAATTATTTATAAGCCCCAGTAAATGCGTATTGTCATTGTTACACAGATGGGGAGACTGATGCACAGAGACCTCATATGACACACTCAAGGTTACACAGCAGTCACTGTCAGAGTCCCTAGCTTCAGACAAAGCTCTCTTGGATTCTACCTCACACCATCATACACCCACGTATTCTCTAGTGAGCGTTCTCACAGATCATTTGGGGATGGTGAGTCAACTTTTTAAAATCCAATTTTAATTTCCTTATTGCTACAAAATGCTAATGACAAGTGGCACACTCCAACACAGGATTGCCTGGTTTGATACATCAATACGCCCAAGGGGAACTCCAGTGGTTCCTCAGCAGTGCTGGGTCCGCCATTTTTTCCAACAGTGTTAGGTCAGTAATTGCACACACCTGACTGAAAAGATGCAAGCTGGGACAGAGCTACTACTTCATAAGGCTGCGAAGGGATAGACCATCTACAAGGTTGGACCTCTTCAGTGCCTAACAGCATGTGTTATGTACAGTAATGACTTTTCTATTCATATTTGTTAAATAAAACCTCTACCTCTAACAGGGATGCTAAAGCCCAGAGAGGTTAACTGGCTTTCCTAGAGYCTACCACCAGATATTGACTACATCATGGCTAAATCAGATCACCATTAAGATCACCAATAATTTATTCCATAAAATTGTGACCATATGCCATAGGGTACATGTTATTACCAAAACGCATATTAATGAAGATAAGACTATCTCACTTCAGTGTTGTACTTTGTGGTTCACAAAATGCTTTCATGAGCATCATCTCTTATGACTATTCCAACAATTATGATAGAAGCTAGAAACAACAATGCCTTTTCAACAATCTGTTCAGAAGTTGAATGCCAGGATTGAATTTTTCTTGATTCACCCAAGTATCCAGTTCAACTGTCCTCAGTAGTCAGACTCAGACTTCATTCTTTAGGTGCAGTCATTATAATCCAGTGCTATTCCCGTTTGTTCATGTGTGCACGTGTGCATACATAAACACACACACACACACACACACACACACACACACACACACGACAGTTAAGTGCCCTGTGGTCAGCTCTTCAGACAACAGATGTACCTTGTGGTGGGCCAGTTGCTGGGTAATCATCTCCAGGCTGCTGGTCTCCAGAAGGTCAGGTGCCACCAACCTGCCAGACATCTGCAGCAGCCACTTTTCTACCTCTTGGAGCTCACTGTTGTAGTCTTCATGGTCTTTGACTTTCGCCTCCAGACTGAGTACATGCTCCTGTAAAACCAGGTGCCCATTAGAGATGACTTTCAAGAGAAAACCCACTCAAAACTGATTTGCATTTCAAAAACCCCAGGGCAATTCATAGGGTTGGCAGAGTTACTTATATCAGAAAACTAGGACTAGGAGTGGGGCTGGGGATGTAGCTCAATGATGGAATGCATGTTTAACACCTGAAAGGCCCTGGGTTTCATTCCCTGCTCCAAAACAGTAAATAAATGAGTAAAAAGAAAGCTATCAGGGATGGAAAAAATTAATAAGACATTATGCAATTTAAATGCAGCTGATAAAAATACTTACCCATACTAGTTCTTAAAGCTATCTAACAGAGAAGGAGACGSTAGGGATCACATTTTGGCAATTATACATTCTTATTGAATCTGATCTCCCYTTACCTTTCCCATGCTGCAGAGGTCCTGGTAATCACCTTGAAGTTTATCTATTTTGTCCTTTAAAGTAMCATCATGTACCAGTTCCAGAAGAGCTTCACCTTTCTCTCTCACCGAGTTGACTGATGGTTCATGGGACAGCACCATTTGCTGTAGGGACTTGAACAAGTAAGAAAGAAAAACCAGAGTCAGCTCACATACCTTCGGAACCCTTGACATGACCCACCTCACAGAAAGACTTGATGTACACATTATAAATCAGGAAGTCTAAATCACCAAGGAGGGTGTGGCTCATCAGGGATAACACAGGGCTACACAGAGGGAGAGCAGGACCTCAGACCGCCCTTCAAATGTGGAGAAGAGATTATGGAAAAGAATTAAGTCTGGCTGAATTTAATATATTTTCTATTTTTCCTACTTCATTCCTTTCAGCAGAGAAAGAAGAAAACACAAAAGAAAGCAAAACATACCACTGAGTGAGACCTACTATCTTTTGATTTTGAGGTCATGAAGTCTGTTCCAGCAATAGTTTAGGCGTGGCATTAGGGAAATGGATTCCAGCCTTGACCATGCTGAGACTGGGTTGAAAGTGCTATTTAAACATTTCAGGGATTTGGTGTGGGGATGGGGGAGGAGGAAGGGCTGTGGTAATTATGTGGCATCTTCCAAGAGAAGCGCTAGGCTTGATGGAGAGGTCGCCATAGAATTAGACATATTGGTTGGAGATGTTTTCATAAGCTTCCAAAGCTTGGCAGGAAGCTAACACTCTGTAATTCTTACAGACCATCACTAACTCATTCAGGCCTTCAAAAACACAAACTATTTACAGACAAGCTTTGCCAATTGCTCAAAAATTTGAGCAGATGAAATGTCTGTACCTRTATCATATATTTTTTTTTTCAAAAATTTCTAAGGTGTTTAGCTACAGTTGGTTAGGTAGAACTTATTCTTTTCAGATATGATATCTCATTYTTCAATTTACAGGCCAGCTTCAAGRCCTTCAATATCAAAGGATGAGTGACAGCCTTCAGAGGGGTCAGGTAAAATTTATAAGTACAGGGTCCTGATGACAGCAGATTTATTTGGAGGATCCCTATACCTGGGTCACGCTATCAGGTATAGGGATCCTCCAGATAATTCTCCATATGTTGATTGTCACAATCAATAAACTGATAGTTCAAACTTTTGGATATCAGATTCCTGAATGGAAAAAAAATAGCTCCAAGGCAAGGTATTTAGTTAAATAAACTCACTTACTACAACGACATCACTGGCCACWAGTGGAACAGAGCCATCAGGGAAGCTATCAGCACCATCAGGGARATGCACATCTGGAATCACCTCCCTCCCATGGGGACCCACAAGCCCTCCACCACATCTGGAGTAGCAGCCAGGCACTACCTTGTATTTGGATAGCTGAGCTTTTTTCTCATATAGTTCCATTTTGGGCTCCTGAGGAACACRTAGGACTTCCTGGTATTCTGCGGTCCACCGGGCCAGGGCTTTACATTTATCTGAGAATTCCTTTGCTAAGTGAAGACCTTTCTCCAGGGTCATGTGCTCTTTCCGAACAGTGCTGGTCAGTTCCTTCAGTTGCTCCACGTGGTCATGGATCTCTCTTCTTAATGTCTCTGCGTCACCATTCTCCAGATACTTAGCAGCCCTCTCACCTTTCTCTCTGGCTGATTTTAGCAAACTGTGGCCTTTCTCCATGTCTTTTAACAAAACCTGCAAAAGTCAGTGAATAGAAAGCAGATACAGGTAGTCTAGTTTCTTTCCTCTTAAAGAAAAGGCTTTTAAGTCCCATTTTTTGTTCTTCTATATCCTCTTAAAATAAATTTTTGAGGTCTGAGCTGTCAGGAATCAGAAACTCTCTTTTCATTACTTTAATAGAGTTTTATTATTATTATTATTTCTAAATCAAAGACTTAAAAAAAAAACAAACTTGTGGTGCCCTTATTCTCAGCAATCTCCATAGAGGTCTGAGTTAAAACTCTTTGTTAAGGCAAAAAAACCATAACAAATCATAAATTTGAGATAGATGTTTTTCTCTCTTAATAGTCAAGTGACAAACTGGAATTTAGTTTAAGACATTGTGGGCAKCTGTGTATATGTCATTTAGATATATGACACATCACAAATAATTGAAAGCCAGCTTTTACTTTAAAGAGTGTTTAACCTTGGAGTTTTGAATGAAATGCAGAATCAGGATCACTAAATGTGTGGTCAGGATGAACACACGTTTCCATTATCTACAAAGGGGAATGGGGCAGCAGGTGATAGGAAGAAGGTAAATCAGAGACAAACCTGAAGAATGTGTGCCTACCTCCAAGGTCTTCAACTTCTTCCCCATCATGGCTTTATCTACTTTATCAATTTTAGTTGCCACATTCTTGAAGTTTTTATGAGTAGAGCCATACCAATCGGAATAGGAACTGAGAGAGAATTCTGATTCCTCCAAACTCTGGATTTCTTCTTCCAGGAAGTTTATTTGTTCCTAGGAAAGAAAAGAGAAATTGGAGCCACACATGAAAGACCTGGGCCAGGGCCCCTGAGGATTGATGTGCATCTTACTGGATGGAGGCTGATGAGCGGAAGGCCGGCTGGCGCCTCGTTGAGTGGCCGACAATGCACTCACCAGGACTTGGAGGAGCAGGGCCTGGTATYGGGAGGTCAGCTGTGTGGCCTGGCAGCCCATCCTGCTGTTCACATGGCTCTCGTCCAGGATCTCCTGTGCTCTGGCGCCCACTTCCTCCACCTCATCTCTGTGCCCCACCACTTCATCATGCCACTTCTGAAATGACAAAGAATCAGAGGGAGAGACTCACCCCCAGCCTTTGTTGACTAAGACAAAACCTATGAATATCTTCTTGATAAAGCATGATTTCAGCATGTGTTTAGAATATATTGCAAGATATAATTTTGAGAACATGTTTTATATAATCTTAGTGAAAAATTTGTCTTGCAACAAGATGATAAAAACTGYATGCATGCTTCTGAGCTTGGATGCTTTTCTGCATGTATTATACTTCAGTTCAAAAACCTTTTTTACCCTCTTCTTAAGACATTTTTATTACTGCATTTTAGTCATATGTAATATTGGGGGTTCATTTAGACATAATCATATGTGTATGGAATATTATTTGCTCCAATTTACTCCCAGTGCTTCCCCTTACCTTCCTCTTTTCTTTCCCCACCATGTTCTCCTTACTCTACTCTGTTGGTCTTCCTTCTATTAATTTGTAGCTTTTTAAAATTGGTGCTATATATGTCTGCATAAGGGTGAAATTCACTGTGGAGTATTCATATATGTACATAGCATAATTTGACCAATTTTATTCCACAGATTTTCCCTTTTCCCATCCTTCTCTCCTCTTCCTCTCTCCCTTTTTTTCTATTCCACTGATCTCCCTTCTATTTTCATGGGATCTCCTAGCTCCTTTTTACCTCTTATTTTTCTCTAGCTTCTGCATATGAGAGAAGGCACTCAACCCCTGACTTTCTAAGTTGGGCTTCTTTCACTTTGCATGATCTTCTCGGGCTCCACTCATTTACTGGCAATGCCATAATTTCATTTTTCCTTATGGCTGAATAAAACTCCATTGTGCATACATAATGCATTTTCTTTATCCATTCATCTGTTGATGAGCACCTGAACTGGTTCCATAACTTGGCTATTCTGAATTGTGCTGCTATAAACATTGGTATGCTTGTTTCACTATAGTGTGCTGATTTTAGTTCTTCAGGATAAATACCAAGGAGTAGGATAGCTGGGTCATATGATGGTTCCATTTCTAGTCTTTTGAGGAATCTCCATACTAATTAAAATACTTTTTAAAAAGTGAAGTGGTATATAAGTTTTATGTCATCTGTTGCATCTACATTGGTTATAAAAATGGTGAATCATAAAAAAATCCCATGGTATATGCATTATTTTAGATGTGAGCATGGAAATAGCATAAAAATTAGAATAAGACTAATTTTAAAGTATGAATATACCACATAAGAGCAATCTCACAATAGAACCAAAAACTTAAATGATTATCATGCTATCATTTATGTATTTTTGCAAAGCAAGGTAAAAATGCATGGGAAGAAAATACAAAATATTTCCATTAAACTATATCCTACCAAAGACTAATCTGCAAAATAATTACTGGAAGAAGAATGGTCCACTTATTTTAAATTTCTAGGCAAGCAGAAATTAATTTTGTGACATCTAAGCCTTGGACAAGCAGCTGCTAATATCGTAATGAAACCAAAWATGCAAGATTTAACAAGGATGAGATATTTCCACGAGTCCCACCTTCAACTGATGTAACTGTAATTCCTTGGTGGCTCGGTTAGACTGACGTCCAGTCCTGAGACTCACTTTCTCCTCCATTTTTTTTAGCCATTCATCAACTTGCTGGAACTTCTGCTCCATCAGCCTCAGCTTGTTCACTACGTTGTTGAGCTGCATCCGGGTCTCAGACAGTCTGTGCTGGTAAGCCTGCCAGTCCTGCCGGAGCGACTCGAGCGCCCGGTCCTCTGCCTGGGGGATGCCTGATGGGATCACGTCCTCTCTGGTGTGCAGCACTGAATTGAGCAGTGCCTGTCCCTCTGCACAGTGCACCTGCAGTTCCTGAGGACCAAAGGTATGGCTGTCACTCCTCATATCTCACGTTTGTGGGGGGTCAACCTGTGTCATCTCACCCAAGCCAACTGGACCAGCTTGAACCTCATGCCAGAAATAAATGATTTCATTCCAGGCTATAAAAAGTGTGCACCRAACACTGAATATTGTTTCCCAAGTTTGGAAAAAGATTCTGAAATTTTTCTAATTAAAATTATCAACATGTAAACCCCCTCCCCCAATTTTTCCAATCACCGGTTTCTGAATAAATACTTGAAATATGGGATGTGAGAGAATTTATCTAACTGCATGATGATTTGTACTATATTTGACTTTCCAGTTCACAGGCAAAACCACTCATGATTAAAGGACTATTGTTCAAAAGAATAACCTACTTTCATTATGGCTCATAATCAGCTTAGAGTGCCTGAGGCCTGGTGCTATGACATTAAGTGAGCTCAGTGTTATACTTGTGGCTGAGAAAGGAACAATGGGTCCCCTTTTTGCTAAGGAGGGATCCTTGCCAGAGCTATACCCTAGGGAATGTTGTRGTCAAGAAAAGTTGGGTCTGGAGGCACACAAATCTGGGAGGTTGACTCAATACACCTGCCCACCAGGTGTACCAGGTACGAATATATTTCCTTCGCTCAGGCATAAGCCCCCAATTACCAAAGAGCATAACTCTAAGACTTGATTCATACTGAAATTGTAGCATAGCATAAACTCTTTAAGAAAGAAAAAAAATCTTGTATCTTTAAAGATGTTGGCAAAACAAGATGAAATATATTTATTTATAGTCACACAAAAATTTAATCCATATTATCTCTTGATATGATCATCTACAGTAAAAGGAATTAAGTCAAATGTCTCCAAGAATGTTCAAGGTACCAACATATTTTGTAAACATACAGTATTACGAAAGAAGTACTTACTATTACATAGAACCATTTGAATTTGCTGTATCTGATCATTTTTACAGAAATATAGCAATCTCAAATGTTTCCAACTAATAGAACATTTTTCTTCAGATATAAAGTCACYCCTAGAATGATGTAATGTGACTGTGTAGGTACACAGAAAAAGAACAACAATCCATATGGGAAAACTGTCATCCAAATGACCACAAATACAGTAATTGTGTTCCAAAATTCTTAGACTATGTCCAAGGTAGTTTTTTGTAATCTTTTTTCCTAATTCAAGGTCAGTGGATTTTTTATAAAAAGGGCCTGACAGTAAGAATTTTAGGTTCTATGGGCCTTTTGGTCTATGCTACAACCGCTTTGCCAGTGCACCAGTTTTACAGCTGCAGATAGCACATGAAGGAAGGTGGTGGTGGGGTTCTAGAAGCACTCTACTTAAAACACAGACCTTAGAGCCAGGAGCTGGAGTGAACTGATCACTGCCCTGGTTTATTAAATATTCCTAGTATATCACCCTTCCTGTATATGATAAGATAGTTTAATCTATTAAACAAATCATCATCCTCCAAGGMAAATTCTTATATTTCCAATATCTCAGGTATTTATGCTGACAAGAAAACAGTTTGATACTTAGATATAGATAAATGTTCTATGACTCAAATTAGGGCTTTGGTTCATATAAAGTAACTCCTGCTTATGGGCCATGTTGCTGGCGGATCCCTGCACCACTGCAGGAGGACAGCAGGATCCTGAAGGAGTTCTGTTCCCACCTGGAGCATCACAGTGCTCCACCACTGCTTCCTGCCTCTGCGTCCTCCATGCTTATGAACACATGTAGTGACCCAAATGTGACAGTGTAAGAATTAACGATCGGGAAGCCAGAGGTTGGAGTTAGGTTTGAGCAATTAATCTGACTGAAGTGCAATGTATTCTTGTGACCAGAAACAAGAGAAACATCTGGTAACTTGTTGGCCCAATTCCTTTGCCTGTCCGGAGTGAAGTGCTGAGAGGGTTATTCACAGAAAACAGTTAACAGTACTCAAATAAATTACAGCAGCTAAGCCTGGAGGATTAGGACATCTTATTCTTTTAAGGTAGGATGAATAAGACCCTTGAGCAAGCACACAAAATTGTCACCCTTCTAACTTCTATTTGTTTATTTTGTGAATAAACCAGATATTTAAATAAAGATTCCCTCCCTTCTCACTTAACCTGCATAATGACTTTGTAGCTGAAATTGTCAGGGTTCTCTTGGGCCTAAAGTCACATAATGAGGCAGGTCCTACCAAGGATGAGAGCTCAAACTTGCTATCCAAAACTTGTTCTTTTGATATCATACAACACCAAAACCCAACAGAAATAAAATTTTATATACCCATGATAACCATGAAAGCCCCTTATTTTCCATCTTGTCCAAGTTGAAGGGACATCTTTCCCAATTATGAACCAGTTCAAATCCTGCCTGACAGCTCGTTAGGAGGTTGTACACAATACTGATGGGGCATGGAGTGGTCTCATTGACTCTTCTCCAAATCTCTATCATGTATTCCTGGGAACCCCTTCTTGGGGCATGCCACTGACTCCTCCCCACCTCTCATGGTAAGATTAAGGGCCCCCTCTTTGATGACACCATAAGATCCCTTGCATTAGTGTATGTTGGCCTTACTTCATTATTATAGCTGTCTACCTTATGGGTTTGGATTACTTACCAGATTGCAAATTCCTCAAAGGAAGATATAGATATAATAACTCAATCATTTGTACCTGAAGAAACTAGTAAGGCATCTGCATTCTGTTAGGTATTCAATGAATGGAAGGAATGAGTAAATAGAAATGTTACTACCCCTTTCCCCAATGTCTGACATCTCACCRTAGATTGCAGCTAATTGGCCTGAGTGCCAATAATTTTTCTAGCTCTTCTAGTTCTTATTCTAGAACTCTGACCCTGGGTCTATATCTTCAGCAATGTGGAAGGTTCTTCTTGAAACCAGATTGTCCAAGATATTTCTACCAGTTTGTCTCAGAGTAGCATCACATTTCATCAATTCCTGTTTATGTCCCACATATAAGACTCTTTCAGGGACTCACAAAGCAGGAGTGTCAGTCACTACCATATTCTAGATCTCTGGCCACTCCTGTTAGGGGGCACCTTGGTAGTGGGCTGAATAGCCCAACAGCCAGTCCTGCTGGTCTAAACTGCCCACAAAATGATCAACTCACATTTATTACCAAACTCCYGGAATGCTCTGGATCAAACATTACCAGGACTGTAGTTAATATGCATAAAGTTCTCTATAGGACTCAAAGTCACATTATGTCAAGGTTCTATTGCTCAAAAAAATAATTCCACCTTCAGAAGGAAGAATCTTTGTTTTAGGATAAAATAGATTTTACCTGAAGGTCCCGCAAGGTTGTCTCATGGGTGTGCGCATCACCCTCTAGAACTGAGTATCCGTCTAGCTTTTCTTGTTCTTGTCCCAGCCACACCTGAAAGGCCTGKAGGTCTCTCTGATACTCTTGGTGCAGACGAACCAGTTTTTCAGATTTGGTAACCACTTCCTGCAATTAGCATTTAGAAGAATTTAGAGAGAAAGCAATGCATTATGATGCATAGTCTCAAAGTGCCCTATGAATCCACTTTTGGAATTTTAGAAAAGCACAATTTTTAAATCATTAGAAAATGAATGCTTTCCTAGAAGAATAAGACTTTAMATTTTATTTGCAAAATAAAGAGACAAATATTTCAGGAATTAAAATGGATTTTAAGATCAGTTTGTTGAATTAACTCCCTGATCTCTCATTTTTTTTGTGAAACGTTACACAGAATTTTTGCTTTTCATAAAAATTCACTTTTGTTAATGATGAAAATTGAATATTTTATATTGTGCCTTAGATGAGAATTTGGACTCATTTTGGATTTACTTTTCTAAACTCTGTCAAATAAGGTAGGATATGTTCTTAAAAAGTGTTTTAATTCTCTTCATATGGTCTATTTGAAAARTGATAAATATTATGATTATTTCTTACTTTAAAAAATTCTCATTTTTCGATAGACTATAGCATTTATAAGTTTTCATTATAAAGCCAACAAATTTTTGTCAAATTGGTACATTTCTAGAAATTTTTAGAGAAATTATTTCTACTTCAGCAATTTTCATAAATGCTTACAATATTTTGAAAGTTTTTGTTTGGTTTTGCCAGAGATGCATTTAAAATCTTAAAATCCATTTTGTTTCTATTGTTCTAWCTGGTCTTACAAGGGTGTCATTACTGAACATCAGTGAGCCTTGAAATAAGCACAGCTCCAAACACCYCCGTTTGGGTGGGTCTCCAGGAGCCTGGTTAGCCATACCTTGGCTCTCTCTTTGATYGTTTGGTATCGTTCCTGCAGATCCTGGAGTTCTAACTGGGTGACATAGTGCTCTGTCATGCCTGCGCCTTTGACTTCAATGGTCTCCAGCAGGCTGCTATGACTCAATACTTCTTCATTTAACAACTAGAGAACATTTAAAATAAATAAATAAAACAGTTACTCCATGTACCACTGTATCAGTGATACTGCTAAACCTAAAWTACTTCAAGTACGTAGTTGACAAGTGACCTCAAGTCACCCATCTACCCATCCATCTATCATTTTACACATCTAAATGATATAGATACACATGTGAATGTATATAGGCTTATCTGTCTTTGTGTATATTTCATATCTGCTCCAGATCTTCCTTTACGATACTATTTTGCAATTGACTACTTTAAATTTCTACTTGGCTATCTCAAACTTAATCTCTCCATAAATGTTCTCCATAAATGCTCAGTTCTGCCCCATCCCCATTCTGCCCCAGCWCCTGTACAATGCACTTCCCCTTCAACCTCTTTTTCAAACAGTAAAAGCTACCACTTCCTCCCAGATGGCTAATCCAGAAATCTGGAAGYCTWCAGTTGTTCCTGCCTCTCCACCCTTCTATCCATAAGGAAGCCCTGTTAGTTCCCCCTGCCAGGAGATCATGATATTGTCCCCACATCTACTGTAAGCTCCCTAGCCCAGGTGCCCTCATCCTTCACTGGGACTTTGCAGCTGTYTCCTAGACAGAGTTCCTGCCACCAATTCTTGCCCCAACCTTTGTCCCATACTCCCCACAGATACCTTTGTGGTAAAATGTTTCAGGATTGATAAATAAAACATATTACTCCCCAGCTTAAAATACCAGTTATCTCCCCATCTGTGGCAGGACTGAGTAGAAAACCCTCAGGGTCACCACCATGGAATTACATGTGATCAGGTCCCTGCCGGACCCGATCACCCCGTGGCACCTTTGCCTGCTGCTCTCGGGTCCAGCAGTACACTGCCTTCCTCYGCATCACTGATTGCACCAGGTCCTTGCTTCTGTCAGGGCCTGTGCCCATTCTACTTAATCTGTCTAGAATTGWCTTTCCCCAACTGCCTCCCAGACTAGTTTCTCTTTGCTAAGTCTTTTAGGGCTTAGTGTACATTCTGTTTCAGAGAGATGTTCCTGTTTCAGACCATCCCTGTGCCTTGATCTCAAAAAATCTACATTAGCCCTTTCCAAATTACTTCCTCTCACATTCCATAGTATTAGCTTACTAGTTATTTATGGATTCGTTTACTTATTGCTTGGTGTATACGTTTCCAGTAGAACCCAGCTTTGCCTGTTTTATTCACCTAGAATGCAGCASAATACCTGCCTACAGCAACTTCTCAATAAATACTGATTGAAATAGATATATAATTTAATTAATTAGCTGATTAATCATTTTAATAGGTAATAAATGTAGATAATTATGAAGCAGAAAATTATGATTATACTAATTTACAGATGCATAAAGAGACCTAGAATATTAAGGGACTTGCATAGGTTACATAAGAACATTTAGTCGTTCAAATGACTTCCACTCATCATTTGCTTGGCATCTGAAAAAGAGCCAAATGCTTAGGAGGAAACAAAATTAAGCACCTCTAACCACTGAGGGAGAGGGACACAAAATTTACAAAGAGATATGATRTAAGTGCTCTGAGAGAATAGAACAATCTGGGCTGGGTTAGGGGTACTGCAGCCAGAACAATTTCTGCACTAATTCAGAAAGGTCAGTGGAGGCTGTCAGGTGCAGAGGCAAAGTGAGGAGGCCTCAAGGAGGGAAGAGATTGYATGAGATTCAGTAAGAGARGAGAGGGCAGRAGAGGAGGAGAGRAAGATGGCAGAGGAGATTAAAACAATCCTTACAGACCTTGGGGGAGACTAATGTTATCTTAGAGGCAAGTGGAAGGGAGGTGAGATGTTCACCTTGATACTAAGATAACAGGAGATGGAGACAAGAAGCAAGGTGAGAAATTAGGGTGTACTGGAGTTKGGGAGAACGGATGGATCAGCAGGATTAGTGGTGATGTGACTGAGGAGGAGGAAGGAGGAGCCTGGGAAAATGAGTCAGTATCTTCAGTATGGAACCATCTACAAGAATCAAACTGAGAGTACAAAAGCTGAAGAATTTCAGTGCGGAAGGTAATAAGGTCAGCTTAGGACATGATATTCCAACACACATGCCCTGGAGCAGGGCTGTAGCCACAAATAAAAGGTTTCCCCAAGTTTATGTTTGACTTATTAATGAAATAGTTTAAAGATCATGCCCTTAATATTATTTATTTTAAAAAATCTTCACATGCAGTCCTATACTAATATGAAAATGTTATGAAAAAGTGCACATAGGTAGTAATTCAAAAGGACCTGATAAAAAGAAGCATTTTACTTCCTGGTGGTGAACAGTAGAGGATATGAAAAGGTCTTATAAGTGGCTAAATTTTAAATGGTGTGTGTCCCCAAATATAGGTGTACATGATTTTCCTAGCAGAGGAATTTTTTACTAAGAAAATAATGACAAGTTAAGAAGCCATTAGAAATGATAGTACAAGGCCAAAATATAATCTCTCTATGTGTGCAGTCCTGGCACGCAGGTAACATTTTTATCTGACTGTGGTATCCTAGAAAAGCCCATAAGAGATCCTTGGCACCTGAAGTCCAGCTCTAACCTTGGCTTTGCCGAGCGCAGTCACCTTCTCCCGCAGCTCCGCACACTGCCTTTCAGACTCATTGAGGCTGGCTTCCACACCGTCCATCCAGCTGGAAAACTGCCGGACGTCGTCCTGATAGCTTGTCCATTTAGAAAGAGCTCCTTCAAGCTGACTGAAAAGGATTTGAAAGGAAAATATCCTTACTGAAAGTCCTTAGGAGCTGACTTTTGTCACTGTGCCTCTTCCATCCACTCCAGTCAGCAGAGGATCCAGAGACCCAGGATAGGGGCAGACTGGCGAGTGGGCAGCTCGCCTGGGCTCATCGAATGTAGGTCTAAAGCTCCCCAGAGAAAAGGCCCCCAGGAAGAGCAGGACTTTTCTGTTGAGCTGAAACTCTGGGCACAAAGARAACCAACACTCAACTCTATCAAGTCCAGCAAGACATTCAGAGCAGGAGACAAAWGAACTGTACACAAACCCACGAGGCAGGAAAGAAAGAAGGAAGAAAAAGCATAGTAGCCATGTTTCMTGAGATTTAAAAGTCATTAAAACACCAGGGGAAAATAGGGTAACAGTCCTTCAAGTAAATACTAACARTTATTTCTCTTRCAGAAAAGTACTTCTTTGTGTCCAYAYGTATGCTMTGTACCTAATTCCTTTCATCCTATGAATTCCATTCACCATCTGAGCCTGATTTTCCTGCTGCAAGTTGACTGCCTCTGTGGCAGGTGCTGTCAGTGCCTTGTCCTCATCCTCARACCCCCAGTGCTCTGTTCTGCCAGTCCCTAGCTCTCTCAGCCTTAGGATGTTCTCTCATCCCTGATCCACCCTCAGAGTGAAGGCACTGCCGACGAGRAGTGCCAGGGGACTGTCACCCTGGGGCCAGCCCTCCTCCACCCTTTTGACTCATGGGAGTGTGTCTGCAAATGCCTCTGCTCTTGTGCCTTTGGGTGGGATGACTCTGAGGCACATGCTGTGCAACAGTTCCCTGTGTCACCCAGCCAGGTGAGTTCCTGGTGACCCACGTGGCAACCTGTTGGATAATACACCCTTTAATGCCTGCCTCCCTTWCTTGGCTTTCTTTCCCACGCCTAGCTAGTATCTCCAGGGGTCATCTCCCTCATAAATACTCAGTTTTAATCAAARTATTTCTCTAATACAAAGCACTTATTTATTTTTTTATTTTAAACAGCAATCAATAACAGTTAGTTTAGTTAGTTATACGAAAATGTAGTCATAGTACTGTAGTGCAACRTAAATGCAAGGTTATACTTGCTAGTTTCTTTTGCTATGAGAAGAGAGAGAGAAGGAAAAAGGGGTAGGGGGAGGGGAAAGACAGAAGGAAGGGAGGGAGGAAAGGAGGGAGGGAGGGAGAAAAGGGCAGGAGCCACAGAACAGCCTGTTACTGAAACATTAAGCTGATCCTTCAGTAAGGCTTGCCAGTGCTTGGGTGTAGTTTTACTTACCTTTTACAACGAATGGCTGCAGACAAGAGGGATGCCCACCTCTCCTTCACAGCCTGCAGCTGCTGCTGGATGGCAGGAAYGCCTTCTGGAGAAGTGTTCTGCAGGACATATTCCCCCCTGGTCACTATCATTTTCATCTGAATCTCTTTTTCCTGTTTCACTGATAGCAGAGCCTGTAGAAACAAATACAGAATCCCCTTGTCATTCGCATGTTAAATATGCAACAGCTTCAAATATTTCAGAGCTCCTGAAAGTGGCATATGCAACTATGCCATGGAGGCCCCATGGGAAGTCAGATGCTGGTGAGTGCCAGGAGCCAGTCACCAGATATCCGCTGGTCTCTAAGTGGCCTGGGCATTGAAGGTTTTGATTTTTCTCTGAATGATGCCTTCCTTCCACTGACGTTTTATGTTCCTAGTTTTAACAAGGGGAAGAAAGTCTATATTTCAGTAGCATGCATGAATTCTCAAAGGTCACAGGATGCAGAGCTTATAAATGTTGAGATTCTAACGCACACTTCTATAGAAATAGATTCTGTGCTCCAAGTTCTTCATAAGCCTTATTCTTTCTCATGTGAGAAGGAAGTTTAAATTCAAAGTTATAAAGTTGGTAGTGTCATCCAAAGGCAAAGCTGCTTCTCTGCTCTTTGTCTGGATTTTCACAACCCTCCCCGCCCCAGTCCTGGTTYAGCCTCTCATGGCCCCTGAGTCTGCTACAGAAAGAAGGGACTGCTACCAACTTCTTATGTCACGTTGGCTCTTTCTCTTGCTCATACTTGCCGCCTCCCTGGTGCCATTCTCAAATCTCCATTCAATCACCTTTGCCAGGATAACTCCCTCCATGATTCTTAAAAACTTGGGTAGGAACCTGATTTTCTAAGAAACCTGCTCCACTTCTCAGCTCTCTCCCCCCTTGCATAGTTCCACACCTGAGTGTCCATGACACCCATACACACATCCCCATCTGTTATTGTCCCCTGCATTTCAACCTCAGTCTCAATGAGATTCCTGAGGACAAAGGCCACTTCTTACTCATGTCTGATTTCTTGGTKTCAAGACACAGTGCCAGTCTTCTGCAAGGCGCCCAGGGGATATGAATGAAAGGTATGACTAGGAATGAAGGTAGATTCATCACAAATGCTACATACAACTGATACCTTAGGATAGGAGAAGAGGAGACTAACTGACACAGGCAGGCAAATGTGTTGAATAAGGTGGACAATGTTTWGCCCTCTAAAAAGTTTCATTGAAATATTTTCTTAAAATAAATGGGTCATATAATTTTAAACTAGCTTCTTATTTGGATATCGAGCAAGCAGCCACAGTAGGTTTTATTTTGTATTTTGTTAAGCATTTTTAGGCAAATATATCTAGGGTCAAATGATCCATGAATGCTTGGGCATGATCATAATAAGCAAATGGTATCACACCCACAAAATATTCTGAGACTTCTATTAGACACAGTGTGATCTRATCAGACCAGGTAGAAGGAAACTTGAGAAATTTTGAGAAAAACAAATTCTGCAAGTCGGAGATCTCTTAAAATGCACACCTCAAGCTTGAGCATCCTGCTGTCCAACACGCTTTTGTCGGATGTTGGGTGACAGTAAGAATCCAGCATGTGAACGGTGTCTGTCATCCAGTCTTGCAACTCTTTAACCCCGAGGGAGAACTGATTGTGCTCTGCAACGATTCTGTCCAGTCTCGACACTTTCTCCTGGGAAAGACAGAGACAGGTTTTCACTCTCCACTCCCCACCCTGCACAGCCCAAACCTTTCTTTAATTGATGGAATTTCCTCCTAATGCCTCGTCATAGTAGTCTTCAGCTTTTGTTTATCACATCTGGCTCAACTGAAACCACCTACTCCTATTGACATACATTGTTTCAGTTTTAAAAAATAATTGCCTGAGATTTCGCAGTATTTCTAAATTATATATATATATATATATATATATATATGTATATATATATGTGCATATATATATAATAAAATATATTTTAGTTGATACATAATAATTGCACATATTTACAGAGTGCAGTGTGATATTTTAATACAGCTGAGACTACTCATGTTGTTTTATTTAATTATAGGTCATGTCCAACATAGTGTAGACTTTATAAGGCTAGGAAATAATTCTTAAAGCAAACACTTACTGCCTGTTAATATCTAAGTAAATACAAATGAATAAAAGTTGTTCATCATTCATTCTAATTTTAGGCATGTACCTGATTCTTGAAAAAATAAAAAAGGGACTTATTCATAGAGTAAATATGAGTATAAATGTAGAATATATCAGTGTGACTATCTCAATGATAGAAATATTTGAAAATTGAAGACTTAAATTATGAAGTTAAATTAAATTAGAAATAATGAAAATTGAAGACTTAAATTATCAGACTCAAATTATTTAAGTAAGTTTACTTAATAGTGAGGCCAAGGCAGGCCTGCAGCGTACCTGTGAATGGGTTTGCATCATGCTGGTTGACTGCTCTCGATGTGCCCTAGGGGGTCCCATTTACCTTTTTTCTAAGCTASTTGAAGATATTTAATCAGTTATATAAATCACTGACAATTCTGAACTCTGCTTTAGAAACTAAACTGAAACTCTCAATCCGTATATCTTTGAGTACTATATAATGAATATGTGGAATTTAGGCAAACAAAAAAAGATTATTCCCAACTCATTACATTGAGTCTGATAAAATTTCAGCTGCTTTGAGTCCTTTTTTTTTTTTTTTTTTTGCTAATGGAATTTAATTCAAGGTGTTTTGGAACAAAAATTCTGACTTGTGCCTTATGTGTATGTCCTGAGTCTCCAAAATCAAAGCCCTGAAGAACATATCATTTCAGGAATAAAAATGAAGTATTTGGGGCATTCGTGAAGATAGGAATCCTCCTGGGTCTTTGAAACCTCTCTTCATGTTTTCAGAGAACCACACTATRAGGCACAGAACACATGATGCACTTGAATTGCAAGCCTGGGGAGATGGCTCTTGCATGTCTTACTGCTGAGTTGGAGATGCCCTCCTTGGGCGAGTCAGATGGACACCCTGCACAGCTCCAATCTGCAACACCAACATCGCTATGGCACTCAMACACAGCACACGGCAGGGCAGGCATTACCTTGGTTAGATTGCTTAGCGCTAGATACTGAGAAGACAGCTGCGACACTCTGTGCATAAAGCTCCTGCTGGCAGCTTGTCCTTCCCACAGCTGCTGAGCTTTCTCTTTCAGCCTGTTGAGCTGAGGCTCGTAGCAGTGAATTTCCTCAAGGACAGACTGAAAAGCACAAGCAAGTTACCATTCAGAGGCTGGGGGAAAGCACACGGCAGATGGACGGACGGAGCTCTGGACCACAGAACATGGAAATAAACACTGTCAAGCGATCGGCATCACCTGAAGGCCTTTGTATCTCCAAGCTACACACCAGTGGAGCACCATGGGGGAAGGAAACAAATCAAACCTCAAAGGAAAGGAGGAAAACATACAGTATCTGTCATAAAGAGGGAAGGGACAGACTACATCTCAAGGTGGCATAGTCTAACTCCAGGGTGCCCAGCATGCATCTGAACGCAGGCCTGGTGGACAGAGGAAGGGACAAAGATGCTCTCCAAGGCATCAGGTCTCATCACCTGGAGCTTCTGCTGCTCCCTCCTCTTGGCTGGCAGATCGTAGAGGCGGCTGCTGCTTTCCTGGACCAGCTTCTCAGTCTTACTCAGCCAGGTTTGCACAGGTTCTGCGCTTACCTCAAAGTCTTTCATTTGGATCTTTAGATTCTGCAGGGTTTTAGTATCAGGGGCAAAGCAAACAAAAGTCAAGCACCAACTTCTTTATTTGCAATTCAAAGCCTACTTCCCTCTGGAACCACCCCTACTGCCCATGTTCCCTGCTTCTGGGAGGTTTTGTTCTTCACGWTGATACCAGTATAATTTCTGAACATCCTTTAAGAACTTTCTATAGTTCTCCTGCTTAAAATATATGTTTCTATAACTTTTCTGAGCAAAACCCAAGAGATCACACCACCTTCTCACTTCTAGGCATTTGYTTTTATGCCAGTGGTTACAGATTTTTATCACAGACTGGCTACACTGTGATTTTCACCTGCTGCAGGCTGGCTGGTCTCCATGCCTAGCTTATGAATCCTGGGAAGGGAGAATCTGTGCCTTGCACTTCCCAGGACACCCCATGGTACCTTGTAGAAGTATAAATCATCTATCTATCTATCTATCTATCTATCTATCTATCTATCTAATCTATCAATCAATCTAGTTTACATGTTTCTCATGTTCTCAGTGAAGTTTATTCTGATTTCAAAAGAGAAAATACCAAATAGTATGGTGTGCTTCTCATCTAAGAATGTTGTAAATACTCATAGACAGTCTGTGAGGAAACTATTAGCCCAAAAGTTAATAGCATGTCATTACAGTTCCATTTCACATTAGCAAAGATGTCTATRTCTGCTGTCCTTTACTTATAAAGTGCTAAATTGATGTGAATTTTAATGTTGTTTAGACTACTATGTGAACCAATTAAAGAGTTTAAAAATTAAATCAGCACTTCGGGATAGTTTTGTCCAAAAGCAAGTCTATAAAGTTAGTTGAAACATCTAAGTAGTACAGACTAACAGAGCCTGTGGGAGAATGCCCTAGGCCCCATCTGTGCCAGCCTGGGATATCTACTGTGAGGGGATACTGGTGACTCTATACTCACCTCTGAGGGAGATGGGTAGGCTATGGGAATACTTTGGAAAGTTAAGACATTAATAGTTGAATGTCTTACAGGCACACCAAATTTAATGTAAACTAAATTGAATGAATTATTATCCTTTCCATAATCATGTCTCAGTTGATGGCATCATCATCCATGCATTCTAGAAACTGAGGACTCAAACTGAACTTCTTCCATATGCCCCTTGTATAATTAACAACCAAATCCTGTTGAGCTTTACCTTGGGGGTGAATTTGTCATCCTATTATTATTTCCTTAATTTGTTCCCTCATTTCTTTTAGCTGGACCATTATGAAAAGCTTTCTTTGGTCTTCCAGCTACTCACTATTCCCCATCTGGTCCATGCTGTGCTCAGTGAGCTAACAAGTTTATCTCTAGCTTAAAGACCTGCAGATTGCTGACTCAGCCTTTCTCAACCAGGTTCTAGGAGCAAATTAATTCTCAGTGCCCCAAAACATCCATGTTATGGAATGAATTTATTTTCTTCCTATGCCCTACAATAGGATGTTAGGTTTTATCCTTMGGAAAACTGTCTGGGTTCAGATAAGGAAGTCTAGTCAAGAGTCAAGGTCAAACTGCTTAGTACAAAAGATAGTTCACTGTCTGGCCTTAATCTTTGTCTCTGGTTTTATCTCTGTTGTTGCTGTAAAATTTCACATCAGTATCAGACTTCTCAACATCCCCCATTCATTGTTGGCACTCATGACACTTGGGCCCTGTGCATTCAATTCCTTCTAGGTGGAATTCATGCCCATGGTGGCAAATTCAAAGAATGCTTGGCCATCGGTATTCTGTTTAAATGTCACCTCTCCGGACACCTTCCTTGACTTCTCTAAATAGTCAGTGGCATCTGTCTATGAGTGACTTCTACCCCTGAACATGCCTATATTAGATTACAAATAGCTCTTTGGGGACTGTTACCCTTCCAGAAAGTAAACTCTCTGAGGCAAGGYAACAGATTGGCCCTCTCAGCCACACAGTGCCTGGCTTATCATAGTCATTATTCCTAATAGGACAGAAGGGAGGGAGGAAGGAAGGCATGGACCAAATCAAAGAGTTACACCCATCATGAAGAGAGGCAGATTAAGGAGACAGGCCCTTCTCYTCCTCTTCCTCTTTTTTCTTGAACAAGGTAATTTTGCAATCACAGTGGATGCTTCAGAGCTCAGGGCAATTACACTAAGGATTCCTACAGGGTTAGTGGTAGAATTTCGGGCACTGCACAATGGCTAGTAATYGAATGAGGCCTGCGATGGAAGAAAGGTAGCTGTTAGCATTGAGTTCCTGCGTTAGGAGAGAATTAAGGAAATACTCACTTTCTCTCCCTGAATAGTAGTTCTCTACAGTTATTTTTCCCTGCCCCACTAATTATGGTCATGATTACATTCAGGATCTATTTTTCCAGGAAGTATTGYTTTAAAAGGGAAAGATGTTCTCTTCTCCATGCCTCTGCATATTTTCCTTGAGAGAAGAGTTGATATGTTAAATAGATGATCGTAGAAGAACAAAACCTTTGCAGTGTGGCAGTGARAACCCTGTGCTCATAATAAATGGTCTCTGTAGAAAATGAAAGGGCATCAACTTTCTCTCTTTGCACACTTAACCCCTAAAAAACCTACTACCTGATATTTGCATAAGTTACGTCCTCTCATAACTAGCATTTTGTAGCCATAAAGGAATATCTCCCAAACTTGAGTTACTTCAAATGAAACATTCAGTCCTGTGCTTAAATGTTCCCTAGTGAATGTGCTTGGGCAAGTTTGTGGTGCGAGGCCCTACCGTGCAAGAAGCCACCTCCTTCCTCAGGGTTGCTCACACTCCCAGCACTGAGCTGTCTCAGAGCTATTCAGTTGTCCATCAACATTCAAAGATCAGTGACTACAATTATTGACAAGGTTCTTGGACTCATTGAAACTATGTTTTAACTGACAACAAACAGGACCCTGYGGTTAGCCATATCATACCTCCAGGGCAGATTCCTTTTGGTGGAGGTTTGAATGAAAGCTCTTCCAATCTTCTTTTGCAGTTTCAACCTTGGCCTGGACACTTTTTGCTTTCTCTTTGGTCAGCAGAGCACTCAGAAGTTCTCCCTTCGATAGCATTGTGTTCAGCTTATGCTGCCCATTTTCACTTTCTGACGAAAACTCCTAGAAAGAAAAGAAAAATATGCTATATTTGAAAATTCTTTGATTTTTTTTCCATGTATTTCTTAGTGTGAAGAAAAGAAATAAACTATTTTCATATGCTAAGTAACCTAGGTCTTCCTTTAATTGTCAAGTTGTAAGGTATTTTATTTATTAATATAAATCCTGGCTTATTCCAAAAAGGTTGTGAGATATCTTATGAACTATGAGCTATTAAATAAAAAAATACACGAGAGGAAATGAGGATCAGGAGAAAATAAGAGTTGCAAAATGATCTCTGGCTAAGTTTACTTTACAAAATAATGCCCTGTAGTTCTGTGTAATTGGCGGAGCTTGATTTTGACTTTGACTCTGAGCATCCTAGCTTCCAAAACAAGAGTAAACACAACCAGGTACAGGACTGGACTCACAGGACCTGTGCAATACAAACCATCTGCTCYGCAGAAGCACAGCTGTTCCTAGAAGGAAATAGCAGATGAATTTCCCTGGGAATCTTAATGAAGTAAACACTGTTACATGGAGTAAATGGCACCATTATTAGCAGTTTATAAAAAGAGAACAGCAGAGTAATTTAYAGGATTGTCTTTATGAAGGACAAGTCAATGGCATAATGCCAAGAGTAACTCAACAGTGTGGCCACAGCATGTACTTTTCCCATGATGTGGCTGGATCCAAGGAGGGATCTCATCCTAAATAACAAAAACTCTACATTATACAGTAAATAGCCATTGACATTTTCAGGTGAAAATGTTGCATAATATTTTATACAATGGAAAAGACAGGAAAGCATAAGCTCAAGGTTATTTATTCTAGCAAGAAACAGAAGCATGGATGTTCTGTATTGTGGATTTTGATGAAAGAGGCTTGTTATAATTTGGGTGTAGTTTGTCTTCCAAGGATCCTGTATTGGAAGCTTGACCCTTGGTGTGGCAATATTAGGAGGTGAGCCTATTGCAAAGTAGGTCCCTGGGGACAGGCCTTGGGGAAATTCAGTTTGTTCTCTTGGGATCCAGAGTTAGTTCTCAGAAGAAGATTATTCTTAAGGGGTAAGTCTGGCTTCTTCCTAGTCTCTTTGGTTTCCTGTCTGATGATGAGGTCTCTTGTTCTTCCATGTGCTCCTGCCATTGTGGTGCCATTGCCATGRGATCCTCACTTAGAGCTGAGCTGACACCACTGCCATGACCATGAACCTTCAGAACTGTGAGCACAATAAACCTCTTTTATTTACAAAGTAGCCTACCTCAGGCATATCATTATAGTCATGAAAAATCAACTTATATAGAACCTTACCAGAACGATTGTTTTAATGGAGGTACTACCCCCATCCATGGGACTGGGTCAGAGAAAAGCCTAGCCTCAAAAATTATACTGAGTTTCTCCAGCACAGGCAAGTTGGTAATTGATGCTTGAAGATTCTACTCCCTAGCTTGGAGAAAAACTGGAAGAATTTTCAATGGGGAAAATTTTCAAAGCAAGAGTTATCTCATTATATTATGAACAAAAAAATTAAAAAGTCAAATGTATATGGACAGTACTACTTCAGAGATTGCTTCCAGCAAAGAAACTTCATCTGTGGGTACTTACACATGGTTTTTCTATGTACCTATGCCCTCTCTGGGGGAAAAAAACACTCAAATTTCATCAGCAATCACTCAAGACTGTTTGTAATCAGAAAAATCAGACATGCAAAAGCATGAAACACAATGTTACTGTGTACAAAAAAATGTTGGGGTTGAAGGTGGAGTGTGAGGTGGCACCACAAAGTTGAAGTTATTTGAAGGAAGACTAGGAAAAAAAAAAAAACCTCCAAACTCAAGCAAAATCCAGCTGTAACTATTGCTGTTTTACATATCAGCTCTGTGACTTCATTAAAACTCTTTGACCCTATTTGTATATTGGAAATAAGAACCATAAGAACCTCACAGTTCCTAATGTGGTTGGAGTGAAAATTGAATGCAAAAATCCACTTGGAATGTACAGGCTCATTGCTCATTGCATACAAGAGCTTTGATTATCTCCTAACCTCTCATTAATACATAAAATAGCATGCATTTATGAATATAAATGGAATAGTTTCTTTTCCCTTGTTTCAAGTCAAGCACTTATTTGAAATTTGATTTTGTTAAGCAAAACTTTCATATGCAAGGCACATTTCTAATCTAATTAACCATTCTTATTAGAATTAACAGATAAATTCTTACCTGTATTTTCTGAAGACTTGTCGTCACTTCACTAATATTCTGAGGTATATCAAAACATTTGGCGGTAGTGACCTTTGCATTAACCAACCACTGCTGGAAATCCCGGAAGGCTTTTCTAAACCTTTGCTGCAAAATCTGTTCTTTATTCTGGCAGCCCTTGGATGCTTGCAAACAAAGACTGAAAAAAATGATTTAAAAACTGAATGAAAAGGAAAAAGATAAAATTGATTAAAATAATATTTGATAGAAATGAGTTCTTAGAATATACATTTATTTCTTTTAGTAATGTATTTTATGCTTAACTAAAATTATTATTGAAATCACACTTAAAATAGCTTCTACTTGGTCTACGTTTCCTCTTTCTTTCTTCTTTACTTTTTTTTTTTTCTCTTTTTGAGATGGGGTCTCACTATGTTGTCCAGGCTGATCTTAAACTCATGAGCTCATGTGATCTTCCACCTCAGTTGGAATATAGTAGCTGGGACTACAAGCATGTGCCACCATGCTCAGTTTAGCTCTAACTTTGTATAAAAATATTTTGAAGCTGAGATGGTGATGGTGCCTGTTGTCCCACCTCCTCCTGAGGCTAAGGCAGGAGGATCTCTTGAGAGCCAGGAATTTAAGACCAGCCCAGGCAGCATAGTGAGACATTAGAGAAAATAAAATAAACTATTTTGAACACCTGGAAGGTTCTTGCTCACCAGTTATATTCTTTAATCAAGCCAGAAACTTTCCCACTGTAAGTACTCAGGTCTCTGGAAAATCGACAAAGTTCATTGAGCTGAGACTTGAGATCCTCGGTTGTGGGCTCTGCTTTTTGTAGAGCATCTAGGATTTCCTAAGAGAGAAAAAAACAAGCATTTAAATTAAGTAATTTCCATATCCTCACATTATGCATGCACAAATCATTATTAGTGATTTAAATCATATAAATTATTAGTGAGGAACAAAATAATACAGTAAATTCGGTAAAGAAGTGAGGCCTATTTGTAGGACCTCACCTGTATTCTTTTCTAGCCACAAATATATACTTCAGCATCAAATGTAAAATAGTCAAGAGCTTAAGTGGTCAAATGACTCAAATTGAGATAAGAAAAAGAAAAAATATCCTAAATTATTAAAAATSGTCTGGTTAGATCATTAGGGGATGTGTATATTATGTAAAGGTAAAGAAAGATCATTTTGAAGAAAGCAACATTTATTTTAGATTAGCAATATACGTAGTAATTGATTTCATGGAGTACATACAATTAATTGACATTCAGAATTCTTTATAATCCACAGGTCTATCTAACTAAACTAGCAGTTCATTCATCTCCTAGTTTCATTCTTAAAGTCTATTATGTGTCCAGCATTTTCCTGGATTCTTGGGTACCTTTCCTCCAATAAATAAAGGAAGACTTCATAATTCAATTGATGAGAGAGAGATGTGGATAATCACAGTACTGTATGTACTTCATCCAAAATAAAGTCTCAGGGCTTGATGAGTACAACTCTGAAATCAAAACCATGGTCACCTGGTAATGCAGGACAATTTGCAATTACAGCATTCCTCCTATAGGACTGTCACAGGAGGAAATGAGCTCATGATGTCAAATACTTATCACAATTCCTGGCATACTGATAGACGCCTAATTAGCAAAATTAGTGGGAAAATGATTCCTGGATATTTAGATGAGACTAAGTGGATAGTGGTTATGAAAAATAAAAAGCTAAAATAAGTTAAGGAGGAAGGACCCACAGATGAGTAATGACTCAAATAGTGTTGCTGTTACTCTTATGATCCTCTGAGATATTTATTGAGATGGCCCAGATGATATTTTTAGACAAAGATATTTACTGAGATGATCCAGATCTGTAGAGAAACCACATCCCTCATCAACAGACCAGGTCTAGGCTGCAGCCTCATCCTGGTAAAGGGTRCCACTGTCTTCCCCCTGCTGTGCATGAGATGTCTAAGGATCATCTTGGCCTTTCCCACGTGTGTCCCCTCTCACTCCATGCCAGCGATGCTCTAGTTGCACCTGAGTCCCTTCAATCACTCACTCCTTTTACATCTTCATCACATCATTCTGGAAATTCACAATGTACTACTCATTTCATTCCCGCTCTCTGGTTTCCTTTCCCAGATTTTGCTACCTCTTTGTAAAAGTCTGCATCTTGGGGCTGTCCCCCCACCTTCCTATTTGTCAAGTTGTACTCAGACCTTAGGATTCAGCTCAAGTCCCTGCTCCTCCAGGGATGCTCTGCACTCCTTCTTGCCTCCTGGAATTTCTCATCTGAGGATACACAGCACCTCATGGGCACTTGTTACAACGAGGGTCCCCACTGATTTTGTACCTGTTTGTCTTTTCACCTRAACTGTGGACATGAGCGCAGGGATGGGGTTCTCTTGGTTTTTCCACTCTTTATTTAGCTCAGTGACTGGATCAGAGCGTTTAAAACATTTTTATTTACAAAATTCACAAAAGTAACCAGTTTCTCTGTGAAACTCCAAATGTTCACATTTTATGTAAGGGAGAATATTGTAAGAACTAAAGAAAATTACCACCTAGCAAAAAAAAGAAAAAAAAGCAAGAACACTGAGATTCAAGTCAGCCACTTATATATTGGGTGACAGGAACAGTGAAAATCTTTGGCTAAAACTTCACATTTAAAAAATGTTCATGCTGGCTGGGGATATAGCTCAGTTGGTAGAGCACTTGCCTTGTATGCACAAGGCCCTGGGTTCAATCCCTAGCACCACCAAAAAAAAAAAAAAAAGTCCATGCTTTCATCCTTAATGAAAATTTTCCAGTGGAGCCTCTGATTATATAAATACTGCATCAAGTTATATCTGAGTCAGGTAAATTTCAAGTTGCATTTCCTCTTTGTACAGCTAAAGAAAATTGCTCTTATTTCCAACACTAGCAAACCAATATATTTTTAAATCAATGAGTTTTGCAAACACAATGAACATGATATGTTGCAACACTGTATTATATATTTTATTGATACTTGGTTTTATGTTTTAAAGGATTTCTTGAATACCACTATTTACTTATGTGAAATACTTGAGAAAGTTTGTGATTATTGTCATTGTCAGCAATAACGAGGCCTCACAGCAAAACCATGACACAAGAACCCTAGAAAATCTGTTTTACAAACATCTTCCTACACGTTCATCATAATCGAAGTATTATTTCCACTTTTAAGTAAAATGTTATTATTAGAAATAAGATATGAATGTCTGTCAATGTACTATTGACCTCAAAAACATTAGCTCTGGAGCCAAAGGTAGATACAGACCTAAGCAGAGGGCTGTCATCTTTGTTAGTAAAACTGAAAATCCACAATTACTGTTGCATTATCATATGTATTTTTATATCCATCATCTATTTTTCCAGTAATCGTATCAGTGTAATAAAAAATAGTAAGTGGAACAAGAATGGAAAGAAAAGGACACAAAAAGGAATCAAAACAATATAATTGATATGTTCCTATCAGATCACATGGAGCAATTACAACTTCTTTTTCCTTGTTCTGCTGAATGGATTACTACTATGCTTCATTCTGTTGCACAAATCTAAAGGTCAAAAAAGGCATCCAAAAAAAAAAAAAAACCCTCCAAAACAAAACCATAACACTTAGAAACATTATAAACAAACTAGAATAAAGAGATGATTATGAAGTTTAATTTCTGGTGAGTCTTACTTGCTTCAACTGCTTGATTTAAAACAAAGACAATGCTTGAAATATGACATGACTTTCTTACTCGTCCAAGCTATTTTGAAATGATTGTAACATAAATAGAAGCAGAGAAGTTTACTTCACTAGACTTCCTTGTAAGGCCAGCCATGATTCAGAGCATTATAAAACTACGAATATTGAAGAGGCTTTCAAAGTTAAGTCTGAACAGTCACAGAAAARGAGAGGATTTTGAGCTGCTTCCCATTCTTCTCTATTCCTTTCCTGCTTCTCTTTCTCACATTTTAAAAGAGCTGCCATTTGTTTAAAAAAAAAAAAGAAAGAAAACAGGAAGGCAACCGGAGCCTGACAGCAGAGTGGGGTTAACGTGTGTTAACAGGCTAATTTCAAGTACAGCTGTCAAAACCACACMGAGGAGAGCTAATCAGGGTCAAAACCATTAGTTGTGCTCTAGTAGACTACTAAATGTGTCTTCAAAGCTATAAACTCAATTGTTTAGTTGTTTGCAACGGTTAACTGGCAGGAAAACAGTATGACTCTGTCTATTTATGCCTCTGCCCACAGGCCATTTTTCAGACTGAGTGCCTCATACAGGATTACACGCTCTTACACCATACGCCGGGAAGTAAAATGTCTCCATTTAGTTATAATGTTTTCTACAGGAAACATAGCTTCTTCTCCCTGACATGTTAATTTTTGCCAAAGTTTGATTTTGACTTGGCAATTTTATTTAGACAAATACTTCTTCCAAGTCTGAATATTGCATGGTTTTAGTTAGTGAAAACTTTTCTTTTTAGCAATCCTAAGAGCCAAAAAAAAAATAGAATTCTTTAAATTTTTATTTTTTTATTTATTCTTTTAGCATAACCACCAATGAAAAACCAGAAACCAACTTACTTGTCCTTTGTGCCAGGATTCCACTATCTCCTTGTCCGTGTTCTTGCCTTCCAGGAGGGCTAACTGCTCAGCCCAGGTTTTCAGAAGGGCACCGAACTGCTCCAGGGCCTGCTCCAGTTGGGCCACCTGGCCTGAGAACTCCTGCTCCGAAAGGGCCATTTGACTGACCAGGTCCTCCAGGCTGCCCCGCGTTTGGAGCACACTGTCTTCCCACTGCTTCCAGTCGGCGCGCAGGGCCTGCATCTCCGTCTGCATGAGCTCACACCCACTGGCAGCTGTGTTCTGTTTCACTTCAGGGGCCAGCGACTCCACTCTGCTCAGGCGGCCTGCACCAATCTCTCTGGAATCTATCAGCTCCTGTAATGGAATATCGCCATGGAAACCAAGGAGGCTGTGAGTCACTTGGGCTGCAAGTTTTCAAATGTGTGCAGAGGGGAACTCTGTCCTGCTAGGAAGTTTGAGCAAGTGTGCACAAGGAACCAGAATCCACACATGCACCCATTCCCAAGTTATAYTAGCAGGGAATTGGCACTGTGAATGCCCAGGCTTGTGGCAGAATAACCCAGGAAGCCGTAACATCCTGAAACACAGGCACTGTGAACTCAGGCATTGTTTAAGTATATGGAAATGTTTTGATAGTGATTTAAATATGGGCCCGTGGTGTACTGCTCCTGCAAATAATTGAATCCATACTTTTGCTAAKCGGACGAACATGGGTGGCAGAACTGTGTTCTGCTCTATTCCATTTCCACCCTCTTCTACAAGTTGGTGGCTTAAATCACATTGCTGTTGTACCAGGAATCAAGCTGACCCACCAGAGCAAAACAATGAGCCTCACTCAACTGCAAATACTTCAGAACCTTCAGCAAACATTTTATAGCAACTAAAATGAAAACTTTACAGACTGGCTTAATGAAAAGTTTTAAGTGACCCCTAGATTAGGATCATTTATTGCTGTCATTTTCACCTTTAAAAGAATCTTACTAGAAATTTAACTATCTAGATATAATTTACAGTCTTAATGCATGAAGTACAATAAGATTCAGATATGCACTGTTAAATAGAAAAATAGTGGCATTTCTTTCTGAGAAGAGAGTTTTTTGACTAGAGTTTTTAAACTAATAATCCAGTATTTATATATTTATATATCTATTGCTAATGCCAAGATTTTGTTTCCATTACTAGAAAATCATGACTTCATTCTTGCATTACATAGAAGACAAAAATAATTATTAGGGACAAAATCTTCAAGGAGAAAAATCAATTAGTAATTAACAAATAAAGAAAATTTGCAGTTAAATATTATGCATGCTTCATAAATTGTTAAGCATAAAGCATGTCTTATCTAATCAGTATAGCATTTAATTTAGTTAGCTTGAAATAAATCTATCTTCTCACAATTACAAGCAACAGGGCCATATTTCAGCATAGATCATTTGAAAGTGCTTAGTTATGCAATAGTCCAAAGCACAATCACATGAAAGATGATTTTTATACATGTGTAAATGTGTCTTTACAGACAGCATTTAACATATATAATTGGCCTTTCTTGGTGAGAGATTCTAAAACCTATTTCTGTTTATCAGTGTGTATAGTAATTAGTGATTCAATAAAGATAAATTTAAAAATGCTATCTATGTCTAACACATAGATTTAAAAACTTACAATAATTTGCCTTTGTAAGCAATTTCAAATTTGGAGTTCAGAGAATATCAACTATCAAAAAATAGTTTTCCTAAGATATTCTATGGCATTATACCAGTTTTCTTTGGCATGAAAAGTGGGTCATTTCAATATTTGCAATCACCAATGTGCTCATCCAGATTTTGAATAAGGACACCTTATTATAAAGTCTTTTGGAATGGTTTRTAAGTACATCTTCTCGTCTGGTATTTGGGTCCTTTAAAAGCAGCACCTGCACATACACACATKTGCATTCACACCTTCATCTGGTACACACTGGGCCTCTTCTAGGTGGTGACTCCAGGAATGGGCTGGCCATGGCCCCCAAGGACAGAGGAGCTGCTTTATTTCCTCTGAGGTCTCTTGAACCGCACACCCACCTACACTGAGGCCTGACCTGACCTTCTGAGGGCCAGTCTTTGACAGGCTTCATTTTCTCCTTCCCAAATCCCAATTGCTTTCTGCCAATTCCTTCTGTATTTCCTCTGTTTTTGGAAGCATTTTTGTAATGCCTTTTTTAAGAGAGAGGGAAAGAGAGCTAGTGAGCCTTTTGCGATCCAAAAGGCAGCCTTTGTCAAAGGGTTATCTTACTTTTTCAAACTAACTTTTCAAAACATTAGTTCATATTTAGTATTTCTTCTTCATACCTGCCATTCACTCCTAAATCACAGGATCTGGTTTCTCACCTTGCCTTGCTGTGGAAATGGCTCTCCGGGTGGGTGCCAGAGTCCAGCTGTCCAATCCAGCAGGCTCTCTTCAGCCTTTTTCTCAATGGCAGCCTCTTGCTGCATCTGCGATAGTGAYCAGCTCCTCCAATGGGCTCTTGGTGATACCACGGCCCCCTACTCCCCTGCTCATGATTACATCTCCTTTCCTTTTCTTTCTCCCTTTAAACTTCTTTGGTTCTATGGCCCCTGAAGCCTTGGTAGTACCCAAGGCTTTGGTTCTGTGGCTACTATTCTCTTTGCCACATACATTGGAGTTGGTTTCACCCACTCTGGGGACTTCAAMTCCCAGCTATAGGCTCACAGTTTCCCACACTGTCTTCAGCCTAGCTTCCTGAATATTCATTCTACTTCCTTCTAGGCTTTACTCTCACATGGCAGCTCACATTCCATCTGTACCTCCTTGAATTCCTCTTGTCTCCCCTTCTACGACCAGGCTCCTGTCCATGTACCAATTTGTCCTAGGGGGCAATAGCTCTATTAACTCTAGATAAAGATTTGACCTTCACTCTGACCCTTCCCACCTTTTCACCCCATAGCCAATTTGTCGAATCACTGGATTTTCTTATTGAATATGCTCTCTGTGTTACGAAGGAAAACAAATGTTTTATATGCATCATCTACTTAGTCCCTAAAACAACTATGTGAGGCAGGTTCCATTTTCTTCTTCTTTTTTAACCAATTAAGAGATTTGAGGGCATTTCTCAAAGTAACTTGTCTAAAGACACAGGTAGAAAATCAGGAGAGGCAGGCTCAGCCCTGGTCTCTGATCCTGAGCCTSCACTACATGAAGCAGCGTGAGTTCTCATCAAGTTGGTTTTGCCAGYCCACCAGGCTGGCATACGCTTCTTAGACTCTCATAGGATAGCAATAAGAACATTTGCACACAGAAATACACAGAGGTAATGTTACATTTTGCTCACTAGTTTAAAGTCTTTCAAATTATTTCTTAAAAAAATCTCATCTATGTTTAGAATGACTGAGGTGTAAAACAAAAAATACCAACCAAAACCAGGAGACACTTTCAACAACAGAATCTTATCTACCCAATCCTTATCCCAAGTAGGCTGTCTGCACTCAAGAACCCATGGAACAGTGTGGTATGATATCTGTCCATTTTCTGACCTTAATTTTTGATAACTTTTTCTGGGTGGCTGATGAGTCCCCAGACATGTCTGACCACCGGTGAAGTTCTTCCTTTGCCGAGTGGAGCCAATCGGTGAACTCCTGGACGGCATCCAAGTACATGAGATGGTCTTTCACAATCTCTTCCACTTTCCTCAATTTTTCCTGGAAAACAAACAAACRAACAAAAAAGGCCACTTTAGCTGTAATTGTTATTAAGAACATGAAATTACATAGGATGATAGGCCTGATAGAAGTTTCTTATCTCGGAAGACTTCATTTTTATTCCTAAATTTTCTCCGAGTTTGCTATCTTAAAAAGAAAACTCTCAAATCCTGAGCTGAACTGCTTTGAGGAAACAACCATTTTCCCTATAMGTTTGCTCTTTTGTAGCTTAGCAACCCACTTAATCAATTACTATAATACTTGTTTTTATTATTGAAGCACTCTCAGATTAGCTTGACAAACAGCATTCTTTAAGTGCATTAGTCCACCAGATCCTCATACAGCCCAGTGATGGGGACACATCACTATCTCCATTGCGCAGGAAAGGTTACTCAAGCTTACAGAAGTTAAGTAGCATGCCCAATGTCACACGTCCAAACAGTGTCAGTTACAATTCAAACTCAGGGTTTTCTGAAACCAGAGTCATATGTCTTAATCATTACCCAGATAAAAGTAAAGAAGAATAAATATCTAAATAGTTGTAGTATCAATAAGACAGACTTCCAAAATCAAACAAAATTCTTCATTAATTTTTATRACATTCACAAATGCACAAAAGAAAAATCACAGATTAAAATAAAGATTCATGTAAAAAATTGAAAAATATTTATAATACACAAAGTAGCCTATATTTTGGAGAACAGAGAAATTCAGTGTTTATTAAGATAAGAAATGAACATAATACTTTTTATAAAACTGATACTTTTTACATAACTGAAGTAAGTAAAATTGCATTTAATGCAACAGTCAAAAGAACAAGAAATATTTATTTATTTATTTATTTATTTATTTATTTATTTATTTATTCATTCATTCATTCATTCAGTTTTTGGTGCTGGGATTGAACCCAGGGACACTTTACAACTGAGCTACATTCCTAGAACTTTTAAGTTTTTTATTTTGAAATAGGGTCTCACTAAGTTGCTTAGGCCTCACTAAATTGCTGTCTGGCTACGTGGCAGAGGCTTGCTTCAAACTTGCAATCCTCCTGCTTCAGCCTCCTGGTCTAGGATTACCATTGTGTTGAGCTAAAAAAAAAAATTTAAACACTGACTTTACAAAGAATGAAGATGACTCGACTAGCAACACATAGGTCAAAAAATACAGAATAATCCCAAAATTAGAAAGAAAAAAAGACATGTCATTCCCAGGTAAGAAAGGATTCTTTTGTTCTATTAGCTACTAAACACACCAGCCATCACAGAGCAGCCAAATTCTCCAGTAATTTAATCCACAGTTATCCTGCACCTGAGAGTGAAGCTGTCTCTTGGCTAACCTTACACTAACCTTGGCCACAGTGGTTATGTCATGGAACTGTGTCTTCAGCTCCTTGTGAGCTGTCTCCTTGAAAGACTCATCCTGTGTCTTCTCGTAGAGCTCTCTGGACTTGGCGGCCAGGTGGTGTAGCGCTCCGGCATGATCTTCCGCCTCCGACACAATGGACTGGAAGTGGTCCAGCAGAGAGAATTTCTCTTTCAGCCCTGGCTGCAGCTGTAAGGGCTGTTCTACTTTTTGATCCATGGATTCCATCCACTGCTCCAACTGGCTTTTCTTCTCTAGATAGTCATTCCATTGGCTAACCACAGACTCCAGAGTGCTGGAATGAATGGCACGTGTCGTAAGAATGAGTTGCCTTGTTAATACTACCCAAACCCAATCACAAAGTCACTATTCCATGTAAACTATTTGATTTAATGCCACTGTAAGTGATGATAATGTCGCTTTTGAGCACAGAGAGAAACCTGCTTTTCTGATCCATCAAACCCAGAGCACAGTTCCTTTAAACCAAGTAAATCTATGCTAAAATTTGAAGTAAGAAGCTATCGTCATAGACACATCTGGAGATTTTTTTTAACAACTGCTAATTGTCTTAAATGAACATTTAAATTTKCATGTTATGTTGTGAAAACTCAGAGCTGGAACATCAGTTAAATCCTAGGTGRTATGTATCAATTGCTAATATCCTTGGGTTTAGTTTATCTTATTAAAATCAGATAGTAATTGTCTGTTGGTTATATATCAAAACTCAAGGTATTCTTCCTGGGTAAAAAATAGCATTAGATTGATTTTCATTTAGGAACACCCCCCCACACACACACATACACACAAATAATCAGTGCTTCTATGTTACATGTGTGAAAAAAAATGAAGGTTCAATGTATTTATAAGAAATATAGTCACTAATATAATTGCCTGGTACTAGTTCTCCAGAAAATCAAATAAAAGGCTCTCCAGACTGGCATTTAGAAAAGCCCTCCCTCAATGAGCTTCACAGACATTTCTCTCTTTTTGTGGTGCTAAGAATGAAATCAGGGCCTCATGCATATTAAGCAAGTGCTTTACCACTAATGTAAACCCCAGKCCCACAAGCTATTCTAAAGTCATCCTCAGTGACTTCCCCAGCCTCCCTGAATCAACCCTAGGATCACTTGGTAAACTTCCAGCATTTGCTCAAACTGCCACTATTGCTTCAATAAGAACCTCGGCATATACACCTTCAAGTCCAAATCAATGTCACCTTTCTGGAAGCCACCCAGACCTGCATTTTTCTACAGTATCACAGTGTCTTTTRAAAMCTCTTAGWAACACAAGCTGACTCAGTTTTCCAGAATGTAGCCTCAGGGACGGCAAAATTATTTTGTTTTCATTATGTTAATATAATAATTAGAACWTTACTTCTTCTCAATACATAGGTGTCAAATTTAATTTCTTGCTGAAAAAGTGGAGYCAAAAATCTAATTTTTCTTCTTGTATTTATCATTTTATTCAAACACCTGCATCTGAAATATATTCACTTACATTCCTATTAAATTTCATGAAGCTAGTCCATTGTCAAGTATTGGGAAGTCTAGATTATGTTCCAGCTGTCTACTATGGACTAAGAAAAACCCARCAGGACCTATATTTTTTTTCTTTGCTGAGTAGAAGCTATGACAAAGAAGATACAGGCTCCTGTTCACTTTGAGAATCACCAGCTATGCCTCATGTCAAAGGAAAAGCAAAAAAAAAAAAATCACCCAAATTTGAGGCATAACCATGGCTTATTGTTTGCACAACAGTGGAGAGCAACAGTGGTTTTCGGTTTGTTTTGTGATGAACTTCAATCTTCTGTTCATCCATTTGCTATGACCTGACCATATTCAGCACCCGTTTCTCGAGTGTATATAACCTTTTTCCAACAAGTCAATCAGGTTATTAATTACATATTATATTATTATTTTATATTATTTATCTTAAATACCATCAGTGCACCCCAACCACCCCACAGCACACTTAGTGTAACAAGCCCTTCTCTACTTCTTCAGCATCTGGTACAGGGACTTCCTTCTTTCCATCYTTTCCTTTTCATTTAAATTAAATTTATTTTTGAAATGGATACATAAAAACAAAGATTATACATATCAATGGGGTTTTGTGATATTTCAATACACGCTTACATTGTGTAATGTTTAAATCAGGTTAAACTTATCAAACATGGATCATTTCTTTTTCCCCCAGGAGCATTTTACCACTTAGATACATCTCATTCTTTTCATTTTGAGGCAGGATYTTCCTAATTTGCTGAAGCTAGCCTTGAATTTGTGGTCCTCCTGAGTTGCTAGGATTATAGGTGTGTGCTTGATAATATCTATATGGTGAAAACTCTTAATGCATTTCCTTCAAACTTATTGAAATGTACAGCACATAATCATTACCTGTATTTACCCTACTGTGCAATGGCACCCTAGAGCTTCTCATTCCTTTCTATCTATAACTTAGTATCCACTAATAATCTCTTCCTATCCCTCTCTATCCCTTCTCCCCTGGCCTCTGGTAATTACATTCTATCTGAACTTCTATGAGCTCAACTACTTTAGATTCTGCATGGGTGAAATCATATGGTGCTTCAACAGCTCTAAAGGCATTCTGCATGGGCTCGTTTTTTTAATTGTGAGAAGGGTTCATGCTCTGTTATCTTTCTAGGCCTCAGTCACTAAATGCCTGGGATGTCCCCATCACTATGACAATCAAAGCCTCCCCACACATTCCTACAACCCCACGGTGGGTAATACTACTTTTGGTTGTGGAATAGATTGGTACTTAAACTCAGTGATTGCCAACAATGTAATTTACAGCATGTTCTTTAAAAAGATCAATGTTACTGAAGAACCACATATCCTTGCTTGAATAACTTGGAAGGAGGTATTTCCTGACCTGTGTTATATGCAAGAATCCATGAGACACACTCAGGGAGACATAGCTATTTTAGAAATAAAACAAAACAGGCTAGCAAACAAAAGCTAGTCTTTGTCCCATGGGGAATACGACATAGGGAAGACCTGCAGCTCCCAACTAGCTAAAATATTCATGCTTGGTAACTTAGCCACCAATACCTTAGCACTGCTCCATCATTTCACCAAGCCACTGGATTTTATTTGGGTAAATAAGCACAGAAACAGACTCTATACCTCTGAGCATGGACAGAGGAGCTCATGATGTCAGCCCACACRTTCTTCAGGGTCTCCAGCTGGGTCTGAATGGCCTTCTGACCTTCTCTGTTGCTACTTCTCAAGGCCTGTTCTCCTTTGCCAATGGCCATATTCAACTTAACTTCCCCTTCCCCTTTCATCAGGAGAATGTCCTAGGAAGGAAGAAGGGCTACATGTCAGTAAGAATATGAAGACCTGCTACTTTAAAAATGGTTGTTTGCCACGAGACTTAAGGTAGGAGACACCTTATCACAAAGCAAAAAGAACCAGCTCTTGCCTCTGTTGCCATGTAACACCCACACGCTAGAGATGGCAGGGACGCCTGGGAGTGAAACATCAACTCCAATTTAAATTATTAAGAAATTTGGGTCACTAGYCCAGAAATGATAATTTTGTTGATTGGTTTCAAAGAGTGAGAGGAAATTCTTTAAAAGATAAAGACCCACCTGCCCAATATCTACGGTGGCCCTATCGCTGTTGCCTGGCTGRCTCTTATCTTTCAGGGTCACCTTCATGGCTGCAGGTTGGGTTGGTGGTCTGCTCTGTGCTCCCAACACACATTTGTTTCCTTCTGCCATGGCTTCTACACACGCCCTGCGCCGCAAGTACCAATTTACACCTTGCTCTTTCCCACTAGAACATGGACTTCTAGAACACAGGGACTCATTTGTGGCCCACACATTTCTATGCAGCTTACCCAAAGCTTAAAGAGGAGTTGGTATTCAACAACGTTGACTGATTATTTATTAAATTAAATGAAAAACAGACTCATAGCTCACTCTAAAGCAATGTTTCATCATGGGGGAAGGGGAGGYTCCAGAATCAGCATCTGCAGGTACCTGTATCTGTGACAGTCGTTTCTCCAAGGTCGCTTTGCTCCCGACAGTGCTCTGGGCACAGGCGAGTCTGTCTCGAACGTCTGTCACCCGGGACCACATACTCTGCAGGGCTGCCTCCAGAGCTTCATGCTCCTGCAGGGCCAGCTGGCAGTTCCGATGTCTCTCCTTGGTCATCCTGAGCAGGTTCTGGTAGCTGGTGAGGAGCTGGGAGCAGAGGCGGCCTTCTTTCCCAGCACCGTGGCCCTCCTCGCTGAGAAGCTGCCCTCTCTGGGAAAGCTTATCCAGAGAGTCTCTAAAACACCAGAATTTTTTTTTTTTTTTAAATCCCAACATTCTGGAGCACAGAGGAGTAACAAATGATTGTTGACATTGGAGCAGGAACCAGACAAGAGCTCACAGCTGACGTGACTTTTAAAATGAAGATGCTGGGAATGGGGCTGTTTGCTTGCCTTCTTGTGTGGTCTCTCTTAGTGGTGTCAGTGTCTGTGCTGGGGCATGTGATTCAATTTATACCATGCTGCATCCAAAGAGCAGTGACACAGCCTACCACCTCACCAGGAATTCACTCCAGAGAATGGGCCATGGTTCCCTCTCCACCTAGCAACTCTCTATCCTTATTTAGTACTCTAACCATGAAAACCTTGAAATTGCCCCAATACTCTGTTGTTCTGTAGAGATTGCTCTTTTGTGAGTGCCTCTGCTCTCTTGTTTCTTTCTTAGGTGCCCCTTAAAATGTACAGCCCCATGTTCCCAAGCAACGCCCATGGCAACCCAGGATGGGGTGGAGCAGCACGCAGATCCCCTCCTGTGCCCTCTGCTCTTGTCTTGCTGTCACCTAATATTCCTGTCTGGTTCCAGAAGCAGACACTCTAGAAAACTAGGGCCACTACATTCCCCTAATCCCAAGACTCAACACAACGTTGGGCAGAGCCCAACATCTGAAAGAAAAAGTTTCCTTCTTGGGCCATTGTAGGATTGCTCCTGGTTTCCTTGCTGTATCCAGAGCCCTGTGCTCAGCTTGCTTCAGAGCTAGGTGAGTAAGGTCAAGGGAAAAACAGAATCATGGTGTGGCCTGTTAGCCCATTTTATAGGCCAACAGAGCTCTGATTTCTTTTTCTGTCCTTTTTCTCCTCCTCCTTCTTAATCAACCATTTACATTATTTTTAAAATCATAAATGGACAATTTATAACTACATAAATTTATAGGGTACAAAGTGACATTATGGCTTATGATGGCAGTGTAGGGTAACTAAACCAAGCTGGTTAACACATCTATTACCCTAAATACTTGGCATTCCTTTTGTGGTAAGAACATGTAAAATTCATTCTGTTAGCAATTTTCAAATACGCGAGGCTCTATTTTTAGCTATATTCACCATGCTGTTCAATAGAATGAAAGTCTGTGCCTTTCAACCATCATCTCCTTATCTCCCCCCTTAACCCCTAAGCCTCTGTAAGCACCAGTCTAGCGAGTTTGTAATTCTTAAGAGTACCTCTATCAGGAAAAAACAGAAGTGTGGAGATGTCTTAACACCAATTTCTGGGACTACTAGAAAAAGAACTTAAAGCGTACCTTCTCCACTGTCTCTATTCTTTTGTTTCTGAGTAACTACTATGTGAATAGCATCCTGTGAGTCGCCCTGAGCTACATGAAGAGTCATACAACATTCCTACACTAAAAGACACTTAGTACACTTAGAATATTTTGGTGAGACAAGAAGTTCCTTAAGCAACAGTGTCAGTTAAAGAACAATTCAAGACAAAATATTTCACTTATAACTACAAGATGAATTGCTTAGTGGATGATAAACATGCAATAAGCCTCAGGTCTGTGTACTTTCAAACAGGGCGTCTCCCCAGAATATTTGAGGTATTAGGAACATTATGATGAAAAGATCCAGAGACTGGGAAGAGCAAGTGAGAGAAGCTGGTGACCCAGAGCAAGAGCCCAATTGACCAGCCTGGTACATTTGGATCATCTGAAGAAGCAGCCAGTTTGGAGGGAAAGAACGTGAGAGCAAGCAAGCAAGTCCTAGCATATCAGAGAGAAAAACTTCGAGAGGGACCATGTACTTATCCATGTCTAAGTTATTAGAAAAACTACAGTTATTAGAAAACTACAGTTATTAGAAAAACAATGAGGACAAAAGAAAGACAGTGAATTTGGTGATTTGGTCTTTGAGACTTTCTCCAGTGTGGGGTTAGTGTATCTATGGCAGAAGTGGATGAGAAGGATGCAAACGAGTAGCCTGTGGAGAAGAAATGAAAGTTGAATTAAGTTATTTTAAAAGCCTGCAAGAAAGAGAGGTGTGGCTTTGTTTGTGTTACACTGTATCTAGACAAAAGTTATATTTCAAAAGCAAAATAAAATATGGTGTCATTTTTAGAAAGTCATATGGTTAGAATGATGCCATAACTTTGTTAATTCCATGAACATTTTCTACTTTTCTGGCACTATACTAGACAATGGCAACACAAAGATGGCAAAGACCTGAAGTCCAGGAACTTGAGGAACTCCGTTGGAGGTTGGGTGCGCAGTCTCAATGAAGAGTTAACCCCAGGTATGTGAGGGCTCCCAGGTATGGAACCAACCATCCCAGGAAAATTTTGTAACAGTTATCAAACTAGCATCTGTCAAAAACTGTGGGCTTTCCTTACCCTTGGGCTCCCCATGTACAGATTCAACCAACGATGGGTCTAATATATATTTTTTAAAATTGTGTCTGTACTGAACTTGTACAGTCTTTTTCCCTTGACATTATTCCCTGAACAATACAGTAGAACAACTATTTACATTGTAGTAGATATTACAAGATATCTAGAGATAATCTGAAGAACACAGGAGGATGTGTATAGGTAAAGTGCATGTAATATGCCATCCTGAATAGGGAATTGGGCGTACATGAATTTTGGTACCCATGGGTATCTTGGAACAAATCCCCCACAGATACCAAGGGGTGGATGACTATAGTTACCTGTTTGGTCTGTGTTATTCATTTTTCTTTTGCATACTTGTTTTTCAAGATAAGGAAAACCAAGCATGTTTGACCAAAAAGAAGATTCAACAGAAAAGCAAAATAGGTGAGTTTTATTCATTCAAGTGCTGACAGCTGATCCACGTGGGTGGGCTCTATCCTTTCCTGCTTTACAGACAAGTACGCTGGCTCTTGGAGAGAGGTTAAGAAGCCCAAGTTTTAAGCCAAGCTACACCATCTTGATGGAAAGCCTTCTACCTTCCAAAGGAAAGAAAACAACTAAAAATACCAGGAGTGGAGCATGAAGGTGGTAGGTCAAAAGCACAGACCAGAAAACTTTGCCCAGGAAAGAGGAAAGACATGTCTTCTCAGTAAGGAAGCAATAAAGAAGGACTGCAGAGAAGAGGACCACAAGGAGGGCCCAACTCAATGACTACACATTTTGCTTCATTAATAATGTTATGAGGAAGGACAGATAGGGCAATAGAACTGGAGGCTGCAAAATGTAAAGAATATATGGAAATTGAGATCTGTATCATTATTTTTTGTCTATTACAGTGGCTGTGCATCTCTAGTTTTCTTTTCTTCATACCAGCTTTATATTTTGTTAATCCTCAAAATAATCCAATAGAGGAAGGTACAGTATTTATTATACAATGTTTAAGGGCTAACATCAGGAGTTACAGTGATAAGTGATCTGTCCAATTTCCTGAGCAGAGGGAGATGGACCTGGGATGCAAATTAACTCCTTACATCCATCTTACTCTCTCCAGAATCCCACACTTCTATGAAGAATGCTGCACGATCTTTTGGATTTTAGACATTCAGAGATGAAAGAAATCATCACCGGAAACCAACCAAGCAATCAACCAATAACCAAACCAATAACCAGCCCACAAGACCAAAACAGATTAGCAAGTGAACAACCTATTCCATCTCTACACCATACCTCGCAGCTAGTAGTTCCCCGAGAAACATTTCAACTTTATGAACTTCATTTTTCTTCTCAGGAATGTGTTGTTTACTCTCTCCCAAGTTTTCAGTGTTGAATCTTTCTTCCATCTCATGGATCCATAAGTTCAGTTTTCTGTGCTGATCCTCAAAGCTAAAGAAAAGGAAAATATCTTAGAGAAATTTTGATGTGCTGGTTATACTGGTAAATTCTAAGAGCTGAGGTCCAATGTATTTTATATAGCAATTAAGATTATATGAGTTTTCAAGTTAGAAGACAACTCAACAAGAAGCCTATCCAAATTTTCTTATTCTAGTAACAAAGTGATGATAAAAATCATCATATATGTATTTTTTGGAGCTACAAGAGGAAAAAAAATTACCACTCAGCTGAATTGATTTCATAGCTGGTAATTGACTGTAAGATAATATTCTCATGTCAACATGACTTAACTTTTCATCTTACTATAGAGACCCTTGAATTGGGCCAGTGGATAAGTGGGGCAGCAGAAGCCTTGGGGAAAGAAAGGAGAATGGTTTTTGTGTCTCTGTTTCTTAGGGGAATTTGAATTTGGCACAAAAGCCCTAAATTTTGATAACAATGAAGACTCTCTAAGAAACATGGACAAGATTCAGGCAAAATAACTTGGCCACTGGAAAGGCAATTCAGTCATACTGACATCCTTTGTCTCTGGGGTAATAAGAAATTTTTCTCTTTCTAGTTTCATTTTCAACCCCACTGACATATGTTACTTGCTGTAATATAATCCACAAAATTCAGTAATTGTTTTCTGCCATTATTCTATTCCAGGAAAAGTGGACACAACGAAAAATCTTGAATAATTAAAAAATGGTATATCAAAGCTCTAACAATTTGTGTTAGCTTAATAGACAAAAATTATATGAAATTATGTCTTTCATATTTACTAGGAATTATAATCATTTTTCCTACATAGAAAATGATAATTTCAGAGCCTAAGCAACCCATTTTGCACTAGAATGAAGCCACACTTAAAGTAGGTCAACACTCATTACAATTTAACTCACAATTTCAATATTCTTTTTTTTCACATAGCATTTTATCTATGTCTTTGGATATACCCCCAGTGTGTGACAAAATCTTCATTCATCAGAATGACCTACCTTCCCAACTCTGAAGCACAGTCTTGTAGAGCCTGTTTGTCCTTCAGACATTGCTTCAGAAATGCTTGAAACTCTTCATTAGCCTTCGTGATTTGCTCCTGGATGCTGCTGACAATTTGCTTAGGCAAATATGCATACAGAATTTGTCCTTCTTGAGTTACGGCATCAAGCTTGCTCTGCCCATCACTGACTGAGTCCAAGATATTCTGTTTTCAGGAAGCAATAATAATACTAAATATTTGCTAATATTCAAAGATCCTGGTGTTTGGGACCATTCATTACAATGCTGAGTTGGTAAAGCAAGAGAAGATAAGTAAAACCTGAAGGAAAAAAAATCTAACAAGGATAGAGTGAGAATCAGGCATGAAATCCAGCACAGTGCCAGCTAGACATGGGAACAACTCAGGACAGAGTGGGAACAATGACTAGTTGGAAACGAGGTTTTGATTAAGGTCTCAGAGTCTCCCCATTATCAGTTCCTAACCCAGTACAGGTTCTACCTTCTCACACAGAAGTGTGACATTCTTGTAATTGATTGGCCACTGGGGGTCCTCCCCTACCCTCTGATTCACCCTGCACAGAATGTCTGGTCCTCAGGAATGGAAACTGCCTTGCTTAGTATGAGCCCCTTCCTTGGAAGATTTGTGTATGACTGTGCTCCAACAAAGCAAAAGAATCCAGAATTCAGGGCTAGCTGTTCCTCTTCCCTGAGCTCCAAATTGTCATTTCAACTGTGACTCCAAAATTTCTTCATGGAGTTCCACTGTGTCTCAAGCTTTAAAGGGGTCAACTTCACAACTGAATTCACCATATCTCCTGCAAAACCAGTTTCCTTTCCTGAAACAATTTTCCTACCCTGATTTCTAATATAATGAGTTAGGGATATCACTTTCATCATCTTTCAAAATCCTCAGGGTCCTTGTTAATTTCAACATTATTTTTAACAATAATTAACATAGTGCTTTGCTCAGACTAGCTGCTTAGAAAACTTGCTCAAAACTTATTTTGAACTAATTCTTTTGTAAGGCATTTCTTAACTGCTTCATGTTGGCCTTCTTCCTGAATTCATCCATTTTTCGTGACTACTAAAATACAAATAACCTGTAATAGCCATTATTTAATTTGAATATATCCCACTCCAGGTTTAGACCACAAGTTATTTTAAAAGAAAAAAAAAAGGCATGGGTAATATTTATTTATTTATTTATTTATTTGGTACTGGGGATTGAATCCAGGGGTACTTAACCATTGAGCCACATCCCAGCCCATTTATATTTCATTTGGAGAAAAGTTCTCACTAAGTTGCTTAGGGCCTTGCTAAATTGCTGAGGCTGGCTTTGAACTCACCATCTTCTTGCCCCCTGAGCCTTTGGGATTATAGGCGTGTGCCACTGCACCTGGCAAGCCCTGTCTTCTTAAAAAACAAACAAAAACCCTCTTAGCATGACAGTGACAGAAAACAGGTACAATTATTTGTACTTTTACTACTATGAAAATTAAAATGAGCTTTCCTTTTGAATAAAATCCAAAGAATGGTTAACAGGCTGAAAATGGAGAGGAAAGGGATCTAGAAATGCTCTGGACTTGTTTTCTCAGTGCCTTTTCATGTTGCTCTGACTAAGTAAGTACAATTGTGTTAGGGAAGAAGAAAAGATGGGCTAAAATAATATGAGGTGGGCAAAGACAAGGCGTCGGGCTGACCTGAGGCACCTGAGCGCAGCGTGGGCAGGGCGGGGAGGGAGAGAGGTGAAGGTGCCCGGTTTCCTACCTGAAGGTCCTGGAGCTTTGCCTCCAGGACTTTGCTGTCGCCAGTCCTATCAGATGATTCCTTGGCTGCTGCTTTTGCTCCCAAAAACCATTCTTGGAATTCCCGCATAGAATCTTTTGAAAGCAACAAAAATCAGGAATAAATCCCAAACACCGAATGAGCTCCCAGGATTACCACAATGAATTACCTTTTCCCTCCCATCTCATTGTGTCTCAGAAAATATTCCAGAAAAGAAAGTGATAATGTAGAAAATAATACAATACGATTTACAACCATGACTGTTCATGGCAGAGTCAGACAAGAGGCTGCAAAAGCAGTGTGTCTTCCTGGAATGCCCGACTTCCAACCCTTTTCTTTCACCTGATGAAGAACATGTCACAGGGCAAGGGGACAGATGCTCTGGAGAGTTGGAGCTATTTGCATGGCACGGGGAAGAGCCAGTTACTCCTTCCAGCAAGCCAATTCATAGAACCAGGTGCATGCACATCCCAACCTAGGCACAGCCATGCGGAAGCAGGAGCAGAAGGAGTCATAACTGGCAATTTCCTGGACTCTATAATGGTCACCGTATGGTCTTTGCTAACATCAAAGCTTATTGTTACTTCATTCTAGCATAAAAAAATGTCCATAGTTATTTGAGCAGTGGCTGCTGACCACCTGAACAGCACAAGTGATTTTCCACATACATAAACCCTATGCAGAAAACCCAGATGAAATTCAGAATCATCAAAATGGTGGACTCCTGCTTTCCCCCAACAGAGCACTTCTGCTGCTCCATTCTCAAAGCACAAATGGATTTAAAATGAACCTTCTGCAAAATTCCCTCACACTTTTGCCTGACAATTTTTAAGCAGCATCTGGTTTGGAATCTTTCTCCTAAATAACCGTTCATATTAAGGCCCCTCAAAGCTCACCATTGAAATGCTTTTCCAGGGAATCCTGCAGGCTGGCCTGGGTCTTGGAGCACAACTGGTTGGCAGCTTCCTGCTTCTTTATCAGCCCTGTCATGGCCCGGCCCAGGCTCTCCAGCTCCACCGAGTGGTACTTGCGGCACAAGCTATTGAGGTTTTCCTGGGTAGAGCTGATGTTGCTCTGCTGACTTTGAAGCTCTTTTTGTATATCCTACAGAATAACATATGAAAGTATAACATATAATAAAAGTATATTTCAAGAGTATTCATCACATTCAAGAGAAATACTCCAATCATGCCACCATGGTATTTTTTTTTTTTAAATCTGAATTTGCTGCTGCTGAAATTCACTCAGGAGTATATACATGATGGTGGGATTAAAAAAAAAATTGTGATGATAGATATGTATTGATTCATTAATAAAATTTCTCAGTCCTCCTGGGTAACAAAGAGCTGTTGATAAGTGGCCAGAATGTGGACTGTAGTCTAGAATTTCAAGCTAATTGAATAGATCTTATGAATTTTAGCCCATGATCTTGGCTTGAGTCACTTTTGAAAAAACTTATAAGTTCACATTCTTCAGTGGACCACTTGAGTTTTGTTTCAGGGTCACGGGCTACATGAATTGTACCAGTAGTTTAATTTAAAAATATTATGTCCTTAGCCTCAAGTATAGAAAGAAAATACACAAACAGAGAACAGGCTACTCCTATTGAGAAGGTAAATAACACACTTCCTTTACACACACTTCAAGAAAGCCCTTAGTAATATGGGCAGATGACAATGAACTGGAACGTTTTCTTGCTTTTTTTGGTCAAAATTATAGCATTCTTTGGGTAAAAGCAGTCACATTGACCATAAAAATGATTAAGTGATGAAAGAAACATCTAACCTTTGAGCTTGAACATGGATAGAATGTCAAATTGTTTTTCTATGGCCTTCATTCTTTTGCGGAAAAATTATATATCTTTAACAATATCTACACACACAAACACACACAGAGCCTATGAACGAACCTTTCAGCAATGCATGCTTTCTGATTTTAGAAGATTTGTCTTTGATTTCTTAATGCCTTCATTCAGTTCTTCACAGATTTATTACTTTGCTGTGTCCAGTATTATAAATTAGTCGGTCACAGCAGTAAGATGGATGATTGAAAGCAGATGTTATATTTTTTACTACAGTCAACACAACACAGGAGTGGGAATGCTCAGTGATGGTTTTTACCCACCTTCACTTTCCTCAGCCCTTCACAAGTCTCCACTTGGGTGCAGCTCCTCAGCGACTCCTCCACTCTTGCCAGCCACGCTGTGATGTCGTCGATAAACTTCTCCACTTGTGTACTTTGAGCAGTGAAATCCTTCAAGGTTCCTTTGGCTTCTTCGGTTATTTCTTTGGCATGCTCCAGTTTCTGCCTTAAGTCTGCTTCTATAAACTAAATACAAAGCAAGATTTCATTAAACTCTGTGAAGACCAAAGGCACACTCATTCTGCAGGAATTCTGTTAATGTGCAGCTTTGTCAAGAACACATAAGCCTCACCGTGGAAGCTGCTCAAATGCTAATATGCCTCTTCCAAGAGGGAAAATTAGTGAGCAGGGGGTGCCAGACAGATCATGAGATGGGAAACTGGAAAGAGTAGGGACTGTGGTTAATGCTGGATGTTAAAGTGGTGGTCTGACTGAGGTTCCAGGGAACCTGTGAGCTCACTCTGAAAGCTGAGCTAGGTCAACCCAGAGTTGCTGAGGAGGCAACCAAAACCCTGTTTAGTTCTCCTAAGGAGCCCTCACACAGTTCCTGTCCAAATGGAGCTCTCTGCAGGGCCCACGCCCTATAGGATTGTAGGATAAGGCACTTTTCTTGTTGGATCCCACTTTCCCTGTGATCCAGTGGGGCTGAATACATTCTCTCCCAGGATGATGTATTACAGAAAAGGTGACTTCGGCAGTCCCTTAGTAAACAAAAGGACTGATAGTCACTATAAATTACAAAATATGATCGATTCTACAATCGAGAGATTCAGGTTTGTTTGAAAATCAAAGCTTTGAATTTAAATCCAAGGCTTTATTCCTTATTCCTAGCTCAAACTTGATATAAGCAAGAAGCCCATAGTGGAGAGCTCTTCTTCTCTTTCTTCACTCCGTTTCCCCACCTTGAAGACTCTTGACCCCATGCAGGCTTGGGTGGCAGTAAGTGGGCATGGGGTTATGAAACATGTGACACCTGTTGTGAGCTGTCACCTGAGTTTCACACTCACTCCTTCTCTAGCAGGCCTGGTTCTGTGGGTTTTCCCGAGGCTCCCTGTCTTTCTGAGACCTCCCACTAAGTTCTCGGGATGCACTAGGGTGCGCTCTTCTGCCTCCTTCCTGTCTCCTTCTTCAGCCTGTGGCCATCTCTTTAACTTGTGGATGCTGAGGTCTGCTCACCCACCAGATGGCCTTCTCAGCTGACCTAGGATGCCCTCACCTGGTGCATTCTTCCTTTTCTCTCTTTTCCTGACTCTCTTCTGGGCTGGAGATCACACTCTGGCATTCACCTCCAGCTGCCTCTTGGATGCAGGCTGCACCAGTCACTTCTCCTTCCACAGATACATTAAGTTATCCAGCCTGTATCAGGGTTAGAACTAGATTCTGGAATCTGCCAGCAGCAGGGAACAAAATCCTGTTCCCCAGGTGGGACAACTGAAATCCTCTGCCTACACTTGAGGCAAGCTAAGGCACTCCACAGCTCTTCCCTCATATACATAGGTGTGGGATGTGGGGGGGGGGGACAGGTAGGCCGCCTACCCATGAGCTAAGCATCCCCTCTCAGCCTTGAGTAAAGGGGGTGTCAGTCTGGCATTGCACTCCACGGCCTGTGCAAAGCAAGTGCTCTTCACCTTCACTTGGCAAAGAAGTTTGCTTCAGCGCTGGACTTAGGCATTACCCAATGGGATTGGACCACCCCCCTTTGAAACCTTATCCTCTGACTTATTTTGGTGAAGAACATTCTAACAAAACTCCTTTGTGTGTCTATCTCCATAAAAATAAAGAGATTCCAGGTGCATGCTGTCTTTCCAGTGCCTTCCAGCACCTTCCATTGTGGAAGCTGCCCCTGAAGGTCGAAAAGCTGTCTTTCTCTCGATAAGAAAATTACTTCTGTGTCCTGTACTTTCTCACCATTTTCTTAGCTTAATGTTGCAGCCAGCTCTTCTGAACCCAGCTCATCTCATCAGTGCAAGTTGCAGGCGAGATGTGTGTGTGTGAGAGAGTGTATGACAAGAGAAAGAGAAGAGTAGAACTGTAGCTTGCTCCGATAATCCAGGCTCAGTCTTCTCTGCATAGTTCACCTGTTGCCATTGATATCTTCAGAGGAGGTGACTACACAGCTCCTTTTTAGTTTGAATATAAGTAGCACCTCCTTTGCTTCTTAATACCAATGAAACATCTACCCTTCTTTTCATGGTCATCAACCCATGTGGTACCAAGTTGTGGACATGCAGTCTCAAATGAGAGCAAAATTGTGGTAGTGACTGGTTAGTGAGAAGGAGCAAGTCAAGGACAAGGGAACAAGAAGACAAGGTAGAGGAAGTCCCTGGGAGCAGCAGCAAGAACGGAGGTTCAGGGGTGCAGCAGAACCCTATACCAGGAGCCAAAGAGACCTACCAGGATGGGCTTAGGCACTGAGGTAGCCCAGGTTTCCTGGCCAGCCCTGCTCCATCCTGTCACATACTCTTGGTTCCTGTGAGTTTGTGTCATTCTAAGAGTCATATAGGGAGATTTTTTAGTGATGACCCCTTCAAACCCAATTATTGACCAAATGAAAATATCAATAAGAACATCAATATTCATAAAAGGGGTTCTGTTCCTGTCTAATGTAAGATGGTTCATGAGAAACACTGGCTGATGATACTTCCAAAATTTACTAAGGAATGAAGAACTACTCATATAATACTTGAGTTGGAAATATGACGTTAACATTGGCACAAGGAATTCCATAGACATTAATATTTAACCCCACATAAGATAAAGGCAACATGTTTGCTTGAAATTATGATGAAGATGGTAACACAAGGAGAGATATAATTTTTTTTTTTTTGAGAGAGAGAGGAGAATATAAGAGAGAGACTCGTATACCATGACTATTACATCTGATTTGAGTGCTTACCTGAAGGTCTGGTGGTGTTTCCGGATTTTTAGTTAATTCTTTGAGTGCATTAACTTTGGAATGCAGTTCTTCCAATTTCAGTGCTTTGTTTTTAACTTCAGACTACCAACATAAAAGACACAGGGGAAAAGCACAACTAATCAGAAATGCTAATGTGCTGTAATTAGCATTTCATAATTTCAAGAACTGTCAAGATACCAACTTTAAGCTGTGTAGAAAAAGAGCCCTGTTTCATTTTCTGAGGGATGCTATTACTTATGAATGTGGAAAAAGCTCCAGTTATCATTCAGTTGGCATGTAAGGGAGTACACAAATCGTTTCCTTCTCCCTACCCTCCTTTATTAGAATAAAAGCTCCTGGAAAAAATTAAACAYTGACCACAGTCCCTGAGTCAGCGGGGATTTCCAATGGGCTGTCCTGTATTCGTTGAGAGGACTATTTTACCAGTTACTATGGCAGCATTAAACTCTTCCAGAAGCATTTCAAAGCAAATACACAGCAAGAGTGCCTAATGGTTGTAGATAATATATAATAGATATGTAATATGCAGAAACATTTCAAATAGACATTGTCAGACTATTAAAGCAGAAACCTGATTACTTGGGACATTGACAACTGATATTTTATCTCCCCCCTTTTTTTTCTTTTTCTTTTTTACTTTTCATGAACACCAACACAGAAAAAGAACAATTAGGAACCATTTTTGGAAAAAAAGATGCTTATAAAAACTTCATTTGTTATTTGGGACCACAAAGGAGCATTTAATAAATTATCCCTCTCAGGTTAAAAATGGCATGTTGGTGCTTTGTAGACACTAACAAACTTTCTGATGTCCTGAATTCAGAAAGTAATTTACTTATACAATAAGATGGGGAACTGACTGTAGGGCCCTCTAGCCTCTGCAGAAGCTGGATGGGCAATTAAGGAATCGATCTACTGACCCACACTTAGCACTCTGCAGCAGGAAAGGCACTGATGAGTGATGGCCAGTTCCAGTAAACAGAGTCTGTTAGCAAGTATGTCACAGTCACCTGCAAAACCACCCATCTGTAAGGGCCTGATCCTAGTCACATTGAACGTGGGTCTGAGGCACATGGGCTCCCTGGATTTCTGAGTTTGGAGATTCTAGACTGGTCTGACAACTAACTGCCTCCCCCTACCCTAAAATCACTGCCATAACAGTTACCACCACTTCTAGCTACAATACAATGTCACTGCACAGAGACCTGCAAGATACACACAGTGGCACATCACTCCACAGTATTGCCACCATCTCTGATATAGATGATAAAGATGGGACAGATGTCAATAACTCAGGGACCTAGACAATAGTGATATGTAGAACAATGAAGGATGGACAAATTTTGAGTATTCATTAACTTTTAAAATAGAATTTATTTAATTGCACATTTATTTACATCCTCAATTTTAATAGTGGTTGTGTTTAAAGTGACTTACAAAATTCTTAAAAATTCAACAATCAACTTCTTTGAGCTGGTATAAATTGAATCCAGCACAGACCACAATTTGAGCTGTAATGTTAACATCAGCAATAGCAACTAAAGAGACCTCAGTACCCTTCACTTCTGGTTATTTTAATCTGCATAATTTCTTCCAGCTGTGATGGCCTTTAGAAATTAGATTATAAAATCTATCAAACATTGCTTGGGTCAGAGATCACAGAATAGCTTAGGTAATACTTTTCAAATTTGCCTATATTTTTTCATACTGCAGCCATTCATTTACTTATCTGCCAATTCCTGTGTATGGTGCCAGATACAATTCTGGGCACCAGAGTGTTCAATGGGAATATTCACTGTTGTTACCAAGAGTACAGTCAGCTATGTGCTTTGTGAAATAGGTATCTTTCCTTCCTCTATTTCCTCTTATCCTGCTTAAATTTTTATCCTAGCCCAGCTAGTACTTGGCATTTCACACATAACATGTATTGTAATGTAAATAATGCAAATTCCACAAAGGTAGGGACTTTGTTTACTATTAAATTTTCAGCATCTAAAACATTTACTGATATACGGTAGACATTCATTAATAATTTGATGAATATTGAATAAATGTATGTAATAAATGGGAATATAACGAATTTTAAATAAATTGGTTACTAAACCTTCAGAAGGTCAGAGACTTGCCTTGGAAGCCTGAGGCATCTGAATCTCCAATTTTCTTCTATTTCCAAAGAGGAAGTAGAAGAAGCAAGTACCAAACATAATAATAGCACATTGTAAGCAGGTAGTAAACATGTTTTCTTTTTCTTTTCTTTTCTTGAACAAAAACAAAATAGGTACTACATATTCAAATACTTCCAATTTCGTTTTCAAATGAGAATAAAATAAAATAAAAATAAAAGTAAAATAAAATAAAAAATAAAATAAAATAAAAAAATAATTTTTATTCTCAAAAAAATTAGAAAATTATACATTTTATAGACTTCTGTTTTTCTATTAATACTTCAAAAAAGGGCCCTAAATAAGAAATGATAGAAATGCACAAAAAATCTCTTACCCAGAGCTGATTAAAATTTTGAGTAAATAGCAGAAGAGAGTTTCGAGTTTTGTAATTCTCTTATGTGTCTTTGAGAAGAACAAACTGAGAAAAGACTCCACTTTCTCACATTCAAGACAATGATGTACCCCCCAGCTCCATATGTAGGCATAGTGAGTTTACCTCAAATTCTCTAAGAAATTCTTCAGCTTTGTGGCTGTTGTTCAGGTTGTTGATATTTTCAGCCAGCTGTGGAAGAGAATTATTGGACCACCCCTCGATCTCATCTTTACTTGAAAGTACATCCTCCCAAATGGACAGGCCGCCCCTCAGCCTATCTATGCTTTCTTCAATTTTCTCTGATACCTAGGACAGAAAAGAGAAGCCATGTCATTGATAGTATGAGGCTTTCAAGGACTCATTCCCTGACGAATGCTTTTTTAATTAGAAAATTATATTCTCACAAAGTTTAACCAAAATTATTGTAAGCTAATTAGCACATGTGATTCAAGCAAATGCCAATCAATACATAGATTGTTTCTGTCATTTGGAGAGTTGTTTGCATTTCTGAGACACTCAATTTTCATTCATAAATTGGGATACGAACGGCTACAGGTCTATTGAAATCTACAAAAATATAACTCACTATGAGGGTTGAATTCCACAGGATTGAGGTCCATCTATTGCATTTATTGTTCAATGTAAAACAATTAGCACTATTATTTGTAATGCTGAGGAACAGGAATGGACATTAAATTTGAGCACATTTATAATATAAGGAAATACCGTTGGCAGCAACAGACTGCATATTCACAGTATTATTGCTACATATTCTTCCTACAGCAAAGGTCTTACATCCAGCCACTTGTCCACGGTTCCTTCCATGTCAGTTTTCACCAAGGCGAAATCACTACTGTGGACTTTTTTCAGTTCAGATAACAAGTGTTTGCCTTTACTGGTAAAATTGTCCAATTCTTTCTGCTTACAATTCATTTCATTCTTGGCAGATTCATGCTGTGGACATAAATGTTTCCTTGATTAGCAAAATCACCAGTGATAAAGAGTTTAAAGCCATTTGCTTCTGAGAAATTTAATTCATGGTTGACCTTATTCTGAAATTAGTGGTATTATTTAACTCTCTCACTCTCTACACACACACACACACACTATGTATGTGTATGTGTGTGTGTGTGTGTATATATATATATATATATATATATATATACACATATATATAATATTGCTTCTTGAATTATTAGAATCCTAGGATATCAGCATTCCTAGAAAAAAAATTGTGCTGTTAGCAGGAATTACCTATATCTACGAGAACTGACACACACAAAAAAATCTGTTCGGACAATTGTTCTATAAGAAGCAAAACTACTCATTTGGTGGTAATGGTATTAATGGTGGTGGAGATGGTGGTAATATCAAAATAAATGCATTTGCATTTTACCTTAGAAACAGCCCATTTAAGGTCCTCTTGATCTTTAATGGTAGTTCTGGTCACAATGACACTGCTGGCACTTTCTAGGACCTGAGACACAGTTGACTTCAAGTTCTGATACTCTCTCATCAAATCAATAAGTCCACAGCACTGACCCTGGCTATAACGATRGAAGAACATGTATCATTTAGTGTCACATTAGGAAGGACAAGAGTTCCTTAGGATTTCACTATGTGCAAGTATCCACGGGCAGATGCTGGAACCAAGAGAAAATCACATTTTTCCTCTGCGGTTGCTGGTTAATGCTACTTAACACTAATGTCTAATAATGTCCAATATGTTCTTTATGAATAAAGGAAGCACATGGGCATTAAAATAAAATCCGTGAACTCAATGACAAACAAGCAACAGCATATGTTGTTGACAATTCCAACTTACTTAGATTGAGTCACTCAATGTTTGTTTGTTTTTTTTTAAATGTTTTCATGGTGTTTTAATTACTTCATAAGGGCATATATTGGGGGCAAAAAAAGAAGGAAAAGCAAAACAAAAACAAAGCAAATAAAATACTTAGGAGCATGAAGGTGAGATTCACTATGATATATTCATATACATACATAGGAAAGTTTGGTCAGGGTCACTGCATCTTTCCTCCCTCTTCCCATCCCTCTCCCTCCCCCTTCAGTCCCCTTCCTCTGCTCCACTGATATCTCTTATATATTTATGGTATTTTTCTCCCTCTTCTTTTCTTTTCCCCTTTGGTGGAGCTTCCCATATCATAGAAAACACTGGACCTTTGATTTTTAAGTTTGGCTTATTTCACTTAGCATGATGTTCTCCAGTTCTGGTGACTTACTGATAAGTAGCATAATTTTATTCATGCTTTTTATGACTAATACTCTGATATATACATATGTGTATATATATTTTGTTAAATATATATATTTATATATAGTATATAAACATATACATATTTTATTAAATATATCACATTTTCTTTATCCATTCATCTGTTGAAGGGCACCTAAGTTGGTTCCATAGCTTGGCTATTGTGAATTGTGCTACTATAAATATTAAAAATGTGGCTACATCCCTATAGTATGCTGATTTAAATCTTTTGGATATAAACTGAGGAATAGGTAGCTGGTCATATGGTGGTTCCATTCCCAGTTTTGGGGGGAATCTCCACACTGCTTTCCAGAATGGTTGCACTAGTTTGSACCTAAGTATGTGTGTATGTGTGTGTGGCAAATAACATGCTCAATATCATTAGTAATCAGGAAATATAAAATTAAAAACAATGAGATATTTCTATATATCTTTTAGAAWGTCAAACAAACAAATGAAAAATGCTTGACAATAGCAAGTGATACAAATGGTGTGGAGCTTCTAGAAATCTCTGACATGTTTGAGTGCAACATGGTGCCAACATTTTGGAAAATAGTTTGGCAGTTCCTTATAAGCATATACTTGACCATGTAACACAATCCCACTTTTAAATATTAAGCCAAGTGAAATAAAATTTATGTATAAATAAAAACTTGAACATGAATGTTAATAGGTACTTCATTTATAATCATTCAAACTGGAAGTTATCCATATACTAGTTGATAGAAAAACTGTGGAACAGTCAGTCAATGGGATATTTAGCTATTAAAAAAGAATAAAGCAAGGATATATATACAATTATGTTTTGCTATGTAAAAATAAAAGTCAGACTCAAGACATTACATTCTATATGATTCCATTTCTATGTGATTTTGAAAAAAGGCGAAGCTACATATACAGAAGTCTGACCAATGATTGTGAGGAACTGGACAAAAGGAAGTGATATCAATTACAATAAGACATGAAGGATTTTTTTTCCTTTTTCTGGTAGGAGAACAGTTACCATGAAATTTGATGATTGTACAACAGTATGAGTGTGTCAAAATTCATAGAATTGTATATGAAAAAGGGTGAATTTTATTGTATTTAATTATAGTTCAAATGCAAACAAGTAAAATTACACAAAACAAAAAGAAAATCAGAAGTTAAGACTTATCCAAGCACTTTGTAATTGTTGATGACGACTTTTAATTTACAGTGCTAGGAATCATACCCAGGGCTTCAGACATGCTAGGGACTCTGCCACTGAGCTACAACCCAACCCTGACAACTACTTTTAAAGCACTGAATTCTKAATGTCGTTATCTCAACATCCTCGGTAAAGCTCCATAGAACAAATTTTTTAATGTTACTAAAGGGATATAGAATACCTATGAAGATGAGCAAGGTATTCAACTCATAATCCTATCATCACAAATCTCTAGGTAATGGCCTAATGTCACAAAATTATGGAAATTGAAAGTAAAACTGGGACATTTCTACTTACTTTTCATGAATTAGCTTTTTGGTATCATCCCAGGTGACTTCTAAGCGGTTTATCTCTCTGTCGACTTCAGGTGCAAAAGCTACATCTTTCTGGGCGATTTGTTTAGCTTTGTCTTTCAACCAGCATAGCTCATGTTCATGAGAATTCAATTCATCTTCTAACTGATTGAACACTCTCAACCTGTGAGTTAAAACATGGTTTCACTGCTAATCTATTAAGGCAGTAAACTAATTTTACTTTTTGTAAGCACATGATGAGTTCCGAAAGCATGCAGCTTAATAGCTGGAAAAACTTAACACAGCAAGAACATTAATGCATATCCACTGATAAAGATGCTTTTAAAGTTAAATTTGCATTATGACTTGACACTGTACCTCAGAAAACATTGAAGAGCATTGTATTTTCTTTCCATCTTCTGTTATGATTGAATTTTCTATTTGGTTTTGGAGGTATAAGACTTTTAAGGCTAAGGCTAACCCTGTGGTCAAGGTAGGTGAATATGGATTACAAGGTCGTGCAAAAACAAACAAACAAACAAACAAAAAAACTTTCTGTGCATGAGGTCCAACCCAGGAGAATAATGAACATTGAAGGGTTATAGTTATTTCATTCAAAACAAAACTAGCTTTCCTGAGTTCTGTGGAAAATACCTATTTTTGAACTTAAATGTCCTACTTGATTGAAAAGATTACCATGAGAAAATGACCATGTTTCTTTATCCCTAACAATATTTAGGCATTTGTAAAATGTGACCACAAAGAGGTAATCACTGGCTCATCTTCACACTGGTACCATACTGTAGAGGGTAAGGCAGGGGCACATGTGGTATCCCCCTTGATTCCCAATGTGGAGTGGCTGCAGGCAGGTGTTGTCATTATCCCCACCTTGCAAGAGAGTGCCCAAGGTGGTGGAATGAAACCTCAGGATGGTTGGGGTTTACCAACCATCAATTTACTGCTACATTGTCTCAGTGTTTGTGTGTCCTTGGTGACCTGGGGATACCGATGGGGTTCTTGAGGCCAGTCTGACCTTTCTCCTGCAGCTTTAACATTTCTGTCGGCTTGGCCTGAGTTGGCCGGAAGGTAAGGCTGCTCTTTCCTATGTGGGAAACACTAGGCACCTTGTTCTCTCTTTAAAGGCTATTTTCCCAGATCCCGTCCCCTTTTCTGAATGTATTATTAAACTAGTTACATTTTTTTTTTTTTTTTGCTTACTGCCCATAAGGGATATAATCAGGTGTCCCAGCTGGAGTCCTGATTTTAACTCCACTGTCATCTAACTAATGCTTTGGCTTCTTCTTTGATTTGGGGTAAAAGGGGTCAAATGCTAATGGTCTCAGCAGGGACAGCATAATTCTTAACAAAATCATGAACATCTTGGGATGCTTTTCCACTGTTTCTTGGCTCCAAGAGCCCAAAAGTGGCCTTAGAAGATAAATGGGGATAAGGTTCTATTAAGAAGGAAAAAGATAGATACAAAGGTAACATTAGGGGAAAAAAAACCCTCACTTGTCAAATTTACGGAGGAAGCTAACTCTCATTCCTTTGCTTCTCCACTGGTCTCACTGACAACCCCAGATGTGCTGAACCCTTGTCTCTGCCTTCTCCGTACAGACTGTCAGGTGGACTGGTTTCACATTTGATGGGTGAACAAAGATCTAAGATGACTCCTACCACTTTCCTAAGCTTTTCTCTATGAGAGAGAGAGAGAGAGAGAGCTATCTCACCCTGATTTCTCTCCTCCAACATCTGCCACCTACTGTCAGCCAATGCATTTGCTGTGCTCTTTACTGAGGGGTTGGTGGGCCCTAGAGAGGAATTTGCTGAGAGAGAGAGAGAGAGAGAGCTATCTCACCCTGATTTCTCTCCTCCAACATCTGCCACCTACTGTCAGCCAATGCATTTGCTGTGCTCTTTACTGAGGGGTTGGTGGGCCCTAGAGAGGAATTTGCTGATATTTTTACACCAGAATTACACTACTACTACTTGGATCTCTGTCTTCATTCTTTCTACAGAAGATGTGCCTCTTCTTCTAAAATATCTCACAAATATATAACATGGTTTCTAATCTGTCCTGGAGATACAATCTCAAAGGGGCTCAGATCTCACCCGCAGGAAAATTCTTGAGGAAGCCACAGAAACTTGAGTACTTCTCAACTGAATTAGCCATGAATTTTACCTTCAGAATCTTTAAAATTTGCTAACTATGGCACTATCTAAAGCTTTGCACGAAAGTTCACTCCACAAGAAATGAAAAGCGGAAGGGACAGCAGGCTTCAGCGCCAGCCACTCGAGTACCTCTGCTGAAGAGCTTGGCGGGTGGGCTCCTTCAGGCCTTCCTTGTCAGCCCTCTCCTCGATGTCCTCAATGCTTTTCAGCAGCTCCTCTCTCTGGTCTTCAAACGCTTTCTTCAACACTGCAAGCGCATCCGCCTCACTCTGCTTGGTCCCCAGCAGGTTCTGGATCCTCTCCAATTCTGCACAGAGCTGATCAGCCGTGGCTCTGCAGGACGTCCTTTGCTCCCCGCTCCCACTTTTCAGATGGTACTGGGCTTTGGTAAGAAGGCCATCGAGACCGATGGCAGTGGATTCCAACGCTTTAACGTCCTGAATGGCGTCGCTGAGGTCCTTCTCCAACAAGTCAGACTGCTTCTTGTTCATGCTGTTGGTTGCTTCCACCGTTTGCCTCAGCTGGTGGAGAACCCCGGACAGAGAGGCGTGAGTCTGCAGGAACTCTGCCAGCTGGGACAGGGCAAGCTGCCTCCTCTCTACCACCTGATTGGCCTCCTCGAAGAGCTGCAGGCAGTCCTCCGCCTTGCCCTGGAGCAGATGGAGGTCCTCAGCGCGGCCCAGAGACCCCAGCTTTGCCAAGTGACTCTGCAGACTCTGCAGCTCTCCCTTTTTATTCTCTATTTCTGCTGCATGATCCTGGAAGACAAGAGAGAGTTGCTGAATCCTCAGGTACACTAGAGTCCATGAGTCAGAGAAGCAGGATTCGTGAGGTTGAGTTGGATTTTATGTGTCATGGATAGCATAAYGCTTAAAGGTCATCTACAATGAGTCTTTAAGAAACATTCACAGTTTCCCATTTTGTTCATTTATATATGTCATATATAAAAATATATATATTATTATGTGAGTCTGCCATATAGGATATTGGACTAGCTCACAAGAAACCACATTGMAAATCTAGCAGAAAACTGCCAACAATCTCAGCATGGTTCCCATTCATGAGAAATTTTATCCTAATTTCTGTCCTAATCCTGACCACAAGGAMCTTACAGCTGCCCCTGTCTGATGATGAAATTGAGAGAGTTCTCTAACCCAGGTTCCTGAACTGTTTTTTCTTAGAGCATTTGCYTTACAAATCATAAATTCTTCTTTGTCCCATTGAGATCCACCTTTTAAAGTCTGATCAGTTTTACAACCCAGGATTGTCTTTCTCAAGGACATTCCTCCTTTGAAATAAAATCATCCCAGAAGGCAGCACCTCTCTCCCAGTCTCCTTGGAGGGAGAAGCCTGACTTTGGTACATTCTTCCAAGTTGCAGAACTACTTCCTGTCCCAAGGACAGAAGTGTGCTCTTTGTAAGGCCAAACAGCAAAACTCGGCAAGGAGTAAATACCCAATAAATACTAAACATTTTATTATGAAATTTTATTTTAAGTGTATTATGTAACTCTTCTCCACTTTCCCCATGCTTGAAAATCAATATCTGATTTTAAAATWTTTTTTTGGTGCCAGAATAGACATAACACATAATTTATAAATAAGCCATGGCTTTTTAAATACTTTCAAGCTAAATAGTAATTCAGAACAACTTTATTATTAAAGCATTGCAATTTGTTTTAATTTTTGGTACAGGAACAAAAASGAATTCAAAAGCCTAAAAATGAACATTCTTATCACTTTATGCTACAAATAATTTGCTCCACTATGAATAAACAGTTTCTTGTTGTAGTTCCCTATTCTATCTTGAAAGGGTTTTATCTGCTTAATTTATCTGTGTAAGAAATTGGCAGGATTCATATACTTGATTATTAAAACATTTTCATATGAATGAAAAGTTAGATTACTGCCACATATTTTTCCTTTGTAATTCAAGAACTCTCCCTTGTGAACAAATTTTTCTTCAATCTTCTTTATTTCTGTTTAGAACTTACCGTAGGTGACTCCATTTTGTTGTTATTATTATTATTATTTTGTGGTGCTGAGGATTGAACCCAAGGCCTTATGAATGTGAGGCAAGCACTCTACCAACTGAGCTACATCCCCAGTCCTTTTTTTCTTTAATCCTAACAGAAGATTTACCTTCTGCCTAGTAAAAGCTACTTGATGGTCCATGATGCTTATCTCAGAAGTAGATTGTAATTCACTGAGAAATGCTTTGATCCAGACAGAAACAGAAAGCAGCAACTCATCAAATTGCTGGTGTTCAGCAACCACGGACTGAAGAAAATTAATCCTGTGTGGAGAAAGGGGTTTTAAAGTTAAAATGTTCCATTAGTGAACAGAATGGGTTAAGGACGGATTTTGGGAATGAAGCTTATCCCATGATGATGTCTTACATGGACAAGCTGAACCTGTGGATAGTTCCTTCTTCCAAAGTCCTGCTTTCCTCAYAGTTTCTCTGTCTCAGTTAATATTGCTACCACCCACCCTGATGGTCCCCCCTCATTTCCTCACCACCACCTCTCGCCTGTGCACAGTCGGTCCCACATTCTCCACCAGATATATTGGTGCTTTGCTCTTCTCCTTTCCACTATGCTCACCCTGGCCTGAGTTTCTGAGTCTTTGTTTAAGCTGGCCTCTTTCCTGACACCTTCGCTTCCCTACTGTCCACTCTCTAGACTAGTCAGAAACGGTGTCATGGGATCAGAACAATCCCTGTCATGTGTCTATACTGGAGCAGTTTCCTGTTGTACTTGGGAGGCCATCCCCCCAGGGGATCCCACGTACTTGCTCCTCTGTCCTCGTCTGAGGCAACGATGCCCTGCACTCCTTCTGACTCCTGTCTGTTGCCCACTAGACCCACTTAGTTCTCCTTGGAGCCTTGGGCCATTTGCTGCCTCTGCCTATGTCCTCTTGTCCTCTGCTGGCCGATAACAGGTATAGGAGATGAGAATCCCAAACTGGGATCCCAAACATWATATTACAATCAAATATTCATTACAATGGTTTGTATCCAGAGATCAACGTTTTACTATTTCAAATTTTTATCAAAATTTTTACACATATTAATGTACATATTAGAGAGCTCAACTATTTAACTTTCATATTCTAATCCTTGCAAATTTTTTCTACACATTATCCTTACAGGAATTCATCATATTCTAAAAAAGTCACACATTTGTATTATTAGCTTAAAAGTCCTTTATTTTCCCTCTGAGAGACAGCAGACAGACCCTGCTCATTTTTAAAGAAAATTTCTCATCTTTTGAGAGTKGACCTCACTCCCTTTATGGAACTTCCTTTGTTGAACTTCCCAGTTCAAATGTCCCTCTTTTTCATTCCTTGAATACTCCATGCTCACCTCTCTCAATGGTTTTCTTGTTGTTCCCACACTAATCTATAAAATACCTGAGTTCAGGGTTTGCTTATTTCTATGGCACCAGCCTCCAGTACAGTGCCTGGCAATCGGCAGATACCCAAGAAGCATTTGTTGATTGATTGAACAAATGAATAAGCAATGGAATAAATATAAGCTCCACGAAAGTGGAGTGATCCACCGCACATTGAAGGGTGCTCTACTCATTTCAGAAACTAAATAAATATGGGCTGAATGAATGGATTTTTAAAATAGTCAGAATGGTTAAATGCTTATCCAAGATTCACATCATCATATGGGTAATCAATATCAATTTAAAGACAAAATYTGTTCTCTTTTTAATTAGAAAGATAAATGAAAATTGCTGATCATCTAGTTAACTAAGATTTAATCCACTTTTGCCTCCATTTAATATATGAACAGTTTCCCTCCCTCTCTCCAAAGATCAATTTTGAAATGAAATGATGTGTACAAAATGCCTCTGGCTGAGAAATATCACAGGAGACAAAATTTTAATTACCATTTTCTTTTCTTATGCAAATAGCTCAATCAACAAATAATATACACACTAGCAAAAAAAAAAAACACTAGCAACCCTTCACTCTTCAATATATTTCAACTAGCTTACTCATTTTCTCTTTCAGGTAAAACAAAATCTTTGAATTGAGGTTCACCAACAATGCTTATTTTAAGGACACTGAGTTTTAAAATGACAGTTTTCTTCCACTGCCTGGTATCAATCCCCTGATGGCTGAGTTAAATAAAATAAAAGGATGGTTTTTTAAAAATTTATGTTCACCATTTAAAATAAATGAACACTTTTAGGACTTTTTAGAACCAACCTCTTCCCAATTATCTGTGGTAGGTCTCTCCACCTCTCGTCCAGCTGCTCCAAATGTAGTCTGATCATTTTTACGTCCTCCTTGGAGGCGACTGAGAAGAGTGACTCCTTCAACTGCAAGAGGCTGCTGTAGGAGGAGGCCTGAGACACCACTTCCCCCTGTAGGGCCTGGGAAAGCAGAACACGTCACAGACCTCCCCGTGAGAGGACAGGATGGGGAGGGCCCTGCAACAGAAGGTGGCCACCGCAGATACATTCTTGCAAAATGGAGGTCATTAGGGCCAAGACAGTTACTACTACTTGACTGAGCAATGGATTCACTTGACCATCACTGAAATTGTTTAAATGCTATTGAAACCTGAATGAGTTTTCTGGAGTCTGAGTTATAAGTTAGGCAAAATTGAAAGCTGTGAATTTCCTATAGAACAAAGAAACTGAGGAAGCAAAAAGAATCACAGAAAAAGTATGATGGATAAGAACCAAAGAACATCTAACAAAAACAGATGCAATTCTAGGTACCAGGAACATGGTGTCTCTCTCTGTTTAGAGACCACATGAGGCCAAATTGTGGGGTTGAAGGGCTCTTATTTAACTTGCATGAACAAAACTGCTTATTTTAAAATTGAATTAACAAAGACTCATATAGATAGAGAACAACACAAAGAGGTGTTAATGAGATGACATGGGTAGTACATATGACAGCACATAGTAGAAGCTTATCAAAATGCCTTTTCCCCTTCCTAGTGGAGCCCAGTATATTATAAAAGGAAAACTGCTATATGTATRTATCAGAAGAGAATCAGCCTGTGAATGACAGGGAAGACCCCAAAGCAGAATGGGAACACATGCTAGCAGTATACAGGAAAGAAGGGGCCCAGGATGGCCAGGAGGTGGGAATGGATGCTCATGGTCAGCCCACAGTACACGGTGTGTGGACAAGGGAGTGACAGAGGCCTAGAGCCCCTCTCAGCCCTCCCAGGCACAGCACTTAGATTCCACATGGAGACACGGAGGAGTCCAATTCAATGTACTGGGACATCTTCATGTCGATGCTTTGCTRTTTTTAAGGAGGGGAGCTGTGACTTAGCCTCTTGGACCATCTTGTCTATACTTATAGGAACCAGACTGATTGTCCTTGTGCTCAGGGTAGCCACTGTAGGTTTCTGAGAAGGGACTTTCCAGGAGATGAATGCAGAGCATCCATGTTTTTTAAGCTGGAAATGGGGAGAGAATGGGGATATGGTCCCCTCAACATCAAGGAAGGATAAGAACTGAATGAAGATGGGCAATAGGTTCAGATTCCACAGATAACCTCTGATGGAATTTTTTCTTTTCTTTTCTTTTCTTTTTTGTACTGGGGATTGAACCCAGGGGCACTTAACCACTGAGCCACATCCCAGTCCTTTTTGTTCTCTATTTAGATTCAGGGTCTTTCTGAGTTGCTCAGGGCCTCACTAAGTTGTTGGCACTGGCTTTGAACTGCTGATCCTCCTTGCCTCAGCCTCCCGAGCTACTGGGATTACAGGCATGCACTACCATGCCCAGCCCTCTGATGGGTATTATTTTTAAAATTTTTAATTTGTTATATCCCCTAATGGAATTATAAGAGAAGAAATTATAAAAATGAAGAGAACCAAGCTCTATCCTAAACTTGYGATAAAAGGTGATGGAGAAAATTGGGATATAAATCAATAATACAATCAATCTCTGTTAAGAAGCAATTTGCCTATTGAATTTTGGGCATAGACAAGTATCACTTCAAGTAATTTATTTATCTCCAAAAATCAGTAATGTTGACTAGCTTCATTAGTGCCACGTGATYTTTTTTTAAGTTTCAAAAGTTGCCTTCTTCAAAGTTGTGATAAGCTATTATTCTTTATCTTTCTACCTATTATCCATGTTTGATATCACTGATATTTTTTTTTATCTTGCTTGAAAATAATCATGGCTGTTGATTTCTTTCAGCATTATTTCTCTCTTTCTTAGTGATTTTTCTATTACTGAAAATTCTTATAAATAAATATGAAAATGGAGAGATTATACCTTGTACCAGCTTTGGAGATGACTGACTGACAGTCAACCTCATTCCATATACTTCTCTGGCCATCCTTCTCACAGCTCCCCTGGCACACCAGCTTTATTCCCATCCCAGACATCATATCGCAGGATTTTCTCATGCACCATGGAACTAGGTCACCACAGAATTCCACCTGCCATTCCCTCGTCTCTCAGGTCAGGGTTGTTMTCTTCTTTTTAGGATACATACCTTGATGTCACATGTGGCTTCAGGGATCACAAAACCAAAGCAAGAAGTTTGGGATAGAGATTTCTTTTCTTTGTTTTTTTTTTTCTTTTATTCTTTTGTGGTGTTCAGGATGGAGCCCAGGTCTTGTGCATGCCAGGCAAGCCCTCTACCACTGAGCTATATCCCCAGCCCTATCTTATTAATTTATTTTTAAATAACACAACTATGACAAAGAGCACTTCATTTTTCTTCCTCGCATTTCCTTGAACTTGCCTGTATTAACTGAAGTTCACCCTCCACTTTGACTCTGTCTGCAGACATGCCCATTTCTGGGGAACTGGCCATGGCTTCACATCGCTCTAACCAGGTCAAAAAGGATGACAGTTCTTTCTCGAGCCTAAAGAAAGCAGAGGAAAGGAACACATCCATCCAAAATCATCATGCCAGAAGACTAAACCTTTCTGAGGTCAGAGGGCCAATGTGAACCATGATAAACCATGCAAAATAGCCTTTGTCATCCTTGCATGTGAGGGACAAAAAGCAGTGTGTGTGGACTGCACCACTTAAAACTGTGTAAATAAAATGTGATATAAATATACACAATGGAATATTACTCAGCCTTAAAGAAGAATGAAATTATGGCATTTGCAGGTATATGGATGGAGTTGGAGACCATGCTCAATGAAAAAAGCCAATCCCCAAAACTGAAGTCCAGATATTTTCTCTGATATGAGGATGCTAATTCACAATAAGGGGGTCAGTGCTAGGGAAGAGTAGAGTTACTTTGAATTGGGCAGAGGGGAGTGAGGGGAGGGGGGGTGTGGGGTGGGAAGGATGGTGGAATGAGATGGACATTATTACTCTATGTACATATATAATTGCACGAACGGTGTGCTCTGCATCATGTTCAGCCAGAGAAGTGAGAAGTTGTGCTCCATGTATGTACAATGTATCACTAGTTAGAACAACAACAACAACAAACTGTGTAATGTATAAACATCCTCTTCCCTCTGGGAGGTCCTGTAGTTTTACATCTTGGATGCCAATTCCTCATCACTTAAAGACAGTCCGTAAAGCATTTCATGTTGAAGAGTGGCAGTATCTCAAGCAGACACTCTGCTCACCTCTGCCAGTGGGCCAGAAGGTCCTCCAGCGCAGTCTGTCTCTCCTTAGCCTTCCCAAGGGTCCCCTCATACCGCTGCTGTAGAGCAGCCGCTTCCTGCAGGCAGGATTCTCTGTGCACCACCTTCCGGGCACTGGCAGAGAGGGCAGTCACTGTGCTGCTCAGGGACTCCAGGGCCTGACAGAGGTCCTGAGGAGAGTGCAAAAAGAATAGGGCTGTGCTCCCCAGTTCCCAGGAGATAGGTTCCTGGATGGTCTGCAGATGCCTGAGCCCATGGAGAGAGCAGACCCTGCAGATGCTATGCTCTTTCCTAGGCCTCTAACCTGGGCAAAGTTTAATTTTAAAAGTTGACACAATAAGAAATGAGCAATCACAAAATTAAACAGCTACAACAATCCACTGTGATAAAAATTATTTAAACTGAAATGATTATTTCTGGTAGTTTCCATTTAGTAGTTTTGGCTGTGGGTATCGACAGGTAACTGACAGCACAGAAAGTGAAACTTTGGATGGGAGACTGCTGAACATCCACCAGAGGCCACCAACTAAAAGTCAAGACCTGGGTTTCCTTTGTAAGACCCGTCACCAGGAAACATTTTCCCTCCATCGTCATAAATGGCAATGGTACCAAAAAATATCTGCTATGATTTGCAGCAAGACTTGGTGAAAATGAGGAAGTGACTTCATGGATGTCAAAGTCAAAGGTGGGAGGAGGGCTGGGGATGTGGCTCAAGCAGTAGCGCGCTCGCCTGGCATGTGTGCGGCCTGGGTTTGATCCTCAGCACCACATACCAACAAAGATGTTGTGTCCGCCAAAAAAACTAAAAAATAAATATTAAAATTCTSTCTCTCTCTCTTTAGATAAAAAATGGTGTGAGGAGATTTTCTCTAATAAGAATGCGCTGCTATAGATTGGAATAAATTTCACATTCCCCAACAATTCAGAATGTTTGTGAAAATCATTTATTTTATGCTAAATATGTCAGTCTTTTAAATTCAATTCTTACATGTAAAATGCTATATCATCCACAAAAAAAAAAAAAAAAAAACCACATGGAAAGAAGCCAGGCACAGTGTGAACCTGTGGTTCCAGCTACTCTGAAGGTTGAGGCAGGAGGATCACTTGAACTAACGAGTTTGAGACCAACCTGGGCAACATAGTAAAACTCCATATATATATATATATGAGTCTGTGTGTGTGTGTGTGTGTGTGTGTATTTCAGATATTTGTTTTTGTAGACATGTATGTTTACTTAAAAAGATATCCTACACACAGAGAGAAAGAGTTATGGCTGAATGTTAGAATTCAATGGTGATAATAATAAGACACCTCAGAATGGGAGAGGTAGTGTGCTGTGCTATGCACACTATAGGTATTAACTTATTTAATCTTCCTAAGAACCCTAAGAGGATGTCCTTTCATTATCTCTCATTTTACAGAATAGAAAACCAACTTGCTTTAGGAAATCTAAGTATTAGAAAAAATAGAACGCCATCCTCTCCGGCACTCTGTTATCAATTTAGTTGTGTACTGGAGTAATTTCATTAAATTGGATTTTCTTTTCGTCATTTTAAAGTATTTTTAAAAATTGGGTAAGTCATATAAATGCATTCTCATTACATCAAACAATATAAATCCCACTCCCCTTTCCAGATGTGCCTTGTCAATCATTTGCTTTCTGTCATTGCAGCTCATTTTGTTTATTCTTAACCTGCTTCATTTTATCATTTCTTTGAACATGTATCTTCCTCTTTGCTCCTTGCCCCTAATGCTTCCAATGCCATCTGTTTGTAGCCTTGCCAAAGATTTGACAATGATCACCGCAAAGACCAGATTTTAAAAGCCAGTTGTTGGAAACAGGTCACTGAGGATATATATATATATATATAACACCTGAATATAACAGGTTGAAATATGAAATCTGTGGTGCACATGAAAATCATTTATTTTATATACTAAATATGTCAGTCTTTTAAATTCAATTCTTAATTTATAATCACTACATGTAACATGCTATATCATCTTTTTGCACACTTGATTTTCTATAATTCTGGCAAGAGATAAAGGTTTTATTAAAACTACTATCTGAAAATATTATAAGTTCTTAGTAAAAGAGAAATATCTCTTAATTGAATTTTCATTTTATATATATTTTAGTGAAAATTTACTGGCATACTTACATTTCTTGTGTTATATGAAGTAGATACATTTAATATCTTATTCCTTAACATAATTTTTCCATTTTTAACTCTCCTAAAAATATTTACTGTTTTCTTTTTAAATTGGAGTTATCAAATTTGAGAGTGGATAAATAAGCAGAAGTGTGCATGCATGCTCCTACCATATGTTCTTGGAGAACTCTGTATGTTTCTGTAGCCGAAGAGCATATTTTAACTGGATCATTAAGTTTGTSTTCAAATTCAGACACAGACTGCTGGATCTAAAAAAAAAAAGGTGAAATATAATAATGTTGGGAAAAATACACATTGAAAAAGCAGTTGAGAAAGAAAGCTACTGAGACAGTATCGTACCTACCTTCTATGAATAACTTCCAATATGATGACAAATGAATTTTTAAAAATCTAAAGTCAATGTGTCCCATTATTTGAAAGGAAACTAATTAAGCCTTAATGATTATCTGAACATAATGTATAGTGACATTTACAGGCTCATTGTACCTATATAATTATTTGTGTGTGTATGTTTGTGTAGACATATTTTTACTTAAAAAGATACCCTATAAACAATTATGAATTTAGTTCATAACTGACAACTTGACAATCCTGACAACTTGGTAGACAACTGGAAAGTTGTTTTTTCTTCATTACACTATTTAAGGAGTTCTTGCTTCACTTTTCTATAAACGCAATGCAAAACGTGTAACTTTAGCCTGCATGCATTCTTACCTTTTGAAGACTGTCTTCAAACTTTTGCTGCTGAGACAAATGCCCCAGGACTGTTCCTTCAAGGCACTGAGCATGCTCTCGGAGCTCTTCCCAGTATCTTCTTATCTGTGTCAACTTGGCTTTGATTCGAGCAGATTCCCCAGTGGTAATAAACTGAGCAAAAGACTGAGCTGCTTCTTCTAACCCTGTAATGCTGCTGATCTGACTCTCAATCTCCTGGATTGTCACCTAATATTTAAAAAAAGAAAATGACAATGCAACTGAGTAAACTTGCCTTCCTGAGATGATAAAATCACCTACAAGGAAAAATAGAAAAGTCTCCTTAAGCGACATCTAAACATGCTCTGAGGGGGTGGTTGGAGAAGTGAACCAGCAGCACCTTGCTTCCTGACTATTTGAGGAGGACGCGCACACAGACAGTATCTGCAGCACACACCACTCTGTGGTGGCTGTGTTCACTGGAGAGGGAGTAAAGAGAAATGCTGCTCCTGCTTGCAGTGAGATTAGCAAGAGGATATCGCTGCACCTTTTACACTCTCTCCAAAGACACAGAGATTTATCTGCTTACTCATTGATCAAGCACTTAAATCAATTGATGTGGGGAAACCATGTGTTCTAGGAATTCATAGGAACACTAATACTGGCATTCAATTAATTTTTCTAAAATGTAGTTGAGTATTTCATGATTTACTAACACAAAGTTTTTCTGATTGTACTCCTACTTGGAGCTAGTCTTTTCCAATCTATCCCCTGTGTTGCATGCCCATGTTTTCCAAATATAGAATGAATTAAGACACTTGACTCCCATCCTCAGGGATCACACATGCTAAGTAGGACCCAAGACTTGGGATCAGTTCCCATGGGCTGCTGTTGCTGCTGYTGTGAGAATGACCACTTTCTTCATTAGCTATGCACTCTACAGGAAAAACTGCATGCTATCATTTTAATTTGAAGCAGAAAGGATATTTTACATATAACCCAATACATAGAATGTACCAATGGCTACTAAGAATGTGCATTGGGCTTATTCATGTGTGAAACAATGAAATTTCTTCTGAGGAAAAGGGCCACACTTGTCCAATAAACATAATGCCCCAAAACTCAAGTCAAGTTTCAATTACAAATAACTTAAATGGAAAATACTGTTATGGGGGGGGCAGGGGGGAGAGGGGAATAAATTTGTGATTTCTAAGTGAGGCAATCAGAAATAAATTACATAGGATTGTCAGGTAGGCACCACCATTTATTCATTTTATTTTTCATATGTGTGGTATAKCTGATAAATATTTGAGCATTAATACAATCTTTCTTTTTGCTGATTTCTAAGATTATCTTACAAAAATTGCTCATYAATTCAACAAATAAGTGTTGAGTGTCCTCTAAGCACTAATAATTCTTCTGGGTGCTTACAACACTACTTGCTTAAGGACTAAGAAAGTTCTTRGTTATTGGACTAATCCATGTCACCAACAAAATCATAAATGGAAACCAATCACATTGTAATAAATAGAAATTCCAGCCAAGAAAAGTTGGAAGATGAATCTAGCATATGTTCTTATCATTTACCAATATCAGGAGCAGCGTGGAATGATGAACACGAAACAGCTCACAGCATTTATCTTCACAGCAATAAAAATGCTTAATTTTAATCTTAAGATTATTTTAAGATGAGAAAACTATAACAAGTTTTACATTTATTATTTATTATTTATTTATCATTTCCTATAGTATAGCCTTCTGTTGGGAAACAGAATATGAGCCTATTAAGYCAAATTTCATAGATCTTTCCACTCTATTTTTGCTTATTTGWWGCAGATATTTTTTCCTGATATTKAYATTTTAAAATATATTTTAGGTCATTTTCAAAATGCCATTTTGGACATATTAAAATGTATTTCTAGTCTGATGGTAAGAAAATCCACAAGTTACCRTTTATGTATTTAAAAATAAAATATGTAATTTTCATTTATCCTGGARAATAACAAGATGATATTTGATCATTGATGTATTTCAGAAGTTCTGGAATATAAATTAAAATAGCAAGGAATTAATTATTAAAAGGATAAATAAAAAGTCTRTTAAATTTTTAAAGGGGAAATTTTGGGGACAGAACTACTTAAATGTACTATGCTCTTTTTCTAATCCAACACAGAAGACASGGCAGGCTGTGCGTGTGCCACACCATGTGTACTTGATTGCGAAAGATGTACGATGAGCAGGGATGATTTGTTCCACCTGTGATCTTAGCTAAGTGACATTGCACCCTCCCACCTTGCACATGGTAATAACTTGTTCTGAGCCATAGTGTGAAATGTTTCCTCACCTCGGTATTTATTTTACTATATTTAATAGAATGAAACTTCAAAGYGTTTTCCCATTCCAAAAAGAAAAAWGATAAAATGAGATAAAAAGCGCCTGAATTTTAAAAATGTGTGTTGTGGAGTTACATAAAAGAAAGAASCATAAATGAGCACTCCAAGCCCACATCTTTCAGCTCAGTTCTCTTAAAYTGAGTGAAGTGTTCGATGATAATCTAATCACATGTTTATCTTGGAGCTTGGAGAGCTACTGTAACAGAACATCTCCATCCGCACCCAAGGTTATAAACGAATACATTACAGCCACCAGGTCTGATTGCTTCACCTACAGAATGTAGTGTTTTGAGCTCCCCCTTGTGGTCAGTGAGGGTAAACACCACTAATACTAATTTTAACAATCCAAGTAGTTCTTAAAAAGTAATTGTAGATGATGGATACACTTCATGTTTTATAAGAGAATCAAGAGAGCGCTCCATTGAGGTTAATGCAAAATCAAGAAAAAGAATAATGTAACCATAAAAATATTTTAATGATATTGCACACAATATTGACTTTGAATGCATAGGTCTGACAATATTAATACACAATTCCATGTATAAAGTATTACCCAGTGTCAGTCAAGATCTCTTAGCTTGGTTGGCATTTTGTGTGAACTTAATTTTAATTGAGTCACAGAGCAATGAAAAATTTGTCTCAGGACCAAATAGGTTTTGGTGAAATAAATGTAAGAAAGAGATCTTAAAAGCTAGACATAGATTATTAATGTAACATCCGAGCAGGTCACCTTAATTTGGCTGATCTGCATGTCCATGGCAGAGGATGAAGTTTCCAAGGCATTGAGTTCTTTCTCTTTTTCAGTTATCCAGACGGACAGGTTCTCAAAATTACTGCCAAAATGATCCCACTTGTTTTTCACCATTTCCATGGTTTTAATACTAAAATTAACCAAATTAAGTAAAAAAAAATGCAATATTTTAACAGAGAACAACAACACCAGGTGAAAAGATAGTGAAGACATTTGTAACTATTTCAAAGTTGGAAATATTTGAGGAGGAAAAAATGCACACTTGATCTGAGTAGTCAGGTTTCAAGTCTTCCTAYCTCTTCTGAGAATGAGCTCTTAAGGAGGCATCATCGAGGCTGCTACAAATGCAATCGCATTTTGAACAAAATATTGCTGAGTACAAGGGGGTCAAATCAGGTATAATCTAATTAAAYGCTGCATGTGACCAGTACTTGCCAAGACTTATTTCAATAAACTATGCTAGAATAGATCCCAGTGTACATCATTTTTTAACAGTCCTGTTTTCAAGGACACGTTCCTCTTTGCTGTAAAGGAGAGATTCCACCATAATGCTTTATACTAAAAGATCTTTAGGAGATGTGTCCTATGAATCAAGATAGCACTTGTGGTCTGAACCCCTGCTGCCAGGCGGGAACTGCTGCCTTTATTACAGCTACACCTTTTGATTTAAAATCTAGAATGATTTCAGCGATTCATATATGTTTTATGGTCCTAATTCTAAAAGACTTTCATAAACTTTTTTTTCATGAGCACCCTGCTTTTAGACTACATAAGTGTTATATGTAACAAAATTTCAACTATAGATTTTGTTTGTATTAGCTACACCTATATAACTAAGTGAATATGGCTTTCAGATTAAAAAAAAGAGTAGGAAACTAAGAGCATATCATTGAATTTATAAGTCCTTGGGTTMAAAAAAAAAAAGAAAAAAGCAAATAACATCMCTGTTTACCCAAAGGCACTTGAAGACATGAAGAAAAAAGCAATGGCATCATTGATTGTCAAATTAAATGTATTGCAATCTTAAATTTATTCCCTGGGTATGCCTAATGCTCTTAGCAGTATAGAAAATACACACTATGTTATGTTGCAAGATTTTAAATAAGATTCAAATGGGCATTCTTAATAGAAGTAGTTTCTTTTCTAGTAAACTCTAAGTTTTACTATTTCTATTACTTGATGGAAGATATTTAATATAAAGTCCTCAAAATGTTTCAAGTTATATTTGTTTCAGATAAAATATTTATCATTTTTTAAAGTTTGGGCAAATGTAAAATGTCAATTTCAAGGTGTTAATATTATTAAAAAACAATTTTTAYATTTAAAATCCACCTTAGAAAGATGTCCTATTTCTTAAGAATAATAGATTATGTGTCCTTAATTTGAAACTACACAGAAGTATTTAGCCATATAATTTGGGGGAATATTGGACATATCCTCATAAGTTTATCCCCTGCAAACTTTTAAAAATATGTTATCTATAGCAGGTTCAACTGCTATTTGTTTCTTTTCACATAAAATAACATTAATGTTTAAAAATAAAATAGATTTTTAAAGTTAATTTCTGMAAAAGCATGTCAATCAGTGACAATTTGAGTCCCGAGGCACTGTAAGTAAGCTTATGAGCTTTGAATTGGAGACATTTGGTCTATGTGATGTGTGTTTAGGCCTAGATCGACACTACCGAAATATCTCCCCTTCCTTCTAACTGGTGACAGCAGAATAATAGAGTTTTAAAAAAGTAAAATATTGGCATTTTTCTCTAGATTTTGTCTACAATGTACAAAGGCCACAGAATGGAATCAATATGGCTTTCTTGTGAACAAAATCAGYTTAAGATGTTAATGCCACATCCCTTACATATTTTAGTTTTGTTGCAGATACTGGTTCCTGTGTTGAGGATACTTTCTTTTGAACTGTGAATCATATCTCAAGACATGCTGAAATACACAGACACTTTGAGATCTTAAAAGACGGTTTTGAAAACAAGACACAGGGAAGACTGCATTAAGCTTTATCTCAGAGAAGAAAGCTTAGGACTGGTGAAGCACATACTCTTCTTCAAGCGTGTCTTCTAGTTTTTTGACCTGCTCTTTGATTGACGYAGCCTGTTGCTGAAGCAATTGCTTATTCTTGGGCCCCAGTGGTATCTCTGAAGCTTCCTTAGCCAGGTTCTCAGCCTGGATTGCAATACCTTCTGTCCGCTTAGAAAATTCCTAGGAGAAAGATATTAGAGCCATTAGGTCCACACTTTATACTCTTTAACCCTGTCCTCAAGGAAACTGCAATATTGTGCATAGTCTTCCCCAGAATAGAGGAGCAGCTGGCTGGCAGGATTTATACATAAATAGATTTATGTTGTTCTGAACAATAAAACTGATTTTTATATGGTCAATTTAGACACTTCACTATTTTTTTCTCTTATATAAACAACCAGTTCTATCTTCACAGTTACCAGCAGTTCTCTTAGAAATTGTTTTCTCCCCTATTTCCTCCTTTGACTTATTGTTTAGAATTCTGAGCTATATTATAATAGTTAACTTATCCATACGTATGTTGATTTATTACAGGCCAGCTCACAAAATGATCAACAGGGATCAGTTCTTCAATCATACAGATAATAACTTGTTAATATAACTGAGGAATATCTCAAACAATGCAGAATACCAGTGATCTTTCCTGTCCAGAAACTCCAGAAAGGTCTTGTTTACTAGTTCCCTGAAAAGAGATATAATCTGATCTCAATGCTGTTAAATCTTATTTTTTTCCAATGCCTATGCAACATGACAGAAAGAAGGTGAGTTTTCAGCCCCTCAAATCTGGGCTGGAATCCCAGATGTGCTAATCACTGGTTGTTTTTCCATGTAAATGCAGATGATTGTGCTTGTCTTGAAAGGGTACTCTCAGCATTCCATTAGTAAATTCATTTTTAAGTAYCCTACACTCTGGCAGGTACCAATTATCATTTTTATGTCCTTCATATAAAATTGAAGAAAATGGTTTATTAATTCTATTCAGGGATTTTCAATGATTCTGAGCTATTTTAATTCAAAAGTTAATTTAATATGCACGAGGCCCTGGTAAACTTTAGATGTTATCTGAATTTTGTCAGGTAAACAATGTGGAATACTAGATTAGAGAAGGTAAATCCAGTGATAATCTTGAATGAAGAAAATCAGTGTCTCAGTTCTTCTCATAAGAAAACTCACAGGAGCTTTATAATTTTGATCATCAACTTACCTTCCTAAATAGGTAATGTAGAAACCCAACATAAATAYTTGTAAAAAATCAGATTTTTCACCCAGCATCTCCCAGAATGATTATAAAATGATATATAAGATAGTTAYAACACAACAAATCCCACATTACCTACAACCATAATGCACCAATAAAAAAGTGGAAAAAAAGTTACTACTAAATACTATTTAAGCTTCCTATTTAAAAGATGTATTGTCCTCACAGAAATATCAATGTCTACTTCACAGAAGTAGCCTGCAATTCAAGAGAATAAAATTGACTAAGCATCGCCTCCTTATGGTATAGAGCTTTACAGTATCCTAAAATATGATTTTTGCTGATGTCATAACATTAAATTCTATACTTAAAAGAACCCACTATTACCATCTGTGAACTCACAGTCATTTTAGAGTCAATTGTAAAGACTAAAAATCTCAGCATAATCTCTGATTCCCATGAAACGAATTAGAGGTACAAAAGAGTGTCCCCCAAGCCTGAAAGAACCCAGGGAAAGTAATGTTTGAAAATGCTTATTTTGTTCTTAGAGTATTTTGTGCAAACTATGTGTGGGGAAACACAATGGAGAGGAATTCAAAGAGCAGAATGACAYCTATAAGAAAAATGAGAAGCAAAAATGGAATAGCATTGTAAGGCTCATTGCCAAGTCCTAAGCAGGCAGGGGAGTGGTAGTGGGAAGCAAGGGCAGAGCATGATTTGCATGAGAGAGAGTGCAGTTGAAGCCAGGTTCTGTCCTTCACTAGCTGAGTGACCCTGAGACCTGAAAAACTCTGAATTCTCAACTCCTGGCCAGTAAAGCCATGCCTTGTAATGCAGATTCAATCTGACCTTGTTGTGGACACCCTCCTATACACTGGGGCCTAGAGGGCACAGCCACTCCAGGACTGTCACATAGAATACAGGTCGCAATATCAGTGCAAAGTGAGCACAGAAGGAGAGGAGAACAGTTATCCCAGATTACACACGCTCCTTTGGCAGAGGACAYAGAGAAGCCACTCGGTTTTTGAATGAAAGTGTAACATAGTGCCTTAGAGTGCAGGCTTTGGATAGAGATCTTTAGGGTTTGAATCCTAATGTTCCTGAGTGATCAGGAGGTCAGGGACAACTTTGTGCCTTAGGTATCCCTGTTTATACAAGAGGATTGATAATGAGGCCTGTTTGTCAGGAATGTTTTAAGAATCACCAAGTGATTAGGCCCGCATAGATGACAGACTTAATAAACATTACTGCAAATTATTAAATCACTCCCAAAGTGTGGAAGATCGTGGAGGATGAAGGAGAATTTTGATAATAAGACTAAAAATATGGCCTGTGTTTCATCTTTAGGCACTTTAACTGATCCACGGGGATGACACAAGTGAAGTCACAGGGCTGGATTTCCCTGGAGGGAACCACCTATGGAAATCAATCCAGTAAGCATCTTTGTGTTTATAAAAGACATCTAATATACAATTTGGATACATAAAGTAATTRAAATTTAAAAATAAATTTTAAACAATTTTCTCTTTAAATGGCTAATGAAAACTGAAGCATCGAAAGAGTCTGCAGCCTTATAAAACTTCACACTCCTTAATAAATTAATAATAGGAGAAATGACAAAAAATTAGCAGTATGAGTCAGAGAAGCTTTTCCTAAGAAAACAGAAGCACAGAGGTTTCCTTGCTGAAGGTTGGGAAAGTATGGCCTCCAGGTCTTTCCCTGATACACTGGCTAATCCATGGTTTCATTAATTCAGCCTTTCCCTCCCTTCTTTTATCCTTTCTCCTCCTCTCTTTCTCTTCCTTCTTTCCAAAGACATAGAAAAATATTTATTTTGGAAAGAAGCTGCACACTCAACTGCACCTCACACTATCGCAAGAGTGAGGTGWCTTTCAGGATAAACAAGAAACACACTTTTGGGGGAAATGGGAGCCACCTTAAATGAGAAGCCTTAATCCAGTCTTTCTATAAATGTCACTTGGCATAGTAGCAACCAAAAAAGCCCCAACGATTCCTCTAAATGCTTCAGCAAATGTATTGGCCTGCTCTAAGTACCCAAGGTATTTGTGCTTCCATGTTAAAAACACTAAGTACACTCCTAACTGCTCTCTTTGATACCCAGCTGGAATATCAAACTCAYTGTGCCCAAAACTGATTTGGATCTTGCCCCACTAACCCTCACTCCTTCCAATTCCCCTACTTGCTCTCATTATCTGGTCAGGCCCAAAACCTTCATATTCTTTTCCTCTGTTCTATCCAGATAGTTTCTCTACATTGATGTCAACTTCACCTTATCTTGTGTACCTGATCCCATGCATTCACTGCCCCTACCACCTTAATTCCCATTCTAACTCCCATGTGCCCGTATGTAGTAACTTTCTAACTGAATCCCAGTCTTTTACCCTTTCAATCAGTTTTCTTCATCTACTTAGAAACTCATCTCCCTAAAGCACAGCTCTGGTTGTGTGACTTTTTCTCAAAAATCTTCAAAGGCTCCAGCTCCATGTTTCCTAGAGAAAAAAAGTTTTAGCTCTTCTAGGACTACATGATATTGCCCAGTTTTGCTATACGAATTCTCATTGCTTTATGTACTTCACAGTACAGGATCCTGGTGTCCAGCACTTTGACACCCCATGCTGTTTCCTTTCCTAGGAATTTCTCTCTGTTCTAAGCTCCAAGCTCAGCTTTCCTAAGGTACCCTGCCCTTTGCATTTCAGATTCAACTATCATTGCCCCAATAATTTTAAAAATATACATATCTGTTAGTGAATTAACCATTTCTCAYTTTCTTGAAAAACTTCACCTAGATCTTAATGTTTAAATCCTACTTATGTTTTCATTTCCCAATATGTCAAAGAGTAAATAACAACTACTGATTAAATAATAATAAATCATAGAAATAATGGAGGAGAAATAGTATGTTCATYGTAATAATGAGCACCAAGGAACCATGTGGTACTATTGATATACCTTTGTCTGTTCCAGTTCTGAAGATAAGCTTTCCAAACTGCTAAAACTCAGGAAGCGTTCATGGCTGGAACCAGTTTGAAAAAGGTATCTGACCACTGTCTCTTTGTTTGTCTCAAATCTCTCCCATTTCCTTAAGGTGACCTTAAATTTGAAAAAAAAAAATACATACATATGTTAAAAAAGTGTTTGGAAAAATATTGCTCTATTTTCATTCATYCTCTAAACTGTCAACTTCCAGTGAATTTGCAGTTTAATTTTCACATAATCTCACTGAGTAAAGATGATTCCAAACCCAGTGTGGTGGTATACCTGTAATCCCAGCTACCTGAGAGGAGAAGGCAAGTTCCAGGCCAGTCTGGGCAACTTAGCAAGGCCATGTCTCAAAATAAAAAAATAAAAAGGATGAAGCTCAGTGGCAGAGTGCATCTGTACCATGTGCAAAACAGAGGATCCTAGTGTTTTCTGTAAGATTTTTTTTTTTTTTCTGGGCCTCATGGTCTTCATCAAAACAGGGCACACAGACTAGATGGTTTCTGAGTCTCCCATCGTTGTAACATCCTACCCATTAGCAGTGTGGCTTTAAATGTGGATGAGTGACTAAGAAAAAAAGCATTCTAATCTCTCAAGAAAAGAAGGATAGAGGGGGGTGAGGTGGGGAGGAAGAGAAGTGAGCAGGTGACAACCTCAAACTGTTCTTAAGGGAACCTGTCTACATCTCTATAAAGGATAGAGGTGCTTAAAGGAGTAGCTGCTGGACTGCCTGAAGAGTGAAACATATAATCAGATGTTGGATTCAGGCAGGTGTGGATCAAATCCTGSCTCATCACTGATCACTGCTGTGTGACATGGGGCCAAGTCCCCAAAGCCTTCTTAGGAAACTGCCATATTTTCGTTCATTTCTGTATCGTCAAACTTGTCCACACTGGCAAAGTGTGCTGACCTCAGGGCTCATAAGGCTGATCTGATGCAAAGAGACAGTTCACGTGAAGAATTTAACAGATGTCATGTCRGAGGATCAGAGGCAGAAGCAAAGGTTTGCTCCTGCTGAGAGGAGACATCATTGGACATCAACACAACTTAGGTCTCTACCAAAATGGCCCCAAGTGACCGGCCCTACCTGGATGCGGCGTTCCTGCCTCTCCCTGCCCTGCTCCACACTGGCCAGGGTGCTCTCTAGCTTCCGCAGCTCCTCCCGGCCAGGGCCAGCCAGCCCACCTTCTGTCTGCTGCGCCTGCGCCATCTGCTGCTGAAGGTCCCTCTTCTTGGCTGAGATCATCTTCGTCTTTTGCTGGAAGAAGTCGTTCAATAGATGGATGTAAAATTCACTCTCTAGGCAGCTCAGCTAAGCTTGGCCACAGCACCCACACTTATCGGAAGTACAGAATAGTAGGGCCTTGTGCAGCACAGGCCGACACCGTTTTAAAGTGAAGTTTAGCAGTTAAAACAGTAAGAATGGGGACTTTGTGTTAAGCTAAGGTGGACATTTTATATAAATATTTTATGTTTTTAATGGTAAATATAGCAATAATTTGRTTTTATGTTTTAATTGTGTGAAATTTGATCAACACTTAACATTTGGGGCAATACTTCAGAAAAAAAATTTGGCTAAACAGTGCATTTGTCATGACTCCTCTTAATCCTTTTCAGCTGAAAAACCTGTAGTTCCATTTCTTCTGTTATCATTGATACTGTAAAAATGCAGATATTAAGATATTTCCTTCTGGGCATATTATAAATAGTTTATGTGCTGAGATATTTTGAGGAAAGTTGTGCTTTAAAAGAAAACTTTTCACTGAAGTATAATCCTCAAACAGAATAGCACACAGATCTCAAGTGTACAGCTTGAGTATACATGTCCACAGAAACAAGTACCTGGTTCAGGAAATAAGAGAAGAGCTTGAAAATACTAATATGTATATTATACATATATTGATATTATACATATATATCTGCAATCTTACCTTTCTCTGAATTAAAGTAAACAGAAAACCAAATAATTTTACAACATTGAAGACAACGTAAAACAAAAGATTGTTTTCTAGTCTCAGACTTTGTATAATTATTAAATAAATTTATAAAGATTAGAGGTTGCTATTTTACACATACATTTAATCAATTCCATTTTTGTATATATGTAAATTTGTCATTAAGTATTTTATTTTTATGAATAAAGTGTTTATATGAATCATATCTCCATTTGTATTGAGTTTGACAAGTAATACATTCCATTTATGAGTATATTTTAATGTCCACTACCAGACTGTCAGGAAATAAGTTGATTGTTTATTGTCAGAGTCTGGGGGATAGTTCAGTGGTACAAAGGCTGCTTAGCAGGCACGAGGCCCTGGCTTCAATCTCTAGCACACACACACACCCCGTACACACACAATATTTATTATCAGTATACATACTAGAGTCCTTAACTTCTAGTTGTAATTCTTTATAAGTGTATATTCTCCTGAAAAGTCTGATACTTCAAAGAAATTATGTTTCCAAACTAAAATGTGTTTGAAGTGGTAAAATGAAGACCTGTTTTAACATAATGACAAGAGAACAGTGATCTCAAATCTGAAGCAATTTGTGTCTCTGCGATTTCTTCTATTATGAAAAGTACAATTTAGCCAGCTTCGTGTAAATTTTTGCACCTAAATCAATTTACTCTCCACACTATTCCTTGAAATTTTTGATGTCATCAAATCATTCTTTCTAGGAATTGTCTTGAAGGATATTCTGAATTATCTAACATTTARCAGAGAGAATAGAAAACATAAGTGCTGTGTTGTTAAAGCCATTCAGCCAGGTTCCTTCCCTTCCTTCTTCTCCCCATCTCCTAGCCCAGGACACACTCTTATGTCTCTGGTCTGCAGGGTTAGAGGGCACTTCTACCTGGTGATGAAGAAGTAATTGCTGTGCTTCAAACAGATTTTCAGTGTCCAAGATCTTCTCAGCTTGTTCCTGGACTTCTTGAGAGCCAGAAATTAATTCTTCAAGGGAATTTTTTATAATTTCTTTGTACTGAACACAATCCCCAAAGTTGCTTAACATCTTTTCAACCTAAATTAAAAAAAAAAGTAGAGTAAATCTTATGTTACTTTGGGAAATTCATATAATACTATTTTGAAGTATGATCAACAAATTAACACAGCGTATATCTACTATGTACAAAGCGATTCCTTGATAAATGTACACATTGAGAAATGATTTCACCAATCAAGCCAATTAGCCTAACTACCAACTCATACAYTTAGTTTTCTGCGTGTGAAAGAACATTTTGGGTTAGAAATGTAAGAAAATTTCAAGGGCATAACATAACATGATTAACTATGGTGATCATGTGGCACTGGATCTCCAGAATTTATTCATCTTATAATTTAAAGTGCATATCCTTTGATCAAAATCATCCAATTAAAGTCCATGAATTTTTATATATTTTAAGAGTATACATACTGTCAGAATAAGTAAAAATATACTCATAGATTCCTAATTTTATTCTTTCACATATTTTGAAGCTTATTTAATTATTATTAAACCACATAGCCACTTGTAGAAACTGCAAGTTTCATTTGATTTGGTGCTTTCTGCCATATTGAAAACCTAATTTAAATACAAAAAAAGGAAAAAAAAAMCAGTTTCTTTGTATTTAGCAGTCAAAGCAGGATACTAAAACAATCCATTAAACATATCATGTGCCGGTTCTCTCTAATTATATTCTCATGACTAATACCTATTTGTAACAGTGCTTTACATTGAGTTCACCCTATTTATTAAATGAGAAAACAATTGTAGAGAAGAAAAAGTAAAGAATTGAAGAGTATTTTGTTAAAAAYGCAACTCCAATATTTCTAAATAAAACATAAATATAATTCCTAATTTTGTTGTTGGTTAGCTAATTCCCTTCCTCGCCATTTTCCTGAGTTATAAGTTTCCTCTTCTGTCTGATGTCTGCTTTCTCTAGATTAATCAAGAGCTTCTGTTTTCTCCATCTTCACATAGATCACTGGTTTGGGAGTTAATGGTCATCTGTCTTCCATGGAAGCCTTCCAGTTCATCTTTCTCTTCTCCTATTTATTTTTCTTTGACCCTCTCTGGTCTGAGTTTGTCCAAGGTCACTTGGAGGATTCTCTTCTCTAAACAAGCTGCAATGAGAACCTGGGAGAGCCTCAAACTCCAGATCTCAGCCTAGATCATCAGCTCTGTTGAGAGCAGTGACTCTTCATGTCACCCTAGGAATCCACCCACAGCCTTTCCTTCTTACACTGACAATTGCAAATGTTCCTGTTCTGCATTAATTTAAACATTAAGTAGTTTGTTATCAAAGGAAGGACCTGGTTGTGCCCATTCCATTTTCTTAAATTTAAGTCTACTTAATCAGAATGTGTTTTTCTCCATTCTTCTTTTGTTTCCACTAAGTGATTAARTAGAAAAARGATTGCTAAGAAAAATTATGCAGAAGCTTAAGCTAGATGAATGTGCAAAGAATTAATATCTGTGCAAGCAGACGTTAGAGGTGGCCTGTCGCTAAGTCCCACGGACTTCACTAAGAGAACACTTTGGGGAAAAAGCAAATTGCTTCATGAAATCTGACAAAAAACAACTAATAATTTTAAAGGTCGCCACATGTTTTGTGGGGGAGGATCACATGATGTCACTGAAAGTCACTGTTAGATCTTGGCTCCAAGATCACCTTCACATATTCTAACTTTCTAAACGGTTGTTCCTTTTGCTGTCTTCACTAAGGAAAGAGCAGGAGGGCAAGGGTCAAATTTTCACCTAGAGTATGGTAGTGGTAACTAACTAAACTTGTCCACTGCTATGGAAGATGGGTGATCAAAGCTTTGAATCAAAACATTGAAATAGCTTACGTTCAATAACGCTATTTTCAATTTGTTCAAGATTCTTAAGAAAACTGTAATTTATCTATATTTATAATTTTATAATTATATCAAATTTGTAATTTTATACAATTTATATATCAAAATCTTCACATCAAACTAAAGTCATAAGCAATCCCAAGTATTTGGGGCTTGTGTAAATTCCCCATTACAGTCTCTAGCAGAACTATCCGCATGGCTTAAAATTTATGAAGTTAGTGCCAATTATTAGGGAAATCTGTAGAGAATTCCACATCTTCAGAATAAGAGAGTTTGTGGACATTTTGTAGTCATCCAACAGATAATTTTCTATGCAAGTTTATTCTTAAACAATGTAAAAGAAATACTGGTAAACACCTGTTCTACTTTACTGCCTTACATTATCTTCCCACTCAAAAAACATTGGACTATACAACAACCGAGGATGGAAGTGACCCTACTACAAATTAAGTAGGTGGGTTTCCTTATTTTTATATATAGAGAAATATATACAGACATTGGAATGCCTATTGTTAAGTTTAAAACGAGATGACTTTGGCTAACAGAGAATTTTCCTGACCTGCCGACTAAACATTGGATATTTTATTATTACCAGCTACTGGTCATCAAACATTTACTCTGTCCAGGCTCTACACTGAATACTCTGCAGACATTATTGCATTTAATCCTTGTGGCTCCCTTTTGGGGTATTTTTAATAGTGTTAAACAAGTAAGAAAGTTGGGGCCAAGAGACATCAAATAACAAACTCAAGGTTATATAGGAAGCAGGTCATCAGACAGAAGCTGTGGCCATGGATTTGTCTGACCCTTAAGCCTTTTTCTAATCTTTATGATATACTTTAAAGTGACTATAAAATAACTGTAATTTATATACAGTTTATTTCAGCCCTGAGCAGAAATAAACTGCTTTAGTAAGAGAAAAAAAAATGTTGGCTGATAAACATTAACCTTCCCATTAATCTGAACTAATATATCCAATAATGGCATTGACCATAATTCAAGTATCCCCAATTTTCCTCCAAATCTTCTCATAAATAAATGTGATGACTATTTCAATTAGTTTATAGCTGTTTCAACTAGTTTATTTATACAATTACTTGCTAAGCTACTATCAAGAGAGACCCCTCCAGGTATCTCACCCCCAGAACTGTTTAGAGTGTGGGTGAAGTGACAAACCTCTGACAGCAAAGCCATGAGAGCCTTGAAAGAGCTAGACAGTTTTGCCAGCTCGTCTCCTTGCTTCTGTGCTTCAGTCTCAGAAGAAACTTCAATCAAAATTTTCAGCCTGGATTTCAGCCAGCTGAGAGTCTCCCCTTTTTTGGCAACATAATTCCTGATCTCCTGGAATGAAAGAACACTTTTGGTGAGCAAAGTGCAACGGTGATTCTCAATTGTCAGCAGGAAAGGACTCCACCCAAGGCTTGTAGGGTGGATATAAGAGAGCCAGACAGTCACTCCCTGATGGAGCACCTGCTTATTGTGCTTTGAGCACAAATTTTTAACCAAAGTCCAGAGAAGAAACATTCTTCAATGCCAATACCTGCTGGGTAAAATAAGTTCTGACTATACCCCTAAAATCATCTTCATAATTAGATTGGGTACATACAAATATTTCCTAAGCATTCTAAAGATGTTCCTAAAACTACCACAGAAGAAAACAAGATAGCCAAATAAGGCATTATAATATACATACTTTGTTACTTCACTTTCTGTGATCTGGAAGGAACATAGCAGAAAAGAAAAAGCATGATATTCCTAACATATTTAATTAGCTGTTTTCTTTTATTAAAGAGTTTAGTTACTTAATATTGTTATAGATGCTCTAAAGATTTAACTTTATTAGCTTATACTTTTTCTCTCATTTTTTTAGCTTTTAGAAGTTAACACACCAAATATTAAGAGGTATACAAAGGATCACAGCTCTAATCAAAGCAGGGAGCGTTTATCAGCCAAGACAATGCTGGAAAGACTCTGGGGCTTTGCACTTGCAGGGTTGGTGGCCAGCAGCATGGTGACTGGGCAGTCTGTCCCTCCTACACCACAATCTCTGGTGTAGTGCAAGGGCAGGGGTCTCCAACACGCTGTCCCAGGGTTTTCCCAGGGCAAATGCATGCCAGTCAGAAAATGGTTAATTCCAATCTCTGCATTCTAAGATGTAATTTTTTGTGTATGTCATAACAGCAACCAGAAATATATAGATATCTTCTATATGCACACCATGACATTATTGAGCAGCTCTAGTTTTGATGCAACTAAATAATTTAATAAGAAAGAAAATAGAAAGGACAAGAACAGAAAGAAAACATTCTCTTCTTAATGGAAATTACATGACATGCAAGGATTAAAAATGCTTAAAAGGAAGACTTTTCACAATAGCAAGTGGAAGAGCCAAGCTAAGAGAATGGATGCCTTTGCAGAAAGCTAACTGTCTTCAGGCCTGAACCTCTGTCACCCTGGCTGGGTTTAGCAGGCTGTACCTCTGCCCAAGGCTGAAATAAACTGTCCCATCTGAGTATGATAAAGAAAGAACACTTGGAGAGCTTGCCCATTTCCCTGATTTTGCATGGCTGAAGATGGACTGCATAAAAGCACACAGCCTTCTTATTTTCTGTGTCAGTTCTTAAATCTGTGCTGTTACACATGCATGCATGCAATGTCCTGCTCAGCATTCCCCATTAGCTAAAGATGCATTGGAGACTGTGCTGAGCATGATCTCAAAGCTTCTGTTGATTCAATAGAAAAACCCACAGTTCTCCATAGTAATATGGGAAGACTTATCTTTAAGATAATTTTCAGAAAAACCAATATTTTTTTTCCTAGAAAGAAAGAAAGACAACTTTGTCTAATATTTTGTATTTATTACTGGAAATCATCCTGTGGCAGACAGTGGATCAGAACTTACATCAGAGGCATGTTTAACCTCGCTGTAGTTGGTAGCATCAAGGGCCTTATCCTTGAAGGCCTTCAACTGCATCTCCTTTGCAGCTATCCAAGATGACAACTCAGAAAATCTGAAACAATGCAAGCATTTTCTAATTAAGGGAGAAAATTCTCAGAATGATTAGATTTTCGATTAGATTTCTATTTTGAATTTACCCTTGGAAATATAACAATCAAATGGATTAACTAATCAATGAACAAATTCTCTGGAAACTTTAACATGACGCTCAGAGTAGAGGTGTCCACCTCCAAGCTCAGAAACATGACAAAGATGTGTCTCAGGGCCTGAGCCCTTGGAGGAAGGAAGGTGCCACCTAAGGTTGGTGCCTCCAAGAGGCTGGAGGCCACCTGTGAGGGAGGAAAGGACTGACCAAATCGGCCTCAGAGACAGAACATCTGGCCCATGTGTCATAAAGTACCTCACCCTTTTTCTAACTGAAACCCATTCTTTTTACCAATTGAAGTATTTTTTTACAAGAACATGGGCAAGATCATGCAATTTGATTTTCTTTATTGCGTGAAATAAAACATATATCATCTCTTGTTCTATAATGGTCTCTCAAGTAACAGAATCAAGATAGATTAGGTCCTTCTCTGGAGACAACCCCAAGGCTACCTGCTGACATAGTCCTTCCACTTGTCTGGGTCATCCACAAGCTTGGCATAGGTGCAGTCAATGGCAGCTCTGAGCTCTTTCAGGGCCGTGTGACAGGTTACAGGTGTTTCCCTTACTGGGTCCCGGACTGGGAGTTTCCCACACAGTTCTTCAATGAGTTGTAACCTTTTCTCACAGAGATGATGAGGACCTTTGTCACTGAAGAAAATCTAATAAGCAATAAATGTTTTTAGAATCCACATGAGAAGTCATATAATACCTTTAAATTTTCACAGAAAAACTAAAGGGAGAGTCCTGTAGACCACCAGCTGTAGGGTAATTACAAATGGTTTTTCCTACTCAAAGCAAAATCTGAGCCCCTCCTTTAAGTAACAAGGCGCCTGCCCAGGATTACACATTCGGGGCAGGAGACCTACCCTGTGCTCCTTAATGATATTTTCACTGCCTTCCTGGGGCACCAGCTTGGTCTCTCTCTCCAGCTCAGCCTTGCATTCTTCTACAGAGGCTAAGAATCTCTTCTTCTCCACGGCAATCTTCAAATGCAGCAAATGATAAGGGGCCTCTCCTTGAAGATCCTGGATTCCATAGGAAAATCCAAGAAAACACACTCATGCTCCTGACTGTGTACATTTTTCAGATGAAGTGGCAAGAAGACCTAAAATATCTACTTCGTATATTGTACTTTTCTAATTTCTGGGGCTGCAGTGATTCCTTTCAAGCCTGCTGTGGGCCATGTATTTCCACAGCGATCTTTTGGCTTAATTTTTATATTAGTGCTGCACAGAATTAATGTTCCTGTTTTACAGATTAGACCATTGAGACTCCAGGGTAAGTGAAAAAGCTAAGGGAAAACTTGAGGAAATTTTATTAATATCCATCCCCCTCCCACACCAAAAAAACTGAAACAAACAAGGATTAAAAAGCCCCAAAGAGCTGACCACCTGCCCGTCCTCCTCTGATTAGACCATGCATTGAAAAAATAAGCAAGCAAGTGTGCAACACATAACCATCTAATGTTCTCTTCTCTTGATAAAAACATAGGCTTCCTTATTACTTTTAGTTCTGTAACTTATTAATTTTAGCCAACTTGAATCCTCTAGCACTTAAAAGAATTAGTTTAGGAAAGAATACTAATTGATGAGAAAAATGAGCTTGGACTATGGAAAGACAAGGACACTTCAATTAAAGTGTTGATCCATAATACATTTAAAGTATGTTGAACTTCAAAGGCACTTAGAGACCTTGAATTTGTTTGAGAATCTCTTGTTTAAATGAGTCACTTTAATTTTCAAATCTAGAAAGCAAAAGTGGTATATGTCTTTCCACTGTGCTTTTCATATGCACAAAAGATGATGTTTTAGCCCATGTTACTGAGACTGAAAAAAGTACCCTAACCAGATGGAGAGCTGTCAACCTGGCAATCCCCAAGGCTCCTACACATAATGCCATGAACTGTCACCTTGTGCAGCATGCACTGTCCTGTAGCTGGGGCGGACTTCTTGCCCTCTGCTTGGGGAGGACAGCCCTCAGCCTCTGCAAGTTGATGTGCCCATTTCCAAAGGGCTCTGTGTGCCAGGCCCACCCTTGCTTCCCACAGTTCCTCCACAGCATGTGACTCATGGATCAGAATGGGCTCCAAGGGATCTGATGCCTCCCACTTGGACTCTACCTTCCTCTCCACCCCAACATCTCTGTGTTTTCTTTGAAGTCCTAGCTCAAAACCGTCACTCTATTCACTCTTCTCCATTCTCCAAGTGGGTCCACCTCTATCTTTCAAAGCTTTCATAAATATAACATTTATACATTTTCAGCTTATTGTATACTACAATTTTATCTCTTTTATCTTTTGTAACTAATTATCTCCCAAACTGAAATCTAATAAGCTTTTTTTGTGGGAAAAGGAATATGTTTTGTTCATTTCTGAATTTTTACCCAATAGATACTTTTATTTATATTTTTACAATATAGCTATTTATATTAGATGATAAAATCCTTGAGGACAGTTACTGTGTGTGTGTGTGTATATATATGTATATATACACATACATAGGCATACATATATAATTTAATATTTAATAATTTATATTGTTAATGTAGCAATAGTGTATTATAGTAGCAATACATACATTATTATTAATACAATAATTTATATAAGTAATACACAGTGATTTTATTACACATACACACACACACACACACACACACACACACACACAATGATTTCACCAGTAGACCTATCATGATTTATTCAACTGAGATGAGTTTATTAAATGTCAGTTGAATAAATTAAATGCCCTCATCACACAAGCTGGAAAAAAAAGAGTACTTAAAACATATGACAAAATTGATACTACTGTGAAATAGGCATAGCGAAATTCTACCATAGTTTATCATGTTTTACTCAAGTTCGGTTTTTTTAGAAGGACCAAGGTGGCTTTCCATGAGTTTCTTGATTTCCTCGCCCTGCATCTCTGCACCCTCACACTCTCCCTTCCCACCTGAAGCTGTTCCCAGTGTTCCCAGGTCCTGACTCACCTTCCATTGTTTATGGAGCTTCCTCACAGCCTCCTGCAGCCCCTGCTGCTCCTGCTCAGGGAGGATGTCCGTGAGCTCATCGCAGGCTTTCAGGAAAGCGTTGAGGACTCTCTGATCCAGCTGACTGAAAAACTCCTGGCAGGGAAGAGCCAAAGTGGTCAAGATGCTGGGCAGAGAGACAGCATCTGAGCCAGCTGCTGCCCTCTTCAAAAATTTGGAACATTCCCTACTTTTTTTTTTTTTAATTTTCCAGGAATAAGCTATAAGCATCTATCATTAGAAGTCAGAAGTTTTCATATTTGAAATTTGACTATTATATTTTATACTTTAGTAAAAACAAAATCATTGCAGCCTTCAAATTCAGTGGAATATTCTAAGAAGCCAGTGGAAAAATTCTGAAACCTTGATTCCATAGTGATAGAGTTTTTCTTCCTCTTTGGTAAAGTCAGAAGGGCAGGAAAAAAGCCAGGACTAAGTCTCTTAACTCCTCATTTCTTGACCACAGTGCATTCTGGGCCCTGGTGATTCATTATGAGCCATCCCACATTTCCCCACGTGCACCCTTGAACATACACACTTTGGATGGGACTGTGTCCTCAAAYTCCTGAGTTGAAGCCCTGACCCTAAATATGGTGGCAGTTGGAGATGGGGCCTTTGCAGGGTACTGAGTTTTAGATGAGGACGTGGGGGCAGAAACTTCATAGTAGGACCAATATTTTCATTGTAGAGGACAGCAGAGAGCTTGCCAGCAGGCTCCCACAAGGACATGGAATAGGCAGCCAGAAAGAGGACCCTCGTCAGAACCCTACCATTCCAGCACCTTGATTTCATACTCCCAGTCTCTACAACTCTGAGAAATAAATCTGTCATGTAAGCCACACAGTCTATGGTATTTTATCACGACAGTCTGAGTAGACCAAGAATGTGTACAGACATATGCGACCAGGTCTCACAGTCTCAGGAGTGTGTCTGCAGGGATATTTTGAACAGTCATTCTGAACAGAGGTGCCACCTCATACAGGTGTATAAACTGAATGAGATGCTTTGTGCTTTATGGTGACAGACCTTGACCCTGAGTTCAGAAAGCTGCATCCCAAACACATTGGGTCGTCACTTCAGAGTGTGGCTTAAATACATATCCACTGAAATGTCAGGAAAAAAGAATTCAAAAGACATGTTCTGAAAATGTCACTCATATCCACATGACATTTCATGTACTACTAATGTTCCCAAAGCAAATATAATTTAAAGAAGTAGGATAAACATGAAGCTGGCCTCACAAGATGGGACAAATTTTGTTATGAGCTACTGGCCTTCAAGTCATCTCTACCATGAATTCGCCTCTCACCTCAAATTGTCTGTTTTATAAAAAACCTGAGTTACAGAAGAATTTCTGAGCTAAATAATGAATTTGCAATTTCGAGAGGCCGAATGAATGATCCTGACTCTTTAATATTCCAGGGGTTTAAGAATGGTCTCAGAAACGGGTGGTTATGATTTGGATGTGAGGTGTCCCCCACATTGTGTGAGACAACGCAGGGACGTTTTGAACAGTCAGAAGATGAATGATTGGGTTGTAAGAGTCTGAACCTAATTAGTGAATTGATCCCCTGGTAGGGATTAACTGAGTGGTAACTGAAGTGGTATGAAGTGGTACGTGTGGTTGAAGGAGGTGGGCATTGAGATATATTTGTATCTGGCAAATGACCTCTTTCTCTCTCTCTCTCTCTCTCTCTCTCTCTCTCTCTCTCTCTCTCTCTCTCTCTCTCTCTCTCTCTCTCTCTCTCTCTCTCTCTCTCTCTCTCTCTCTCTCTCTCTCTGTGTGTGTGTGTGTCCTGATCACCGGATGAGCTGCTTCCCTCTGCCACACTCTTCCACTGTGATGGTCTGCTTCACCTCGAGCCCTGAGGAATGGAGTCTGCTGTCTATGGATTGAGACCTCTGAAACCCTGAGCCCCTAAATAAATTTTTCCTCCTCTAAAATTTTTCTGGTTAGATCTTTTAGTCACAGCAGTAAAAAAAGGTGACTAAAACACAGGTGAATCAATTGCTCTCGAAGTCCTTCTTGCCCCACATTTCTCAGGATAGCATTGAGGACTCTCTGATCCAGTTGACTGAAAAACATTTCTCAGGTCTCATATCTAAAATCCTCCTACCTTCCCAACTCCCCACCCCTCCCCCTCTGCATTAGGTGGCACACTGGCTCTTTGGATATTCTCATCCAAGAGCAGCTGTCCATGCACCGGGGCCAATGCACCACGGAGGGCAGACTCACAGTGTGCTTCGGCAGCAGCTCTTCGGGATCCCCCTTCTCCTCAAGGCCCTCCTGTGCCACCCGCAGCACTTTCTCCAACTCTGCCCGAGACTCCTCGAATTTCTTCATCAAGCGACTGTTGGTTTCCGCATGCTTCTTCCAATCCCCGGTTTTCTTTACCATATTCTTGATGTAAAAGATATAATCATCCCTTGGTATCCCTGAGGGATTGTTTCCAGGACCCCCAAAGATACCAAACCCACAGATGTTCAATTCTTTTACATAAAGTGGTGGAGTACTTACCCAGGCACATTCTCCTACATTTGAGAAATCATTTCTCAATTACTCAAAATAACAATGCAATATAGTAAGTATTTATGCCATATAAATACTTACTATATTGCATTGTTGAGGAAATAATGACAAGAAAAAGAAGGCTGTACATATTCAGTATATTTGCAAGTTTTCACCCAATTATTACCACCTCATGGTAAATCTGCAGATGTGGAATGTACAGCTAGGGAGAACTGACTAATCATAATAGGATGCTGCTTTCTCACTGCTGAAAGCATCATTTGGTCAGGTAGTATTATGTACGTTTTTTCTTCAAAACATACTTGGGAGGAAGATACTTTATTATAAGAATAATTAACTCTTTTYAATATTAATATTAGGGAAAGAAGAGGTAAAATGTTTGCCTTCTAAATACTGGAAGGTGAGGGATTTTGGCAAGAAGTGGGAATTACTTGTCCTTGTTCTGTATTTTTGTGGGMTCATGACTCCAGGGCAGGGAGAGCAGATTACCTGAAAAGCAACATGAACATCAGCAATCTGTCTTTGTAGCTTCGTCTGATCAAAATGCTTTAACACATTACTCAAGGTCACAAATTTTTGAACGGTTTGACTGCCTTTCTCAACGAGCCCCAAGGTTTTCTTACAGGCTTCTTGACAAGCTAGCAGCTCCTACAAGGAAGGGAAACCCACAATAATATTATACCCAGGAGAGACTGAAAAATAAAGGAAGAAAAGGAAAACGAAAGGAAGGGAAGGATGGAGGGAGGAATGATTACAAATAACAAGAACAGCTTTAAATAGCTCTGAGGCTTTTGATCAGCAATAAGTAAAACCAAAAGTACAGAGGAACACTTTTTTCCAAAAGAGCTCAATTTTAAGCAATCACTGAAGTCAGTGCTTTTTATACAAGGCATTTAAATGTCACAAAGAGTTTTTTGAGATTTTTATATTTCATGCACATCTTATTAACATTAAGAAAATGACAAAGCATCAAAATTGTTATTCATCCAACTGGTGTATCGAGAGAACAATCATAAACACAATCTACATAATCAGGTTTTAATCAGATTAAATTAATTTAGCATCAATGAATAATCACTTTCCTGAAATAATCAGATGTAGCAGATAATATATTATTTGTATACACTAAATTTATAACATTTGAATTTCTAAGGTTCACATGCTCTCAGCCTTATTAATGAAATAGCAAACTCTAGATCCTAATTTTTTTAAAAGGCAGCTGACCATTAGGCCTGGGGAAGACTTGCAACTGTCGTACACTGCAGTGGTGACCAACAGCCTTTGCCCTCTGACTACCAGCCTGACACTGTAGCAATTTTGACAGTATAGAGTTGAAATAACCCATCCCAATAAGGTACTCATTTTTGCCTTGAATTGACACAACATGAATTTAAAAACCCTTAACTACTTTGAAAAAATATATCTCAAACTGCTCATGTGGATGCCATTTTTGTTCATCTATATTCACATATTAAGAGCTAGCAACTCTTAATATTTTTGTTTTGTTTTGTTTTGGCAAGGACATATTTTTTTTCCTTTTGAATGCTTTGGAGGTTTAAGGGATAGCTAACCTAAGTTAAAAATATGTCATGAGTATTATTAATACTTATAATTAATAATAAACATTAATTACGCAAAAATTATTTGATGGCAATTTACAGCAATATGTAGGAAATGGCACCATGTCCCCCAGTGAAAGAATCCTTACCATATGAGGAGGTATCACTAAAATGAGGTTTGGTGATATGATGATTATGGCTTCAATACTAATGGCAAAAATAATGCTACTAATAATAGAATACATTTTATTAGGTATCATCACTTTTGTTTAAGGAACAGGACCATTAGTTAAATAAGGCTTCATAATTTTTTGGCATCAGACCTAAGATCTAAGTATCTGGGTGACTTGTTTCAGATACTCTGCTTTTTCTAAGAAGTGAATTTGTCTCCTTCCAGGAATCCATTTCAATTAGTTCAGTGGCAACCTTTCCTACATTAGTTTTATCTTCATCTGAGATGGGCTCATTTATAATAAAGCAACTAAGCCAGTCAATTAACTGAAACACTAARAAGGCTATGCATACAGACCTGTTCACTAAACATGAGACAAAATATCAAGGATTACACCAAAAACGTTTTCAGAGTTTGTGGTTGTATAAACAGATTGATTCCCAAGGTCAAAGAAAATATATCACAAAATATATAGACACTTAATAGAAATGGAATAAATTATTTATATTGTATATGTGTTTATGTGTTTGTGTGTTGTGTGTGTGTGTGTGTGTGTGTGTGTGTGTGTGTGTGTATAATGTATGTATAACTCCAAAGGCTCAAGAGATAGAGAATTTCATGAAATTCTCCATTTTGTCAGTGAGGTAGCAGGTAATGACCAAAGATGATATGCAGGAAGGAGCACTAAATGATCCTCTGCCCATCAAAAAATGTCTATATAAAGATGGAAAAAATTAAATATATATTTTCTACCCTTTAGAAAGTACAAGGGAGAATTTATTTACACTAAACTTTTTGTGAACTTTGTCAAACATCATCCCTAGATTCACTGGTAGAAAGATAATACTATAAAATTAAACACAAAGCAGAGAGGATAACAGAAGGTCTTTCTATCGTGGGTGCTGGTTTGGTTCCAAGAGGCAACAGTAGACTTGGTTCTACTTCAGAGATATACTCCTTGTTTCAGAGAGACAGTGTGAACTTTCATTGTCAAGCTTGGAGTTCAGAAGGCACAGCAGAGGCGTGTGAGGAGCAAATGCTCGTAAATGTCTGCTGAGTAGAGCCAAGTTCAAAGAAGTCAGAGGTAGGCACTCCAACACACTGGTCTTTGTAATTTTGCTCAACTCAGGAAACTTCTTCATTCAGATGATTAGAGCCCCACTCTGAGCCCCACCTGCTCTAAGCCCCTAAAAAATGGGTCAAACCCCTCCACCAGCTGGGTTTTCATCTTTACACAAAATGTGCATTATTGTGTTATTAGTACTGTATTATTCTCAAAAAAATGTTTTCATTCTAACTGCACTCATTTTACTGTAAACAGCACTGCAATTTTATTACATATACTTTAAAATAATTATGTTTCCCCAAAAGGAATTTTCTTACCTGATGTTTTTGTTTAAAAAGAGCACTAGATTGTGCCTCATGCTCAAGAACTGTTATAATTTCATTGATTTTTCCGAGTAAGTCATAGAAGGATGTTATCTGCTTTTCTAATTCCTGCAATGGAACCACCAGCTGCTGAGACTCATACAGAAGTGGGGAGTAGCACTCTTTGACCTTTAAAAATACAAAAACAAAAATCCCATGAAAGGTCATTAAGTCCAACACGGGCAGGGCACTATGCATAGCTCTCAGGAACATTTTATTTAACGACATAGTCATTTGGTGTTTGTGAATTTCTAAACCCATTTCTTATTGATATTTCCTCTGTGTTGTTAAATTTTGGTGTCAGAAATCCATACTGCTGTACTACTAAGAAAAATAAATGACGATGGGGTTTTCTCATGAAAATTCATCCGAGTCCTCCATCTGGAGAGCACTTTTCCATCTAAACAGTGGTTGTCAGGGAAGCAGATGGCATCAGATTCCCTTCATAAACCATGCAACTCATTTTCACTTTGAAATATGACCCAAGATAGTCACAAATTATGACATCACTTCGTGACCTGTGTCTTCCAGCTTTATTTTCAGGAACTCTCCTACTTGAACCCTGAGTTCAGACAAACTTATGCACCTGCTAACTCACGCTTCCCTGATAACCCCTGCACTTTCCTACATCCCACTAATTTAACCAGGAGTATTCCCAGGCCAAGGGATATCTCCCCAGGTGAAACTGGCCCAGCCTTCTTCTGTCACTTGTCTCTAAATTAATTGTTGCTAGTCTGTGCATCTGCATTACTTTCATGATGAAGCCATAAGCTCCTGAATGAAGTTCAAGAGCTCCATAGACTGTCTGCCTGCCTACCTTGATGCTGGATTCCAAGATCTGCAAATTTCCAGGAACTGCTCAACCCTTTTTATTTACCTATAGTTGCCTCCAACTTTCATCATCATTATTATAATAATTATGATTCCAAGCAACTATTAATGCTTTCAGACAGGTATGGAAAAGAAATTAATCAGCATTTATTAGAATATTTTTTTTGTTTTTCATAAAACTTAAAGATGAGAAGCTAAGTAAAATCAATAATATTTTAAAAATAATCCTCAAAGTAGATGAAAACATTTTGTTATAATCTTAAATGCATAATAGTATAAGCTAAAATATTTTCATGTTTTAGAATATACCTCCTGAAGGATCAAAAGAAAGAAACTCTCTCTACACCAAGACTGCTAAAACTTGCTTGAACTAAATAAACTACAAGAATCAATGAATGTGCATAAAAAGCTGTGTGCTTTATTGATTTTTCCTGGTGCAACAGAAAACCCATCAAGATGCTGCATCTGAACCAGCAATAGGAAAATGTAAAGGCTTAAATGTATCTAAAGGTACAATTTGCTCTCTCAAGTCTTGCCCTAGACCACTCCTGGCTCAGGCTAATAAGTGCAAGCCCAGGAGTCAAATTACCAAAGTGCTGACTTTGATTGATTTTTTTGTTTTGTTTTGTTTTGTTTTCAAACTAGGGATCAAACCCAGGGCCTCATGCATGTCAGGCAAATGCTCTATCGCTGAGCTACACCCCCAGCCTGAAAATGCAACTTGGAATTGCACCTACCCTTTGGCAAATTTTGCTGACAGCCAGTACTCTTATTATCTATTACCATTAAATAATAAAAATTCGAACTTGAATGTTGAAATAAAATGAATTGAAAATCAACTTTCTAACATACATTAGACTGAACAAGTTCTTTTTTCATGTTCCTATTTTCATCCTGTCTTTCTTTCTCTTTTCAGTAATTCTCCACTACTGATTTCACTTAAGTTAGTCTCTTTTTTTCCACTTTCCCTCTTTTACTTAATAGATATGTCTATTTTCTTTTCCTTTGTTTTCTAATTCCTTATCATGTTCCTATTCATTTTAAAATCACTCCTTTCTCTACCTTTAAATCTACAAACAATGTTGTCCTCCTAAAATTAAAATTTAGATAGATTAAAGACCCCAATGAAACTTCCTAAGATTTTAAGGAAAATCCCCCAATTAAGTAGAAAAGGCTTATGGCTACTCTTTGTAGCTATCTAGTGCCTGCACAGAAGTGGCAGAAATGGAAATATGCTAAACCTAAGGTGAGCTCTGTGAATGAGCGGGAGGAATTTTATTGATTTGTGGTTATGTTAGCAGGAAAGAGCATAAGTAAGCTTAGAATGGGGGTACAGCAAATAAATCTCAATAAATTCTCATTAAAATATATGCTCTTCCTCCTTTCCTCTTTTTCCTCCTCCTCTTCTTTCTCTTTGTTTTACCACATGTGACTCTTCTCCAAAAATATCTTTCTAATAAAGTATAGCTATTGCACTTGACAATTAACAATGTTAATTACCAAGAGGTAATACTTGGTATCAGCATCATAGTTTTATTTTAAAAATTCATACCCAAGTTACTAAATCAGAAATCCCAATAAGAAACAAAAGCAGGGTTGCTGACAGGGAGCCAGAGGAGGCAGGAGACAAGCTGAAGGCGGCTGGGGTGCCACTCTACATGCTGTGCATGGAAGTATTACTCTCGCACCTTGGCTAGCTGCTCTTTGAGCCTGGACATGGTTGCAAACATCTCGCTGGCTTCTTCTTGGGGGCTCTCTTTGGCAATGAGATGTGCTGTCTTTGTGATCATCTTGTACTGGGCATCCATTACAGGCACCCTCTGCTCAATATCCTGCATGAATCATTGAAACAGCTCAATTAACACATGACACATTTCCTTTTAATCTCAAGATTCCACAGAAGGCAAAACAAAAATCAATATGCACTTTATGAAATTCTATATGCATAGAAAAGTTTTCRAGATTCTGGTCATTGCTTTTCCTTCATTACTAATATATTGTTATGGGTCAGGCTACATGGGCAATGACCAAACAGACTCCATTTTTTTCCCTGAGACCCCACATCATATAAAAAATCCCTCTCCCATGGAAAGCCCCACCTCTGTACCCATCAACAGTTGCTTACCTAGCATGTTTGGCAACACAAAATGGCAATTCTTATACAATGTAAAAGTGTTCTCTCTTTGGTTCCAATTTTTCTTGGACAATGTACAGAGATTGATTGTCTAGATGTTAGTAACGATTCTTTAACTTTTACACAATTAGGGATGTTTTGGCCCACTCTCTTTGCTGCTTATTATTTTAGATCTCATGAYATTTATGGTTTTGAATCATAGCAACAGCCACTTATGCTTTAATATGGTTTTGGACTATAAAATGTGCATTCAAATCCCAGGAAGAGGTCGAAGGTTGTAGACTTGCAGCCTACCCCTTGGCCCACCAGATGGTGGATCTGGACCACCAATTGGTGAATCAAGTTTCCATCTCCTGCTTTAAGATCAACTTGGTGACTTATTGCAATCTTGCTCTAACAATATAGGCAATATTACACAGATAAAAACTTCCCTTTAAAGGTGACCAGTTATCATTAACATAAGGACTAGGTAAAGTAATCTTTATGCTTTTGATGAATATGTTAATGTAATATAGAAATACTATATCATGTAAATGTATATTAACAATGTGGGGAAATTCTGACTTTAAAACTTATTTTTTTTCTTAAAAAATTTAAACATTGTCATTGCAGAAAACTTACAAATTAGAGATACTAAAATAATGAAAGTTTAGGGAACATATATATAGTTTTCTTACACAATAATAGCCAAAGCCACCATCTCATCATCATATTATTAATGTTTCTTTCTGGTGTGTGTGTGTGTATACCCATTGTTTTATTTTTACAAGAACAAAAATGATGACACTGTGGTTTGCTTTTCTCAATTAACAATATACTATAAAACATTTTCATGCTGTTAAATATTCTTCCACTATTTCACTTTTGAGAGCTATAGGCTGTTCAAAGTACATAAATACCACAATTCATGTAATAAATCCTTTTTTGTTAGATGCATTTATATGGAGGTACCACCTATAGATGTCTCCTGGTTTTGACTAGTGTTTTACAATTTGATTGTAGGAAAAAAATCTCCAAATTGAAAAATTATTTTGAGGTTGCTTCATATGACTAAAACTCTCTCTTTAAAAAATTCAAGTTTTTTTTTTTTTTTTTTTTTTTTAATGAAAGGCATGAATCAGGATGGACCTGTCAAAATGATGTCCAGGAAAAAGAGAGACAGCTTTGATGATGATTTTGCAAATTTGCTGATCTTTATTTTCACAAGAGGATGGAGTTTTCATTTTATGACCCCAAAACCCCTCACCTCTAAGTCTTGAATTAACAACTTGATGTTAAGAAAAGAGACGTCGAAGGGCTCTGAAAACTTCCCATGGGCTTCAGTTGTGAAAACAGAGAGGGCAGTAACACAGTCTGTATATTCTTTCTTCATTCTGTCCATCTCATCTGCTCGAGCATACTGTGAAGAAAGGAGGGGGAGAGCATTTGAAAGCCATTAAGCTGTAACTCAACCTGCACTTTGACATAATCTCTTATGCTCTTGGATTGTTATATGGTAAGAGCCTCTAATTCCTGATTCTTATTTTAGATAGGTTTGAAGTAAGTCCAATTACTTTGAAAGGAGAAAAGGAACCAGCATAGCAATGCAGAAGTATGATTTGAAAGTGAATCATTCCATACAAGTAGCTCCATATGTTAACATAATCCTTAATCAAACTCTAGACTTCTGTGACATTCCACTATTACAAATGGAAAAGAAGGAATAATCAACTCTATCATATATTGGTTCTAAACACGTCTTTATTCTGTCTTAATAAGCTCATGCTATAAAAGTAAAATTGCCTCTAAACAGATTGTTTATCACCACATTTACAACACAGACACGTTTGAAGTGAGTACAGATTTGAAACGTACTTGCTTGACTTCCATAAACAACTCCCTCCACCTCCCATTGAGCAGTAGTAATTGCTGCTTCAGGTCACGGGAAACCATTTCATCACAAGTTTCAATTAGAAAATTGCCGGCATCATTCATGGCGGTGTGCTGCTGAATCCAATGAGGCAAATTTCGAAAAAAATCCTAAACAACAAAGAATATATTGTAAGACATAAATCAAATATTAGTAACAGATATAAAAGTGACCAGACTATGAAATATCTGCATTCTAAAGTGTGTGTAAATTTTAAGTCTTAAATCTCTTTCAAAATACAATTTTTTTTAAAGAGCAAGAGTGAGAGAGAGAGAGAGAGAGAGAGAGAGAGAGAGAGAGAGAAATTTTCTAATATTTATTTTTTAGATTTCGGCAGACACAACATCTTTGTATGTGGTGCTGAGGATCAAACCCGGGCTGCATGCATGCCAGGCAAGCGCACTACTGCTTGAGCCACATCCCCAGCCCCTCAAAATACAAATTTTAAATAAAATTTCAAAATATGAACTAGAAGCATCAAGTCTCTTTTATTGATTTTTAAATTGTCTTTGGAGATAGGGTCTTGCTATGTTACTCTGGCTGGCCCTGAACTCCTGGACTCAAGATATCCTCCTGCTTCAGCCTCCCYATTAGCTGGGACTATGGGTACATGCCACTTTTCCCTGCCCTTAGTATCTTTTATAGGAATAGTTATGCTCTCTCTTTTGCTGAAAAAGAAACAGAATATGGTGATTCTTTTTCATTTCCATTTTGCAGTTGAATAAACAATGAATGAATTTATGTAAGCATCAGAGGTTTATTATGCATAGCATTCAAACAAGGAAACACTAGTGCCAGGGAATGTAAGAAGCATAATATATAACAGGGAAATAAACAGCTTTCTTAAATTTTTTAAATATATTTTTGAATTGTTACTTTTGTTTAAAAATCTGTGTGTGTGTGTTTGTGTGTGTGTGTATACACACACACAYACATATATATAATATTAAGATAATTAACAATTATGGGGATAAACATCAATTGAAACATTTCTAAATTAAATATTTGCATCAAGAACATTTAATACAATAACATCCTTTGAAGCTGATTTATTGCCAAATTTGCAGCTTTAAGCAAATAAGAATGTTTCAAACTCATTTCAAATTAAATGCATGTGTTCACATATGCACACACACATACATCACAGTAAAAACCAAGGAAAATTCAAACTTCATTTCATAAGCCATGTGTGGGAGGATTTTTCTACATAAATAGATGAGAACATTTCTGTTTCTGGTGGTTACATTCTTTGGATCAAATTAACACATATGACATCTACCAGGGCACTGCTGGTCTGATCAGAAAAGTTAAAATCTGTGTGGGTACTTAGTTATGTCTTGTGCAGATATWAAAAAAAATGTTTAATTCATATGAATAAAAATGGTAAAACACTTAAAAACAATAGATTTACTTGTGCAAACAATAACAGATGATCCAATCTTGGGTGGCAAGCACTAATTTATTCTTTTTTTTTTTCTTTTTGAGATAGGATCTTATCACATTGCTCAGGCTGGCCTTGATCTCCTGGTTCTCCTGCCTCAGCATCCTAAATACCTGAGATTTTTAGGCACGTGCCACTGCAACTGGTAGCAGTAATTAATCTTAATGTATGTATCATATGTAAGACCAACATTTTAATCTTTTACATATACATTGATTTTTCATTGAAAATATCAGGTTTCCATTTTAAGACCTATATACATAACTCAGTCCATTGATATTTATATATAAATGACATTCAAATGAAATAGTAACCCCCCATGTGCACACACATATACACTTGTAACCAGTGAAAAAAGAAATCACTTCTATATAGATTAAGGGTTGATGAAGTCCAGAACTGAATCTCTAAAGAGTTAAAAATGTGGTGGTCCAGCTGCTTGATGGTGTATGCTACCTCACAGATTCAGTTCTATATTATTCAGTGTTGTTTTCAACCTCTGTTAAATTAGAAAATCCACCAAGGGTGGTGTCTAAGATATTCCCCTCCACATACAGAGCTTGCTGAGCACAGGGCTATTGGCACTCAGGGGATCCTGCTGGACACCGTCCCCATCCATTTATTGGTCATCTGAATATAAAAATCATACATTAAACTGACCAGGTTGGGGAATGTTTTAACTGAACTGTAATTAACCAGTATTTATTGGTCTACAATAATTTACTAACCTTAAAGTGAAACTTTTAGGGCAAAGTGAGAATTCTTGAACACTCCTTAGTGAACTATGCTACAAAAACTCTCTCTCATAGCCTGGCAGAGCAGAGCACATGTGAAATCCCAGCAACTCCTGAGCTGATATAGGAGGATCACAAGTTCAAGGTCATCCTAGGCAACTTAGTGAAATCCTTATCTTCAAATAAAAAGGGCTGGGGAATCTAGCTTAGAGGTAGAGCGCTMCTGGGTTCAATTCCCAGTACCATACATAGAAAGAAGCCTTTTACTTCTAAATTCCTGTCTTTTCCTTTTATATGAGACAGTCTCACCTTTTTGGCAGTTTCTGATTGACTTAGCATTTTTTCAGCATCCTCTAGCCAGGCTTGAAGACTAGCCACTGTGTTGCCATAGCGATCCCAGTTAGAGATCACTTCCTCCAGCATGCTCCTCACACTCCGTACTTCAACTGAGAGATTCCTCCACTGAGCTGTGGTTTCATTCATGAATTTCATCACATTCTCAGCTTCTTCCACTGCAAAGATAAAACCAGTTACAATTTTTATTTTGTATTTAAAATCCTCCATGCCTTTTTCCCCCTGTGGTCTTATATACTGGTGTGCATGCAATAKTATTAATTACCAATGCTAGAGTTCATTTCCAACAATTATGACATATTTACAAATTAAAAACAAATACATTTTACAAATTGTATCTTCACACTAACATAACCTCTCATTTCCCTGATTGTGATATTCAAATTATTCCATTTTTTTTTTGCTTTTAATCCTTAGAATTTAAAATAGGATGAAAATTGTGACTTAGAAAAAAATGATGCTTATTTTGCTTTCTTAGAAGATGACTACATACGCAACACACACACAACACATGAGTATAATTGCATGGGTTAAACACTGCACAAAGTCAAGAGAACTGAATCTAATAATGTCCTCTCCAAGGCCAATGGCATGGTCACACAAAGATTTTGCAGAGAAGAAAACTGAACCGATCACATTGAAACCTGTGGATTGTAAACACTAATGTAGTCATCACTGCAGCAAATTCTGCAGTGTGTTTTACCTGAACCATCTGCTTTGACGTAYATCTCAGCTGTCTGTTTCAGGATCTGGTATGTCACTTCATATTGTTCAAAGAACTTGCTATTTTCTATGAAAGACTAGAAAAGAAGGAATGGTTGGTTAGGAGAGAGGAAACATGGGGTTAGTGTAGAAATGGCAGAGTCAGTTTTCTTCAGTATAGATATGTGCATATTTTATCCAAATTTGCCAACCTCACTCTTCTTGAAAATATGAAATTAATTCTACTGTTTCAAATAACATAAGGTWATTCTGAGCATATAAAATGATTCTATACTCTTTCTAACTCAGCACTAGATTGAGAAAATAAGCTATTTTTTACCACCCAAGGATTTGTTCTTTGATAAGACAGAAGTTTCTCCAGAGAACCTGGGCCTAACATTAGAAAGAACTAAATTTGGAGGAACATGTCAGTGTCCCACTGTGTTGAAGCTGTGTGAGTCTGTTGTTCTTTGAACATTAGTCCTGGTGAATGRCTGATGGAGGAACTTCAGATTATAAATCCATGACAGGGTATACTTAAAATAAAAACTGGAAAAATTTAAATGATCAAATATATCATCTGTGTTTTTGATGGCCTCATATTTCAATTACCTAGTATAAAATTTACAAGACATGTGGTATCTATATCTGTATGTAATTTACATATGCAATAGTCAGTGTTGGCAAAGAGATAAAATAAAACCAAGAACATGCAAAAAGAATTCTCAGGTTAAAATTACTATTTTTTTGTGTTTTTTAAATTTGTTTTAATTAGTTACACATGACAATACAATGCTCTTGACATATAATACATTTGAATCAGATGGGATATAATTTCATTTTTCTGAGTGTACAGGTTGCAGTCACGTATACACCCCTACTATTTGTTAATGTTATAAAATAACTCATGTACATTGGTCATGCCATCATGTATATACCCCTACTATTGTTAATGTTATAAAATAACTCCTGTCTCAAAGATGGTTCTTACTCCTATAAACTAGAAAATTAATGATATTATAGTTAACATATCACCAAAGTATCTTGAATTTCTTCTAATAGTATAATGAATTCCCATGATTTTAATTCTTTAAAATTCTTGATAGGTGTCACTATCATAAAATTCAAAAATTATCCTTCACAAACTTGCTGAAGTCCTGTGTAGTTTGCTGATGTATGCTTCCTATGGAGATGCAAAAGACTGGTATGTAGATACAAAACTCAATGTACAACAATTGCATAGACATCCCTAGATTTTTACCAATGTTTTCCATGTTTCAAGATAAAATTTAAATATATACATAATACAAATATAGTTTAAAAGTATAAAATACATATATAATTTTAAAACATATATAATACACTATAGATCATTTTATAGTTACCAAGCCTTTTCTTGTAAATAAACTATTCTTCAGGAATAAAGTGAATAGAAAAAGCTGTGAATTACATGGAATGAGAAGTTCCATGATCAATATTTTATTTAATAACTTTAATAGGCTTTACAATTTTTCTTTGAGAATTGCATAAGACAATAGTATCTAGTTAATTCCTTATTTAGCCTTATTATCTATTTCTAATTCCCAGTTGAGAAAAGAGTAATTCACTGGAATTTAAATTGTGAATAATTTGGTCAAACAAGCAAGCCATGATTTTATCAAAAATAAACAAGTCATGATTTGATCAAAACTGGAAAACCACATCTAATGTTCAAGACACTGTTGAAGAAATTTAAGAAATAACTATATTTAACAAAGTTTAAGAAAATAGTCTCTGCAAATTTWAAAAATAGTCACTGCAAGTTTCAAAAAGCTATTGGGAAAACAATTGTTCTAAGTGTCAAAAAAGGAAAAATAGTGCCTGTAGTGGTAGGAAGACTTAAATACCTAAATAGTCTAGAACAGTTTACAAATTAACTAAAACCCAATAAAAGAAAAACCTTATTTCTGGATTCATTTTTGGTCCAAGGGGAGTGTTTAAAGAATGCTAGAAATGTAGAAATTTATTAAAGTATTTTTGAGATCTCTTACTAAGAAAACTAGGTAATTAACTTTTAAAAGAAGATAAACTTGTTATTTTAATTTTTATTGATTTATGTAATTTGGTTCCTTCTGAATATGGAGCATATGAATTATCTTGTCTATTAAAACCACTTTAGAAAGAGAACTAGTAAATTGCCTTTTTACTGAAAGCTGTCTGGACATATCTATTATAAAAAATGTACAAGTAAATATGAAGATGAATATTTTAAATACTAAGAAAAGGATTAGCTTACTTCTTTCAAAATTAGGCTGGAACTTGGATGTAAAATTTAACAAGCAAGCTATGTTAATCAGGGAACTTTTAAAGTTAAAGGTACTTGAAGAAAAATAAGCTATGTCTTATGACATTAAATTGAAAATATTAGTGAAGTTTGATCCAACATAGTCTCACAAGATGAGTGTAGATATAATAAATAAAAAGTTCATTGATTTCATTCCATGGAAGGTAAGCCAGATAATTTAAGATTTTTAAAATAAATTTTGAGAAGTGGTTTCATCAGGATTCAAAATTTATATTAATAAATTAGTTACAAATAATAAAACAAATATTCACATTACTGATATTGTACCTACACAAACCACAATTCCAAGAGCTCTTTCTTTCTGTTACATGAAACATTACGATGTTATCTTATTTTTCCATGTTAGAGTTGAAGCATGTTTAGTGAACATGGTCATTGCCAACAATTCTGACAGCAAGGACCAAATTAAGTACCTTCAGATTACCTCACAGTATGTAATCACTTATCAATAGCATATGGCCAAGCTTATCTACCATGAGCATCTGTGAAGCATTTTCCAAGAATTTCTAAGCACTAAGCAGCCACATACCAGAGCTATGGAAGCCCATCTCTAATGCTCTTAAAAAGTATAATCTTTCTGTTTTTTAAATGATTAAGAATGAGAATTYAGACTAAGGAAAAGATAATTAGGGACTCTTCACGGCCTAAATATTATTATGACAGACACGTAGCAGCATGAGGCTCATTACGATATCTTATTTTAAGGAGCCAAAAAAGGATAGCATTTAAGCAACTGCCTTCATGATTTTATTGAAAAGTCCTCATGATTTTTGGAATGGTCTGTGCTAAACTGAATGATTTTCCCCTAAAACTCCAGAAAGGTTGAAAGGTCTATGGGGTGTGACATGTAAAATAGTATGCTTCAGTCTTTATTCCTCTCTAACTCCTGTTGTTCTATTATCATTATCATTGTTATTTCTATTACAAACTTACTAACCTTCTTAAACTTCTAAAAGTTGGCTTTCACAAAGTCACAGGTATTAAATAGACCAGGATTCAAACACATCTCTCTGTGATTGATGGCACAATGTCAATAACCCCTGAGCTCTGAGCCCAYATCTAGCTGCCTAGCACACACTTAACAGCCCTGCTAAGGCTATAGTTTGCAAGTGCGGAACACTATCAAATCTGGACCAATACGAAACAGAAYCAATGTCTAAGTGAACAACACTCTTCAGTTCACTAACATGCAACATGTATCAATGATTTGGTCTTTTCATTAGTTTTTTTCTCATGGATTATTTAGAGAGTAATATTCAGTACCCTTGCAAAGGGGAAAGATCTGGATTTAAATTTCAACTCCACATCTTACCAACTCTGCTTCCTGAAGCCTGTGTCTTGGCCTTTGAAGGCCCCAGTCCTTCTACCCTGTTTGCTGAGTACAAATCTATGTGGAAACACCTAGCCCAAAAGACTACCAAGGGGACAAAAAAATGAAACACTCAATATCCAGTTATTAAAACTGTTAAGCAAAATAAAAAGATCTTAAAACCCTTTATGAAAAGAAACATGAGCAATAAGTAGGTATTTTTCACAAGGGAATGAAAATATTAGGGAATATTCATTAAAACATGCTGTGGATATAGGGTAATTATCAACTTCATAAATAATTGTGAACATTACAAAGCAGTGTGCCATTAGAAGCTTAGTGAACTCTTTAACTTTATGGAGTAGGCAAGAAGTACTGACTTTTGATCATTAATAACAATTCTCTATTTATATATCTTTTGAGAAGTTCAAAGAGAATTATTAATATCATTGTATTGGAACATTAACCTGGTGAAATATTCCCATTAGATATTTAAATATGATTGGCTGTTCTAAAATAACTAGAACAAAGAATGAATCCTGTATAATTAACTACTGGGCTCAGAGTGCATCATTTGGTATGATTAAACCTGAAAATATAAATGCATATCTATATTTAATATTTAAGACACTAACAATTTCTTAAATTAAAAAAATTAAAATTTTCATTAATTTCTGAAATAACTAMAAATAAATAAAGAAACCTATAACAGGCTTCCCTTTTTGGGGGGGACAAATGTTTCCTAGACCATTTTAGTCTGGAGAAAAAATTTTACTGTAAACCAGTTAAATCTTTTTGTTTCAATACATATTGTTCACACATCACTTAGAAAGTAAAATTATTATGTTGCAAAATAAATTATGGTTTTAAGATGCTTCTGTAAAGATACAATTTCCAAAAGTACTCAAGCACAAGGATTATTAATTCACTGTGACAGATTAGGTTACAGTGGGCTTATGTTTTAAACGTTGATCAATTTATCATTTGTAATGTTGTGTTTAAACATAAATGGAAGAGCAGAGGACTGAGATACCCTATTAATATGAATTATATTAGCAAACTGGGGCTGCAAATAAACTGGGGGGGCATGTTTAATGGACTAAGAGRAAATATTTAAATATAATGCACTAACTTCATGCAAATGGAACTGTTGGTTATAGAACAATCTGATTCTTACATTAACAAAAGCCTACAATTTCAAGTAGATATAGGATTACCTCTACTAAGAGCCCCAAATATGAGAAAATCTTCAAAAATTAAGTTGGTAGAGATTCATACACAAAATTTTACACTGCCTGTGTGCACACAGGAGCAAGAAGCTCAAGGAATGACCATGAAAGAGACACATGGGCCCCCACCTAAAAATAAATAGTTCCCAAGTGGACAACTGAAAATTGTTCCCAAACTACTGTCAACTGGATTTTAGAAGACATGAAGATTTATGTACTGCAATTCAGTTTCAAAGGAGCAAYGGGTTCCAATCTAAGGACTGGGTATGCAATTCAAAAATGTTTTTAAGAAGTAAAGGCCAGTCACAATGGTTTAATATAGTTAAAGCAGCAAACCTACCTACAGTTTTAAAGAACAGATTTCAAAGAATATAAATTTATATTTTATATGATTTTGAAAAGCCCATAACCTTAGATCTAATCCATTTAACACACTGACACTTTATGTTTTAAATTCAAGATTACAACAATAATGTCAATTAAACTAGCAAGTGTTAAATGCTAACTCTATGAGTCCCCTGGTTTCTCTGTTAAAGCAGCAGGGACTTACGATGTAGTTTTGTAGAAGCAGCTCCACTGACTCTCGTCTCCCGTACTTGATGATCCAAGACTTTAGCTTTGACTCTGCAAGAACCAGCAGTGAGAGCAGACGGTACTTTAATTCTAGAAATTCCATTTTCATTAAGTGCAGCTCTGATGTGGAGGAAACAAAGTGAAACCTAGAAATAAAACAGGGAGATTTCACGGAATGTAACTAATAGTAACAGAACGATGCTTACTTAACCTGTTACATGGCAGCCTTAAATATCAGACAGCCACAAGGTCCTCCAAACTCTAGCTGATCACTGCTGTCTGGGGATTGGGTTCCTTTTCTAGCTCTGGGTTTAAAGGCAAAATATTATTGATTGAAGTCTTTGAGTTAGTTCTCTCCCCTGCCAACACATCTCTCATCTGTTTCTTTTATAAGCTGTTTTTGCAATATTACATAATGTTCCTTACAGTACTGAGTAAAAAATACAGGCTCTGAAGAAACCATGCCTGTGATTTTCAGGCTGTGGGTACATCCAMGCTGAGTCTTTTCAGTTAATAATATATTAGAATGTTGGCATTCTTAGCATATGTTATAGGAGCCTACTTTTCATTTACCAAATGCAAGCATCTATGCTTTTAAAAAACAAACAAAAAAATGATTGATTAAAAAGAAAAGAAATGTAAAAATAAAATCATCTACCTAGCATTCTAAAAGAAGATTTCATTTAAAACCAGATAATTCTCTTACCTCTCGGCCATGTCCTCTAATTGATCAGGTGGCACTGGGATCCCGTTGACAGACCTGGTCCGATAGATTTCATGGAATGCTCTTTTGTGGGCATCTGTGTTTTGAAGCAGATCCTAAGATACAGTTTTAAAAAAATAAAAAATGAGGAAACATGTTCACAGGAGGCTGGGAAGCATAATTTTCAGCCTGCACAGATGACTCAATGTATTCAACAATTTGATCTTGCTGCCACATTCATAAGCAGCCTGGTGCCTACCCCAGGCTTTTACCTTGAGCAGGAGCCTGGGGCTTGTGCATAAGACACCGTGCTAGAGCTGTGTCTAATAATTATGGCATCTTTTAAACACACATGACACTTATACAGCAATGCATTCAGACATTTTAAAGGTACATGATCCAAAGGGAAATTTAATTATTGCTATAAACAACAATTTCAGTATTTTTCTCCTTCCTGAAATTTTGGATTCACTGGTTTTTAAAAAGCATAAAAGTGAGCACCACATATTTAACTCTTTAATGGTAAGAAGTAACAGGCTTTCTTTTTTTTAAATATTTTTTAGTGGTAGTTGGACACAATACCTTTATTTTATTTATTTTTATGTGGCGCTGAGGATCGAACCCAGTGCCTTGCACATGCTAGGCGAGCTCTCTACTGCTGAGCCATAGCCCCAGCCCCCTAGAATTAATAGGCTTTCTACTGTTATTTTACTTTGAATGTGTGCAGGCTATTTTAAGTAATATTTGCTTGCCATCTCATGTAAACTGATAAGATTACAATATATTTTGAAAACATCCTTTTGGTTAGAAATTTTTCAAGTGCAGGGGATATCTTATATCATTTATTTAGGTTGGTTTGATCCTTCTTGGTTTGTTTGTGGCATTTTTTTTTACCATCCACAACTTATTTATAAAGAGAATATTTGTTTTTCCAGAACCCCTAGCCAATCTGTCCCGCATACTCAAGGAGAGAGTGAGGTGAAAAGAGATTTATGCCATATTTTCTATAGTTTTAGTTAGTTTCCCATCAGCAGAATAAAAACTCTATAGTGTGTCACCCATTGAAAATTAAGACACATAGCCCACCAAAAAGACAAACTAAAATTAATATTATTTCTCTCAAAGTAAGATTTTGTGGATCCAATGGAGAAAAAAGACACAAATATATCCCAAACCAAAAAAATAGTTGAGAGAAGAAATAAGCATTGTCTTTATATTGTAAATTAAAATGTTAAGGCCTTTGTGTATTTGTCCACTTAAGTGACATCTTGACATTATCAAAAACCTCAGGGCCAACCTTTGATAAACTTTGCTATGATCACATTTGACTTAAGCCTATAGATCACTGTAGATAGACTCATGAGTCTTGGTGCCAGACAGAGGATCCYGTGAGCAGCCAAGACCTGACCCCAAGAGGACAGGGGCCAGAGGGCTACTCTCAGAGCAGCCCTGAGGTTAAGTAGTTCGTCACTGCTCCTTTATCACACACTGACACATTTCTGTGGTTTATGATCTTGGCTAATTTCCTCAAGCGACTGCAKGGCAAACTTGGAACTGTCACCGCAGCTAGCTCTGATTTGCTACACCTGACAATTTTTAATCGTGTACATTGAAAAAAGTCTTTACAAGATATCAAAACAAACAAAAACATCTTCACGCATAGGATAAATGAAYATCTACGGCTGGCATAATGTTACAACTTCCTTTGAAAGGCTCTTTCACTCTAAAACAACTCTAGATGTTGAATGAACCTTGTGATTTTAATTCATCTTACTCAATTCATAGGAAGCAAGCAAGCAAGCAAGCAAAAAAAGAGTCTCCCATTCTTAGTAAATCATGACACCAAATGATCACACAGCTGTGGGCAAAATAAAAGTGAAAAATGAGATTGTCTTGGGAAAGTAGCTAGACACTGCTTCATGATATTGGGTCTTGGAAAATAAACAGGGTGAAACGTTGAAACTGGTTTCCTCCATGTAACCAGAGCTCTTGACCAGTGTGAATGTGCTGGTCCGCCTACCAGGAAATACAATAAGGAGAGAAGCAATGATCACAATCCACAGGAAAAAAGCCACCATGGGTGAGAGCCAGCAGAAATAGAAAATTARTAGCACTAGAGAAATGCCAGTCATTTAATACTGGACAACACAGTATGTAAGTCAGAGGGAAAATGATCTGGCTAAAGTGTTATTCATTCTTATACTATTTAAGAGGATGTTAAGAGATTAACTTTCAGTTTTGTCAAATATATATGGCCAAATTTTAAGGAAACATGTACTATGCAATTAAAACAAATAACTTTGAAGCCACTAGATAGAAAACCATAGAATAAATAAGAAAACCAGTTAGCCAACAAACAARACCTCCACCATAAACTTTTAAATARCATGAATGTAGAAAAAGAAGGAGGAGTTAGAGGAGGGTAGAAGAGGAAAAGAGGAAGAAAACAACCAGGGTAAATAGTAAGYAGAGTGAGATGATAAAAACAAATTCAAGTTCAATGTATCAATACTCAAGAATAAATATGAATGTGGTATAAACTTATTAGTTAAAAGGTAGAAATTGATCCGGGTGCTATGGTGCATGCCTGTAATCCCAGCAGCTCAGGAGGTAAGTAGGAGGATTGCAAGTTCAAAGCCAGCTTTGGCAAAAGTGAGGTGCTAAGCAACTCAGTAAGACCCTGTCTCTAAATAAAATACAAACAGGGCTTGGAATGTGGCTCAGTGGTTGAATGCCCCAGAGTTCAATCCCTGGTATCAATCCCCCTCCAAAAAAAAAAAAGGTAGAAATTGACAGATTGAAGAAAGAAACAAAATAGATTCATTTGCCTTTTACAAAGAGAGACACATAACCATGAAGATCATGGATAGGTTGAAATTAATAGGATGGAAAATTACATGTCAGATAAAAAGTAGCTGAAAGAAACTGAAAGAAAACTGGTATAAATGTATTGACAYCAGCCAAAATAGATTTCGAACCAGAAATCATTAAAAGGAGTTAATTGCTTAATGATGTAGCTTGCAACTTACTGGAAGATACGTATTAATCCTGAACTTAAATTACCTAGCAAGTCTCAAAACAGATAAAGCAAAAGCTAATAGAAGGACAGGGAGAGGACAGATCCACCCACTGCGGGAACTCCGCTGCTGGGTCATCTCCACCGTTTGATCTTAGTATGGTGGCTCGGTCTTTGATTCTTTTCCTCTTCCTGTCTACACTTCTGTATTTCATTTCCAGTCCCATATCTTTAAATAAACCTCTATGTGTCAAGGACTGCATTTTTACTTCCAGTCTRTGCCTCTTTCCAGAGGTCTTATCTGGTATCCCCGACTGCCTAATCCACAGGTCAAGTTGCAGGAGAAGAGACCTCATCTTGCCCCACAGTGAACATGTAATCTTGCCTCCTAAACCTGCWTCAGTGTTTCCCCATCTCAACTGATGGAAACTCCATTTTTTTCAGTTGCTCAGTTTAAAAATCATAGGTTTATTTATGACTCCTCTTCCTTCACAGTCCATATTTGATGCTCAAAATATATTCTGAATCTCAGCACTTCTCACCAGCTCTACAGCTACCAGTTTGGTTCAAAACACTCAACTTGCATTATTGAAACTGTGTCCTGGCTTCTGTCCTCCATCTATTCTATTCTGTTCTCACACAGCATCTTGTAAAAACACTGCCATTTCTACAGTAAGAAAATGGATGAGAAAGAATTGTTAGGACATGACAGAGAAAACCAAGTGCCTAAGTAGGGATAAAGGAAGAGAAAAGATACAAAGAAACAGGATTGGGAAAAAAAAAACCAAAAAACAAAAAACAAAAACCAGGGCATTAACTGCAGGCACAGGAAAGATTACAAAAATAATTTTAAATGTATAATAAGTTAAAATAATGAATTAGTTGATCATTTTATTTTATTTTATTTTGAGACAGGGAATCACTACACCATCCAAGCTGGCTCAGAACTTGCCATCCTCCTGCTTCAGTCTCCTGAGTAGCTGGGATTATAGGTGTGTATCACCATGCCCAGCTTGGAAAAAGTATATTTTGACCAGCTTTATGCTAATACTTTTGACAATAGTCAAAGAAATAAATTCATAGAAAGTCTGAATTAACAATATTGACTCAATTAATTTTTTAAGTCCAAATATGGGGATACAGCAACAATAACAACAACAAATCCAATAACCTTGTCCCTATGGAGTGAACACTAGAGTGCAGGAAATCCATCAGTCAATAAGCAGGTGATTAAGACAGATAACAGTTGAGATGATGGGACAAATATCAAGCAGGAAAGAGGGTTGGGGGGTAGCTGTAATCTCAAAAAAGGGTAGCTGTAATCTCAGAAAAGTCTGACTAAAAGAGGACCTTTTAGTGATGGTCAAAGCAGATGAGGCAGAAGGAAACAGGAATATTGGTAAGACAAGATTATCCCAGAGGGATGSTAAAGCCAAGCCCTGCAATGTGTTTGCCTGTTTGGTGCCACCTTTCCAGTGAGGTTTCTCTGACTATCGTATTTAAAATTGCAACAATACCCAATTCTCTATGCTTTTAACCTTCTAACCTAATTTTRTTTATTATGTTTATTATTTTTGTTTGCATTCTCCCACCGGAAGTTAAGTTATATAAGGCAAGAGTCTTTTGTCTGTATTGCTTATGGGTATTTCACAAATGCTGAGAGCACTATTTTCATGTAACAAGTGCTCATTTAAATTTTATTGAAAATTCGGTTAAGATTAGAAAGGTACAGCCAGGGGTAGAGGTAGAAACCTGAATGAAGAAAGAATTTCATGAATGCAGAAACAACCATGTAAAGTGCTTCTGACAGGTGAGGAAAGATAAGGACTGAGAACTGGCTATTATGAGGACCAAGACACATCCTGGTCAACTTGTCCTGGGTAACATGGGGAAGAAAAGCCTGTTTGGGAATAGGTTCTACAGAGAATGGGAGAAGAAGATTTTGAAACAAAAATGGGCAATTCTTTCTAAAAGTTTTTTTTTCAGTAAAAAGAAGTAAAACTGAATGGCAGTTGGAAAGGTAGAATTAAGAAAGTGATTTTTTAAGATGAGAGAAACGACATGCATTTATTTGTGGATAGGAAGAATCCAACAGAGATT